ACAGGCATTTCGACATGAGAATGTCGATTGAGCACTGTGACAGGCATTTCGACATGAGAATGTCGATTGAGCACTGTGACAGGCATTTCGATATCGTTTATCGACTAAGCACTTTCCATTTCCATCTTCATCTTTAGACCTGAGCACGAGCTGAGCCTCACCACTTCAACCTGAGCGAGCAAATTCGGCACGGGACTGATCTCGCTGTTCAATTACAGTAGCCTGAGCAGCGGGTCACGGGCTAATCATGGCCATATCCAGGCCATGGGCCTAATAGGTGGGTGTCAGAATTCATGGCGCCTTATGTCGCGCAGGTCACAACGCTTGTGGAGTTAAGGCGCCATGAATTCTGACACCCACCCTTAGCCCTGTAACCGGCACCCGCGTACAATTGTCAATTTACCTCTAAGCAATGTCGGACCCAGGCCTGGCATAAGCTGACCAACTGAACTAGTGACGACGTTGAGCTTGGACAATCGATGTATTATCTAAGCTAAACAAGGCAAAAGGCATCGTAATGACGGCAGAGCGTGGGTGATACTATTGATCAATGGACGTCTGCATAGCCCTTGAGGAATCGATGTAGATAATCACATAGCCACACTAGGCCCTGTCAATATGAGCTGCATCGATGATTCCCTATGACTCTCTCTCTCTTTCTCTCTCTCTGGGTTAGAGAATGACAATACACTGAATTAAGAATATCGCAGCCGATTGATGGGTCGTTGTTGTAGCACCTTTGTGGAGAATGGTACCCACAAATCATGAATCAGCAATGGGCTAATCTTGCTTGTTGACCTTTCTCGCGCGCGTCTTGATAGGCGACCGATATGGGTTGTCAGAGCGAAATGTCCGGGCTGACTTCTAGTCATCCTCAGGCATAGACTCTTGTTCTTGCTCGTCTTCCTCACTCAGCCCGGTCAAAGTCGAAAAACGAACTGGCTGGCGACGAAGCGCACTCGATGTCTGTGGGGAAGTCTTCATAGAGTTCCTCGGCGACCTTCCCTTTGTCCAAGTCTTCTCGGTGCTTTTCCAAGTCTTCTGCGTGCTTGACGATTCCGCATAGTTCTTCGGCTGTGATAATAATGGTCTCGCTTCGTAAGGAGTCGGGCAACGATTTAGGAGGCGCCAATTCCGCCATTGGAATTTCCAGTTGCGCACCGGGGACAAGCTCGCCGTTGGTGTTTCGCATACCCTAGGCACTCAAATTAGTATCTCGTAACACGGACTGTCTCAGGGCACCAAGTTCAACACCAAGTTCATGGGCGTGTTACTTACCTGATTGACATGTTTGGCTGTCAATTTCGGCGGGTCATCGCTGGTGAGACTGGGTCTCCAGACCGTCAAATCCACCCGTGAGTCTTGGAGGAGTTTCACTGTAACGACCAGACGTATCTGTCCTTTTCCCGCCTGGATGATGCGAAATGCTTTCCTTCTCAGCTCCTTGACCTCGTGTGAGGAACCCACCAGTAAAACCAGGCCCGGCCGTTCTGCCGTGCGACACCAGATCTGTTCATCTGGCTGGAACACATCACCCTGTTCGGATTCGATATCTGTCCTTCCTGCTGGTTCGACTGGGCGCCCCACTGAATGTGTGTCACAGAGGTGATCGGTCTTTTCTAGCAGAAGACGGCTGAGCCCTATATGGACAACCTCATGCTTAAGCGTAGGCATTAGAAGGACAAATTCGTGGGTATCGGAGTAGTAGTCGTATCTGTGTATTAAATGTTAATCCCTGGTTGGATGGACTCTGGAAAAGACTCGAACTCTCCATACCGCACAGTTTCCAAACTCAGTTTCTCCTCATACTCCCCAGTAAGTTTGGTGAAGTCTTGTGGACTCAGACGATATCGTAACCGATCGGGCTTACGGCCTTTAAGCCAGCGCTCAAGCTGATGGACAAGTATCTGCAATTCGGAAGTCGTTGTTTTCAAGTCAAAAGCGTCTCGAGAGCATTCACTATGGGAGTCGCGGTGCGCGGCGACCACCCTAAGCGGGTCTGCATCTGTTCTGGGGCCTGTCATCTTACGTTCTTGCGAGATCTTTTCCATAGTCGCTCATTGATTATCGCAAGAGTGCGAGAAAAAGAATACGCTCTGAGTTTAAGGAAGGTTATGATAAGGAAAGTTGTGAATTTGGTTTCATCACAAGGGCAAACTACGGCTATACCTTGGCATCTGCATAAACATTTCTAAGGGATTATCGTGGTAGGTTTAGCGAGAACGTGATTTATTGGGTTGCATTCACAAGTTCAATCAAAGGGATAAGAGGACAAGAGTAGCAACAGCTTTGAGCATGACTGTCACAAAGTTCCGCACCCATCTTGCAAGGTGCGTCAGCCACCAGCCAAAAATCTCATACAAAGGAGGCATTGAGCAACCTCCAAATAGCACTTTGTCTCCTATCCAGCTGGATCACCTTCTCTACAAGTACTGGGAACTCTCTCGAGCCAAGGGCACGTCGTGCAAGGCCATCACGCTCATGAAGACCGACTCGCTCTCGCAGTGTCAAGGAGGGAATGTGCTGTGGCGCTCTCTCCAGGACTCCTCTAGAGCCATGTTTTCGGCTCTCGTTTAAGTGGGTGTACTGTATCCGTACAATAGTCAGTGGCCAGAGTGTCGCTACTAATTTAGTAGTTGTCATGAACCTTCATCGCATCCCGTGCCCGTGCACGTCCTAACGAGGCCATGACCCGCCTCATATGTACGGGGCTTGTGGAGTCAGCGGCCCGTCATATCCGATTGACGTCTGAAGCCTGCAGTGTGTAACCTGAAGGTCGATCAAGGCTCCGTTTGTCTCCCTCTCAATCGTCTCCACCCAGAGGGGCCGGAGGTGGATCGACTGTAACAGCTCAATGTGGTCCATAAACATAGTCTGCATTGCCATTGCCCACACTGGGCGATCGGGATCCTAGCACAGGACAGGTCGGTATGGGCGCCGAGGTCGCCGTTGCCTGAGTATCTCGAGAGCGCCCACGTGTGATGACTTCAGATGTAGCTCTGACTTTTCTCTTGTTTCCTTCCGGCCATTTGATGGTATGGTTTCAAGAGGGCGTACTTCAGCTCCCCAACGTTGACTCTCTTGTCATATGGAGCGGTATTCCGTCTTTCTTTGAGGTCCCATCCTTACCATACGTCAGGGGCGAGGTACCGTAGTGTTCCCTTCATGTGATCCGTTGATTTTTCCGCCACAATGGAATGTCCGAAGAAGCATCGGGACTGTAAAAACTGAGGGAGCCTGAGGACAGACCGTCGACCATTTCGCAGACATTCGGCTGGGGCCAGAAATGATAAGCTTCATTGTCGTTGAAGATAGCCGCCACTTACGTGACCTTTGACCCGCTCAGTATTGCTACTTCTTTTTCAATCTCCGCCTCTCTCAAGGAACGTCTGTTGCAAATGATGCGCTTGACTGCCGTAGGAATAGTTCCTGTACGAGACACGTATGTTGCTGTCGCCCATCATCCCATAGCTCCCTGTCGCACACGGACACTGAAAAATGTCGCTTCGCGGAAATAGAGAAGATTGGAGGCAACCGCAGGCTGCAATAATCCTCGTCCTCATCCTGTGGTTACTCACCGGGCTTGGCGGATCAGAGGACATCTGCTGCTGTCACGTGGAGAATTGGCCATATCTGCTCCCGCCTGCGCTCGCTGGCCATATCCGGGACCGTGATTGTGGCCATCGTGGCATCTCACCACGCAAGGGCGTCCTCAGAGGTAGAGGACGATGGGGCTTCCACCTTGAATGCTGGACAGCCTTTTGATGCCAGCTCGATCAGAACCCCGCCACCCCTATCATCCTCAACGCCGACTCCCGCCCGAGCCTGCGATGAAACCCCGACCACGGAGTGCATCTCTCCCATTATCTCCCTCCCTTCCTCAGGACGGGATATATTGGTATCAGGATTGACTGATGAATTACAACAAGCACCAGCTTCACTCGAGATTAAGCGACGTGCTCCAGAATCAATGCGTCGACGGTGTCTGCCAGCGCTCGTTTGAGCCGGTTTTTCGAGACTCGCCGCCTCCCTTCAAAGCCTTAACTCCCACACCATTGCCATCTCCCCTCCGACGAGCCAACTTGCGGCTATCACAGCCGGATCCTAGCCAACGAATCCAACCAAAGGTCAAACGCAAGTGGTTTGACGAGGAGGAAGAGCCCGGGGACGCCGGCAAAAGAAGAGGAATTGCAGAAACCGCCGCACGGATAGATGCAGAATCAGATGAGGAGTTTTGGATGATGGAAGAACGGATTAGATCGGCTTGGTCCCGCCACTGATAATTCCTGCAGAGACAGACCGCTCAAAAACGCCACCGCAACGCGAGTCTTGATGATTGTCAACATCGTCTTGCCTTTTGAGGGTATTTGGGTGCCTAGGTCATGATGTTGTTTGCGAAAATCGAAGACTGGGGTTCAACCAGAATCACGCATCATGATTCACGAATACTTGAGCGCCATTACCTTCAGTCATGAAAGTGGATTGGGAAGGGGGTGCTTTTGTCTTGTCTTTGGTCTTCTGGTCCAACCCAAAGACAATGTTTGCATGATGGTTGGCTCGAAATGGTGCATAAACAATACGGAGTTTCTGGTCAAACGGCATGTCGCAAGACTAAGACTGGGATTGAACACGAAGGACAATTAAGATGGTGCATAGGTTGGGTTGGTTTGGGAGTATTGTACTGAGCATTCTAGTTCGATCTCGCTCCTCCTGTTTTCCTAATAGTATTAGTTTTCATCCGTACATGGGCGGTATCATCCTTGTTATCATCCGTACACAGGCGCTCATGGCCTAGTTATCATCCATCGGGGATCCAGATCCACCTGACCCAGTCAGTAGACCCAGTCAGTAGACCCAGTCAGTAGACCCAGACCCGGACCCGGATCGACCGTCCCGTCGCTGTCTGCTCCGTCTCCATTGACTAATTTAGACTCTTATCAGAGTAGGCGGGGCGAGCGGCTTTGGCGGAGTCCAAGGCTCCGCTCAGGGGTACTAGATTAAAGTACTATATCACACTATACTATCCTACACTATACTAGTTTAAGTACGGAGTAGATCCCCTATCTAGGTACCGTACTATACGTAGTGTGATTAGTACGACGTACCTAATATAGGTAAGCTTCGATCGATTGATTGATTAGTTAGTAGGGGGTATTAGTGAGCAGAATTGAATTGACAGCTTAGATACTAAGGTATACACTGTACACAGATATAGCTCCACCTCCACAATAGGCGGTGGCTTATACCACACACACACACACACACACACACACACACACACACACACTACTTCAAGAGCCGCCCCGATCTGAGCCGCTCCGATCTGAGCCGCTCCGATCTGATCCGATTAGCCCAACCATGGATCCTTCAATATTTCCGTTGCCCCCCTCCTCTCCTCCGGCAGCCATGTGAGCATTGAGCGGACGAAGGCGAGAAAGTCCGCTTTGTCGTCGGCCTGGAGACCCGTGACGGATTCTTCTAGAGAGAGCGGTGGCACGTCCACTCCGTCTGCGGCTTTCCAGCCACCTGTGGTGTCGTGGAGAGATGTACGTCAGTTGAAAAGTCATAGATTCTGAACAGCAATTGGAGACGGCGCGCCAGGTCGGGTCTGCATCGACGTTTGGTTCGACCAGTTGTGCCATGAAGCCGTGCCGGGGATACATGTGACAAGATGTGCATGAATCCATGCCAGGGTACATGTGACAAGTTCCCAGTTTGGCCATCAAAGCCCACGCCCGAGGGTGCAACCAACACACACGTACCTTGTTCGTCAAAAACCTTGCTGGTGATTTCACTTCGGTGCATGTACTCGAGAAGAGGGAGGCCCAGATACGCGACCATTTCAGCGACATGGTGAGTGGCTGACGGCTGGTTGTTCTCGTCGTGGGCATGGAATAATTGTTGATTTTCGAATAAATCCCAGATCTAGCATGTATGCCTCGACGTTCAGTTAGTTAGTGTCTAGCATGCATGCCATCGACGTTCAGAATAGTTAGTTGTTAGTTAGGCTTGGCTGTGTCTGGCGGAAGCGGATGTGGGTGCGGGTGTGAGTGCGAATGCAGAAGCGGGTGTGGATGCCGATGGCCGTAGTATGAAAAGCATCACATAATCCTACACGGTGTCGGGTACTGCGGTGTCGGGTACTGCGGTGTCGGGTACTGCTTACCAAGACCGCAATGTTCCAAATATCGACACTCGAGGTCCATCCCATATTGAACAACACCTCTGGAGCGCGATACTGTTCCGGCTGGATGAGTCCGGTGTGAGAATCCCCAATTCGAGCCTCTCCAAAATCACATAGCACCGGCTGACCCCACAGCAAACCTTTGGGGAGACCCAACTTACGGGAGGCGTAGATGGCGCGGCCGTCGTTGAGCACCTTCATCGGCGACGGTTCCTCGATCTCCGCTCGCTCGAAATCCGAGAGGAGGGATTCGTCCTCGATCGTGAGCATGATGTTGGACGGGTTGATATCTGCAGGGGGTGGAAATCAGTCCAAAGCCAAGAAATTAGTCAAAAGTCAAGAATTCGAAACACTTTAGTCATCAGCATCAGCATCTTACCCGTGTGGATGACCTTGGCTTCATCGTGCAGAAAGGAAAGTACATTCAGGACGTTGCGCAAGGTCCACTTCAAAAGCAATGCAGTGAGCCGCTGTGATGAGTTCTGGTACTGCAGTTCTCGAATCGTCATATGCATCGGGGGATGGACCAAGCACAAGTGTTGCCCGGTAGGACCGTCGAGTTGGAATGTCTCATAGAGACCACGGATGTAATATTGACCGGGGTGCTGCGAATCGAGGGAGCTGACATGCTCGTAGAATCGAAGCTCTCGGTACGTACGTGCGGATTGGGCGGCTTCGGCTTCTCGAGTGCGAGTGCAGACCTTGACAGCCACATAGTCATCATCGCTTGAAGACAGACGTCAGCGGCAGTGGGGGATGAAGCAGGATTGAGATTGTCAGGTGTTAGGTGTCAGGTCAGGGATCAATATCACACTCCATGTTTCGGCAAAGCCACACGGTAGAGTAGGCCCCGTAGCCGAGCTTTCCGAGCACTCTGTACCTAGAGTTGATTGTTTCTCCGATGCGCATCGGGTAGAATTGATCTGGGTGGTACCAGGGAAGTCGCTCCTCTTCCAAGGGCTGTGAGAGGCCAGTTGTGGTTATGGTCATGGTCGATGAGGTGCTGCCGTTTGAGAATAGCCTCTTTGCCGCTCGTCGTCCTTCCCCTCGTAGGAGTCGGAGTCGAGGCGTCCGACGCGTAGCTCTAAGCATCATTCCAAGTCCATCTGCTTGATCGTGAGCCGCAAGGCACAGAAGCCGAAGATCTCATCGGCGGGAGAGTCCTGGGCAGATCATGATACTGATACTGTCATCCCTGAAAGCCAAGACAAGGGCAATCTAACCAAGGCAGGTCTAGCACCAAGATATCAACAGGGGTCAGAGTCTAGAGTCCATATATCGAGTATCTTGGATGCAGGAGCACTAGATCATGTCTCGGCTGCTTTGTGCGCAGCTAGAGTTAGCCCTGGCCATGCATACTGGTACCCAAGATCCAATTGAGGCAGCAAAGCAGTCCCTTACGATGTACTCCGTACGTCCTGTAGAAACATCGATGGTGAGCTCTCACATCACACATCAGTAACCCCCCCAAGGCCACCAGGTACAGTATGCCATACTGAGCCACCCATTCCCACCCACCTGCCGCAAGTTGAAATCCAACTCGCACGAGTCCTGCATTGAAATCAAACCCATATCAGTCCTGCCACCACCACGTACAGTAAGCAATCCCATCCTCCAACCCAACACCAAGTCAATCCTGCCGCGGACAAGGACGAGGACAAAGCCTATAGCCATTTTGAGCCTTCTTAGCAATCCCAGCCTCCCACGTAGAAACAGGAAAAGAGCAGCCTCCCCCTAGCACATCCGGTAGAAACAGGAAAGAAGCAGCCTCTCCCTAGCACACCCGTCTTCACGCATGATTCTGATTTGATCCTCCACCTGGTTTCTGTCCGTAGATGACGTGTCTAAAACATCAGGTCAGCCCGACAATCACAATCACATTCACGGGATCGAAGGAAGGACAGCTCACAGAGTCGACGTTAGATGGACCTTTTCCTGCCCATTCTTGTTGCGGATCTCGCTGCGGACCTCGTCGAGAAAGGCACGGACCTTTTCAGGGGTCCAGCCCAGACCTTTGCAGAAGGGTTTGAGGGTGAGGGCTTCAAGTGCGCGTTCTAACTCCCACTGCCGCAGGGATCCAATCTCCTTCTGTGAGACGAGACTGTATTAGCACATAGCGCCTCACTCTCCCTCCCACGAAGCCAGGAGCAGAAGCGGTCTCAGACACATCCGATGGAGCGTGCGCTTACATATTTCGGATCCTTTGGCCAGTTCCCCAGAGGAACCTTGATGCGGCCATGCACGATGTTTTGGAAGCCGTGCCTGCGAAGGAGGTCTTCGACATGGCCAGCCACACCCAGTCGGCGGCGGAAGCTGAACAGAGCCAGGGACAGCAAGTCGCACAGTTCACGCACCCTGCTCCCGGCTTGGGGGGCCAAGGGGCCTTCAGCATAGTGCTCCAGGTCGAGTTGTTGAATTTCCACCCACCCACCGGGCTCCAAGTTACTGGGACAGCAATGGTGGTCAGCCACCATATGTCCGTGTGTGGGTGTCCAACCAAAGCGAGGCGGGGACAGACTCACCCGTAACATTGGCGAACCAGTCCAGACCAATTCACAATGGAACCGCCCAGCTGACGGGCGAAGATGAAGGTGTATGGATGACTCCAGGTCCATGGCGATTCCACGTCGAATAGCTCGAACCCGAGATTGGGCGGGACCCAGACAGGCTGGATCTCGCTGATATCAACCCCGGTAACCAGACAGGTGGGATGAAGATCTGCCATCTTGATGGCCCAAATGCCCGTCCCCGTGCCGACGTCCAGCACACGCTCATTCCCAGCAGACAAGTGGACCGGCGCACAGTGGAGTCGCTTGCCCAGAACCTGTTCGATCATGTGACTGAAGAGATCTAGGCGAACCTTCTCCTGCTCATCGCTGGGGAACAGGCAATCTGTGCCGGGTCGGGTCAGCCTAGGGTATGTAGCCTGGGTGTGTAGCCTGGGTATGTAGCCTAGCCTAAGGTATGTAGCCTTGTGGGACACGAGCGCCGAGGAACCGATCATCAGCACTTACCATTCTCACCAAACACGGCATACCGACGTCCATACTCCTCCGTGAAGCAGAGACCTTCTCGTGAACCAAGGGACACAGTACTGTGTCGGTCACTGTCACCGTCACCGTCACCGCTGATAGCCTGGTCAGTTGTCTGGTCATACTGTGCAGGTTGGGGCCTCGAACCCATAGGCAGAATCGGCCTCATTGGGCTCAGGAGTGGTCGTCATGGTGGGCAGAAAAGTGCGGCTCGGCGATTGGAGACGAACTCGACCGTCTCACCCTGCTGTGTCACCTTCAAAGTCACAGCTTGAGGCGATATTCCTTGGATGAACACATATGCCGCAGTGTGTGACGGTCAGGCTGAGACTAAGACGGACAAGGAATGGTCGTGAGAGCGTGCCGCACACGTGACTGTAAGCGAATACGGTGACGTCCTGCGGAGGGTTGCCTGCTGGTATGTGGTAATGTATGTGGTAATGTATGTGGTAATGCGGTATGTGGGATAAGGTGTGTGGTAGGTATGCGGCATGTGGGATGAGGTGTGTGGTATGTAGCCCCAGTAGCGTTGGGCATTGTTCCATCCTCCTGACGCAAACCGTTGTAGATCGTGTAGAGAGTCTGAGTCGTGGTGGTGGCGATGGCTTTGGCCCGTGATCGGCTGGACGATCCGAGCCTATGGACTCGGGGCCAACCAAGCAGACTTTGGTGAGCCTCCATTCACCACCGCGAATGTAAATAAATGCCTTTTAGAAGAAATGCCTGTTAGAAAAAATGCCTGTTAGAAAAAATGCCTGTCAGACGTACCACCTGTCCTCCTCTACCTCCACCGACAATATCGGCATGTTCATGTCCTACCCTTCAGCCTGGCGTTTGCTCAACATAAAATTCAGCAGTAGCCCAAACTCCCAACTGCACTATTGGATCTTCTGCAACCAGTTTCTTCTTGACCTCATTGTTGAGCTAGAGGGGGACATCGCACCAGTGATTCAAGGACTGACATCAGTAATACTAACGTTTAGAGCGTGATAGACACCCTCCCGTCGAGTGCGAGCTTCTTTCTGCTCGGTGTCGAGAGCCAATCCAATGAAGACATATTTTCTTATCACGGGGTCTGCAGCTTTCGTAGATGGGGTGCAGTGATGTATGGGGGGAAGTGGAAGCATCAACCACCCTGATTCTGGCCTCACTGTCGATGTCTCGATGCCTGCTTTCTCTCGACAAGTGCAGGGATGGGAGCAATGACGAAACTTCACCATTGGGACTTGGGCGCCCCGGTGGTATCCCTCAGGACTCGACTCGGGGGCTGTCAAGGACTATTTCGATATAATCCCAGCTCCACTTGATCCTGGCTTTGTCAATATCATCTGTCGGAGCATACTGGTGGTTATTCGGAAGAAGGGGGAATTTAGTAGGAGCGATGGAAGCAAGACCAATTTGTTCCTTCAAAAACAAAACTAGCAGGATTCACAAGATAGAAGATATTCGGTACTTAGTTTTAGTGCCGGGGTATGATATCCCAATGGTGGAGCAAGGGGAATAGTAGATCTCGCCCCATGTCTAGGGCAACAAAAAGCATGGTTTCCTGCTTCTGTCGTATGAGTGGAAGGTGATTCGAGGAGTACAGCGTTTGAGACCATTCTGTCGAGGTCACTATTTGTAGAGGGTGGACAGCATGCTGCTGCTCGTAGTCTTCATTATCATCCCTGAGCCTTGATGAACAGGGAGGGTTTGCAGGCGATGGGAGTAAGGACGGATCATTTGGGGGGCTGATGAGAAATGCGATCAATGGCCATGAATTTCTGCTTGAACTTCTGAACCGTCGTCGTCGTCGGATCGTTTGGGGGGATGTGAGCTGTGAGCCGTCCTTGTGGATGAAGTCCACTCCATGCTGTCCGCATCTGGTTTAATATAGCACTGGTGCATGCCTCCGACTGGTCAGCCTGCTGACCATGGCGACGACGTCCACGGGCACGAAGTAGGCCCGCATGATAGTTGCACGCTTGACTCCTAGCACTGCGCCTCAGCTCTCAAACAATATTGCCCCATCTACCCTTGTCAGCTCATGTCCGTGGGTAGGTTGTTCACCAGCGCTTCACAGGAGGCCTCAGGGTTGACTTTGTCTTTGTGGTCCGTAGGACGAAGATCAAGTTTCGCGTGGGTGTTCTTCTGTTTCTCTTCTCTTCCAACGGAAGGGGTCTTTCGACTTGATCCAGCCAAGTTAGGTCGGAAGAGCGCAGGTCAGGCTGTCTCCTGGCCCAATCTAGAGGACAATGGCTGGGTTCCATTGTATAGGAAATTGTGGTGGCAGTGGCAGTGGCATTGGCAGTGTGCTGTCTTGTCAAGCAGATCGTAGGCAGTATGAATGGCAATGGCATTGCTCTCTTTGTCAAACCGGCCGTAGAAGATAGTCAACAGACAATGTAAAGACGATGCATATGTCTCTGTCTCGCCAAGGAGACAGTGGGTACTGGTACTGGCACTGGCACTGTGTTTGTTATTGCAATCTTGTGAACCTAGGGAGTTATGAGGTGCATCAAGGTAGACAACTACCGTGTCCTGTACTACCTAGATAGTACTGAGGTACTGTAACCATCGCTCCCTTATCGATAATGGATAGTACTGCATCCTGTCGAGCACTGGATACTGTTGTGTCCAATGTTGTGACTCTCCTCACCACCTGCATCTATCCGATGCATGCCCACGTTCGCATCTTTGGTTGGCCTCTTGTCTGAGGTCGCCAACGCAGGAAAACAGCATCTTGACGACTTGACATGAGGCGAGATCCAGTTCACCACAGAGCGCGTCATAGAAGAGATCACCGATTGCTGAATGATGCTGTCAAATCACCCGACTTCGCGGCTCTAAAGTGGTCTCGTTCACACGAAGCCTCGGAGCCCCATTCAATTTAGGAAGTCGGTATTTCCCGATCCATGGAGAGCCTCACTGAAGTCAAGGACGCGTATTCCCAAAACTGATCGTTTCTGAACAGGGTTGGCCTGATTTCCATTGACGCGACCTTGCGTGTTCCAGCTCCCGGGACGCTTTCGATCGACCAGCGAAGCCAGATCAAATTCAATGTCAACAGCCTCAACCGACCCGTCACATACCAAGCCTTCCCATAGGTCAGACGGATTCAAGTCGTGGTGGAGGTTGGGGAGCGCAGTCAATTTGTCGAAGCCGCAAACTGGACCTTTCAACACACATATGTACCTGGCATTCTAAACCGAGGAGAAGCTGGTATGCCACTCTTCAATTGAGGCCATGGTGACTCCATCGACTGCATTGTCCAGCCGGAATGCATCAATGAATACCTTGAAAAGGCAAGCGAAGAGGCAGCAGCGCAGGAGGCCCGTGAAAAGGCGCTCAAGGTTCGCAATAAAGACAACGAGCGGGACCAGCAGGCGGTCTCATGCACGGACAAGTTAGCATGGCGGCTTATTTGTATGGACAGGGCTTTTGCAGACCCTTCCCCCGCACCTGGGCCAGCGGCCGTGCGGGAATACTACCTTGTTTGCTTATCAAGGAGGTTGAAACATGGATACAGAAAGAATCGAACTCAAAGGAGAGCTTCACAGGATCGATAATGTCGACACGCTGGCCATTTCCAGTGTCATGTATGACACCGGGGTGCAGCTGGCTATGCTGTCCGTACCCAAGCGGTTGAATTCTTCAACAACTCCAGGGAGAGTACTGTCATCGCCGCTCTGTGGTTGGCAAGCAAGAGGGATGTGTCCCTGGAGTCTGAGAATCAAAACGAAACTCACTATTGCACAGTTTGCATCCACGACGTACTGACAAGTTCAGATCGGCCGAGATCAGCCAGGGATGGGAAGATCAAGATGTTGAAGACTCATTTACCGGGCAGGTTTTCGAAAGGATCCTGCAGTGATACACAGGATGTATGATATACATATCAAGTGGTGCTGGCCATGTCGCGCAACGCAGATAGAAGCACTCCATCCATCTTTATCTCCCTCGGCGTCACCGATTGTCGTTCAGGTCGAAGATGAAAGCTTTGGTGGGCCTGTGGCAAGCCAATCCAACAGATAGCAGGGCCGCCTGACTATTCGAGCAACTGGAACTTGGAACCATTGCAGTCGTCACGGTCACGTGTATTGTTACAGGAGAGTGGCAGAGTGAGCTGAATCCGAATCCGGCAGCTTGATGTGGTGCAGTGCAGTGACACCGTGTGGTTGTGGTTGATTGTGCTGCTAAGGAAGAAGACAAAGAGGAGGTGATGTTGACCATAATCAAACCCCGCAACCGGCTTTACTTCCTCGGTACGTGTCGCAGTGACTCGTGACTCGAGTCAAGTCACGGGGTCACGGGCCTTCTTGGGTGGAGATGTGGAGGTGGGATTTAGGTTTGACCGCCTTCCACATCTAGCAGCTACGTCACGGTCCAACCCGAGGCTACTCTGTATGTGATCTAGCGCGGATGGACCGCTGGTAGATGTGGAAATAGGTCGTTGCTTAGATTTAAAATGGTCCTGCCTTTAGGTCATGCATTAGGCCATACATCAGATTGTGCATTGGATCGCGTCTTAGGTCTACATTAGGCCGTGCAGAAGGCAGCGCATTAAGTCAGACATCCGATCGTGCCTTAGGTCGTGCCTTGCAGCTCCATCGGCTCCATCGCACCTCCATCTCCGGAATATCCGAGTCGTTCAAGTCAACCTCGGATCCCGGTCAAGCTGGTCAAGCATGCCTGCGTCAAGCATGGGCCACGTGATTTGGCTAGATCCATCTGCGTTCTGGGTTGGACATCTTTACCTGGAGCCACCAGTCCACGGCAGATTAGGCGAAGATCTAGATCTTGCTAGTTAGGTACCAAGGTACCTAGTGTTTGCCCATCACCGTGTGTTTGCTTTGTGCCATACCTCGTCGCCGTCTATAGAATATTCACCGAGGGTACCTGCGGATAGGGTGGTACTGTTACTAGCACTAGCAGTGACTTCATGACAACACTTCACGCGCGTGACATAGGACCGCAGCGCAATACACAACATATAACATACCTACTCTCCACTCACACATACAACGAACCTTCTCACCACTCAGCCCACGCTCATCACATATACGAGCTGTTCCTTCAAACCACTCATTCCTACGACAAGAACAAGACCGCTTCAACATCGGACGGAATTTCGCCATGATGGGCACCACCAACCAAGAGTCCACGTCGACTCACAGCCTTCGCCGTACCGGTACCTCCGGCCAGCCAATACTGAAGGGCATAATCATTGAACTCCCGGGTCACGAATTCATAACAGCAACCATGGTGGAGAAGTCCGGGATCCAAGAAATGTCGTTTGCATATCCCGATGCCGACTATCCTTCGGTGATTATTCTAATCTCGAACTCGACCAAGGCGGAAGAAATGGCACAGCGGGCAAACGACTACATCTGCACCTCGGACAGAGAAGCCAACATTGTGATTGTATTCATGACCGTGACCGGGGGTGATAAGTGGGAGGCTGCAAAGGAGGACAAGACGGCGACATTCACTATCTGGAAACGAGAGAGGCTTCTTCAAGATGGAAAGGAAACGATCTGTGCGGTTCGCACTGAACACGAGGTGAGTGAGTCTGAGTTCAGACCTAGGCCTGACCCAACCCCAAGCCCAAAGGCGCCTTGGTTCCCGTGGCTGTATTGCATATCATATTTGCTGACTCTCTCATACACACATTAGATATTCCGAAACAAGGACGGCAGCCCCAACATGGATGCTAAGATTACCTTCTTGCTACGCGACTTCGCGCCTCAGGCCCTTGTTGATCGTTACCCGCGCCTTGGAAACAGTGTCAGAGATATTCCATTTCCTGCCCAACTCCTTTGTGGAATCCTTAAGGAAGCTGAGCTGAATCCGAGAGGAATCATGATTTCGCTGGACCTCTGGAGGATGCTACACCGACTCTGACGGAATCTCTGGGGCCGGGAGAAGCTCAAGATCAAACAAAATAGCCGGTTCCGTTAACATAAGGTACTTGAGGCTTCCGGGGTGATCATGACCGAGACCACTTGTTGATTGTATGAGTATGATAGTGGCCCGAGATCACATTCATGACTCAAAGCCTTTGTACTGCGTAGGTAGGGATGACACCCTTTTACCAGGCTAGAGCCTTGGGTCTCTTGAATGTCATGACACATTTTTACTTAGACACGTTCCTATCTTGCATACAGGGAAGTGCCAGCCACACGTCCTGGATCCTAACTGACATCCGCATCTTCTGCTCCACTAGCGGTCGCGCCATGGGAAGGTTAGATCATCTGCATCAGAGTACGACTGACAGTTCAGTCACATTCAGCCTTGGTCTAGTCGTCTGGTCTGGTCTGGTCTGGTCTGGTCTGGTCTGGTCTGTGATGGATGGATGGATGTGATGTGGTGTGGCTGGAGGCATTGTCATTTCATCACCCGCCCCTGCATTTCTGCTTTGTTTCTGACGTTAAAGGCAAATCTCAATCCCAATCCCAATATCCCGGAGACTCGACCTAGCTAGAGCCCCTTGGCACCATTAAGTAAGTCAATGTCATCAACGGTAGTGGCTACAGTTTAGGCCCAGATATATATATGTAATTGTATCTACCGTATTAAAGCGGGCAATCCTCGGTATGTATCTCCCTTAATACATATACCCGGAGGCGGCTTCGTCGTACGTCCACGTTCCGGATGCAGACAGCAAGGCTGGCTAGATATGCCCAAGACCAAGCAGGCCCAGCAGAAGTGCCAGGTGGGAGGAGCAGAGATGGGTACAGAGTGGGAATGGGAGAGTAGAGAAGGGATAGGAAGGGCTTATGAGGCCTAGAATGGGAATAAGGACTTAGCCAAGGTAAGGAAGGGTGGTGGGTGAGTGCCAGAATCCGAATCAACAATGGCGGTTTATTCGATAATTCATACGTATATACCTGTATGTAATTGGATGGTACTAGGGAGACGGAGCTCCATCTCTACCAAATCAATCCAGTGTATTGTTCAGTGCCTCGCTAGAGCAGAGATGCCATCATTCAAGGTCAGACCTAGGCCTAGTGCACCTAGCAACTCACATTCCATCTCTGCCGCTGTCACATTCCATCTCTGACACACCGTTTGCGGGCTTGTGCGAGCCTGGGCCTCGAGACCTCGAGGACAAAGGGCCAGCTCGTGCCGGTTGCAGCGAATTCTCATTCCCACACATGGAGGTGTGCGTGTCTGTTTCCGGCTTTGTTGGCTCCAGGCTACCAGTGAATACTACATATAGCTCTCGCACGCGGCCGATCTAACAGTGACAGCAGGACCCAAGTCAGAGTCTGACTATACTTCTCAAAACTCGAGGTCCAGGTCTTAGTATTAGTGGAAAAGGACTCGAATTTCACATCTCGAGATCGAGATTGAGAACCCAAGACCAAGACCAAGATCAAGATCAATCAGCGGAAGCGCGAAGCGACAGTCTGGGGCCGGCAAGCCCGACGGATTCGGCACGATGAAAACCTTTAGCATGCAAAATGTGGTGCCAGACGACATGGACTATACTGATCCGTCGAAAAAGTTCCGGCAAGTTCGGGCGTACACGGCAGCGCCAGGACAGCGGCCCGATCCGTATGCGAGGAAGGCGCCCAAGAACATTGAGCTCTGCTGGGCGTGTGGGTGGACGTGGAAAAACCAGACGCTCTCGTCGTACGGGCCTCGAGTGAGGGTGATGCATACGAAAAACAACAATGGCATCTGGACCATCGGGTCCCGTTGGGTGCTTCACGACCAGCCCAACGATCGGTACCTGGGGAACCACTACATGACGGTGAAATTCCTCCTTCGGCAGCCCGGCTTGACGATTCCTCTCCCCAAGGAGATCCACAGCCTGAGCCAACCGACCGATCCGATCCTCTTTACCTTGGAGTCGCGGGTGCCAGGGCTGCCGCTCAACCAGGTTTGGCTTGGCCTCTCCCCGGACGAGAAGGCCAGCTATAGCCGCCAGATGGCCGATATTCTCAAACAGATGCGACAGATGACGTCGCCTCGAATGCAAAAGGTGGACGGTAGCCGACTCGACGACCGCATCGTGAGTGTATGCAGCGGCAAGCAGGTCGGGAGCTGTTTCAAGATCGGATACGACGTCGATCAATGGTTTGAGGACCTTGGACCCGATCTACGCATAGGACTGGCCTGCAGCCTCGAGACTACCGATCCCATCGTCATCGAAGAGAAATTCCGCGAACTCAGAGACAACTTTCCCCCCTGTGAGCCGTATGTCCTCGCCCATGGTGACCTCAACCTCACGAACATCATCGTCAAAGACGGCAAAATCCAGGGTATCATCGACTGGGAAATGGCTGGATACTATCCTTGGTGGATGGACCGGTGGGTTCAAGGCAATTTGCCGGGAGGGCCGGGTTCTGAACTGGACACAGATGAACTATTCGATCCAATTTGGAAGGAGCTTGAGCCAGACTTGTCCCGGGAAAAATTCGTGGAGCTGGTTCATCGTCCGATTGAAGAGGCAACCCAGGCCTTCTCCAGTTGTACTAAAGACCATCCATACCGCAACGTCCCAGAGGGACTAATCGAGGACTGCCCAATGTGGCTAAAGGACTCCTTTTGCGAATGTCAGCCCATCCAAGGACACTTCAAGCCGCAATTTTGGGGAGTGGAGCAATCTTGTGAAATCGACGCAAGGTGGAATCCAGAAGTAGATACTAGGATGCTTGAGGAGCGATATAAGAGAAAGGACCCACGTGCTCTGGCTTCGACGCTTGGGAAAGATTTGGAAACACCGCCGAGTGGCAGTGGCCAAGACGAGTCGAAGTAACAGAGGAAGGAAAAGGAAAGGAAAGGAAAGGAAAGGAAAGGAAAGGAAAGGAAAGGAAAGGATGAGATAAAATCATCTTCGAGCTATTCCCAGTTCTGGGTACAATGAACGGCAGATCTCGAATTGCCAGGACCAGGAGATAGGAATGCTCAAAAACACAACCGAGTTGCAAACATGGTCCAGAAACAGACACCTTATCCTCATCCTCACCCTCCTGCACCACCACCACCACCACCACCAACAAGAATAAAGAAATCTCCAGCCACAATAAGGCAACATCTTTTCAAGCGAGTACCCCAGCATCCCTCCCAGGCCAGTAGCAACACCGAGATGGCTGATAGCTGCACCACCAGCACCCATCAACGGCTGTGACAAGAGAAGCCATGTCTTCGAATGGATGTCAAGCTTCACTCAGATCTCGTGTCGCCAGCCCTGATTTCAGTCAGTATGATGATCAATGTATCCCATAAAACAGACTTTGCTTACCGGATAAAGCGTGTCCATGTTCATGATTTGATCCACCACGTCACAGAACACTTGTTTCGTGACCCCGTTGTTCCATTTGTACACTCTGTTATTGTCTCCTCTAGGTCTGCCACTGAAGCTGAATCGTGTTTTGGACCCTATCTTGCTGATGATGAGAGCTGAGTTACCGGTTCCATCAACAAACCGCAGAGCGGCTCTGTCATGTTTGGACAAGTCGTTGAACATCTCCACAACATCTCTAGCTGGGAGGTAACCTTCGCCGCCACCAGGACGAAATGTTGTGATGAGCGTTTGAACTGGGTTCGTATCGAATTTTGTTGGAATTGCGATATTGCCACAGCCTTCGCAAACAGTCGCATAGGAAGGGTTGTCGTGGACGCAAAACCAGCAGGTATGGGCTGGGACCTGGGTGGAAGACATTTTGAGACTGAAAAAGTGTATGGAGTGTATGGAGTAAACTGGAGGGCAACTTGTAGTGTGAAAGGAGTGGACAGAGTCTTGTGGATGTGCTTGGTGGTAGATGAAGAAACAAGAATGCTTCTTAAGCCTTTATACAACTTCTATGAGCCCTCTTGAGCACGCAAACTATGGTGGCGTGGGTTTGCACCTCATAGTCTCACATGTCCCAAATTGCCCTGGACCAGGTCCTTGCTTGTCTCAGACATCGCTGCAGAACAAGCAAAGCGCAGGAGGTTGGAATCAAAGGAAACAAGCAACCCACTCTTTGGTGCTTGACAACGACCGGGCACGCTGGCCAGACAAACATTTCCAGGGAGACACTCACATTATGCATCATGCCGGCATCGCTTGCGCATGTAGATGTAGATAGTGTCAAAGGAAAACATGGTCAATCAGCAAACACGTGGGGCATCAAGCTCAACAACGCTCAACAACGACTGGCTCCTCCTGTCATGTAACAAATTCGAAGTGTAGTGTGACTGCAATTGCTTCCCGCTGCACTGGACATAATCAATGCATGAATGAATGGCTCAAGTTGCTCAAGCGGGGCATGGGAACGTTTGCTGCATCATCATGCCTCTTCTGGTCTCACTTATGATTCCTGAGACTAGCTCGCTGGCAGAGAGATAGAGCCTGGGCCTCAGAGCGCAGTGGCTGAATTTGCCCCCCTGCAATAGGATGCCTCTGGTCTGGAATAGTAGGCATGCAAGGCTGACAAGGGAAGGGGACATCGGGACAACAGAACGGGGGCGGGGGGCTGGGGGCGGGGACGCAGCGCCAAGGGACAAAGGACAACCAACCAGTCTGAATCGCAACCAGCATCTGCCTCTGCCTCTTGCCTCTGATTTTGGCTTTGGCTTTGCTCTTTGTGCAGCCGAGCTGCATTTGTCTCTTGGAGGAAACAGACAAGAGTGATGACTGCATGGTTGAAGCAAAGGAAAGCAAAGGAAAACAAGTGGCTGCGTGGCTGCATGGACGCGTGGCTGGTCTCAACCCAAACAAACAGGTTTCCTTTGCCTTCTCCCACTGGCAGCACAGGCCGAGATCTCGGCGCCACACATGAGCCCGTGCATTGTCTCTGGGAGATGAATGAAAACGGAAAGCATGGAGATGATGTGAGGCTGGTCTGACCTTCTTCTTGGTTGGCCTGCAAATGGAATGTCAGAGATGGAATGTGAGGATGAAAGAGGAAGTTGATGATCACGGAGAGGAGAGCGCCAGGGGATGGCAGCCATGATGCAGCCTCGACACACACCTAGGAAGGATCTAGGATCACAGATAGCAGATCACAGATCGCAGATCACAATAACCATAGCCATGCGGAGGACTCGACTTCTCAGTTCTTGGACCGTGAAGTCACGTCTGCCACCAGTGCCAATGTCGTTATTTTATTCCTTCATCAACGAGGTCTTGAGAACATTAGACTATATACATCGTACCTCCTAGGTGGGAAGACTACCAGGCAGGTATACGATGCACGTACGCGTACTACGAGAGGGTTCGAAGTGCGTCGCGTCGCGTCTTGACAACACTTGGCACCTGCTTGGCACGGGTCTGACCCCCCACGTGACCCGCTTAGTCACAGCTTGCTGACTCTGTCCACGTGACCACTCGAACGGTACTGCGAAGTACAGTACTCGGTATGTGCGCTCTGCACTCTGCACTCTGTACTCCGGATTACTTGCAGCCTCGTAGCCTCGTCGCCCCCCAACTCCAACTTGTAGAGACTACTCCGTAGAGAGAGAGATTCTCTTGTCACAACGCATCTCTTGCTCGGTCCGTGAGACTAACTAAGCCCACCACTACCGACCGAACCAAGCTATTCCTGACTTCCCCGAGTTTTAGTTTAACCAAACCACTGTGCCATTTTGCAGTCAGTGACTGCTGCGCCACTGTGCACACACCGTCTTGCAAAACTCCATGAATCAACCGGAGTGGCGGACTTCCTGTCGAGAAACAGACCGCCACCGCCCCCGCTGGTACATGAATGCAACCAGACATGCAAGCCAACCGCCGCTGCCGGCATGCCAAAGAAGGTCAACATCAAACCTCCTGGATATAATTCGCAGGTACACAACGCGTCTCACCGTTCTTCTCCACTTCGGCCCAGCCATCTCCTGTTCCCATGCTGACCAGGACAAACCTTTCGCCCTCGGACATGTCGAACTCGGCATCGCTTTGGGCATTGTACGGGTACAATGCCTCGACATACTTCAATTTCTTCGCCCCACGCTTAGGCGCCACAGCCGGACCCTGTTTCTTCTTGGTCGCACCCGCGACAGTCGAAGACGCCAGTGAAGTACTAGAAGTGGACGCCAATGATGGTGGCCGCTCATACGCCGGAGTGGTTGCCGTCGTGGGAAGCTCTTCGAGGTAGGCTGTAGGCACGAGGCCTTCTTTGCCAAAGCCGGCTTGTACTTTGGTCCATCCGCCATCTGGAAGCCCATTAACATCAGAGCATCTACGACGGGTTCGATTCGCCTACCGTCAGGTTCTAAGATCTTCACTTCGGTCCCTTCCGAGAGTGTTATCTCACCTTCGTCCCTGGCGTCGTAGGGATAGAGCATCTTTGCCCGTGGTTGGCTGCTTCCATTGGTACCCGAGCCGACAAGAGCACTCACAAATGTGGCTGGGGGAGGCGCGACTATGCGGTTCCGCCTCATGCCACCGGACGTCGTCGTGCCTGCGCCCGCGCCCAGAGCGGGCGCGTCGTCTTGCGTTGTGGATCTGGGTATGTTACCTGACAGCGATCGTGTCCCACTGGCAGCATAGCCAGACGAGAGACTGCTCATGGTATCTTGTCTTGTCAGGGACGGAGGAATGTTTGCACCATTCGATGCTGGCGTTTCTGCCGCCGCTATTGCAGCGGCTTGTCGTTCAGCCTTCAACTTCTTTTTCTCCTCCTTCGTCTGCTCCCCTGGGCAGTCCGCCGGCACCTTCATATGGCACTTACTGTGGCATGTAAAGCCGCAGTCTGTGCAAATGAATCCTTTGGCACTCAGACCCCAAATCCGATCGCCGCATAGATCGCAGTTGGTGGGGATTTTGAACGTCTCGGATTTGAACGTGTGGCTTTTTCCATACATGCTGAGATCTCCGACGACCGAGGTGATTGTCGAGGTTTCAACTTCGGCCGTCAAGCGCTGGCGATCGATGGCATGGAGTTCCTCTTGTACGGTGAACTGCGATCGGACGCAATCAACTTCGTCGCGCCGATCCTTCCCTGCTCGGATGTTCTCACGGGCCTTCTTCACATTTTCCAATTCGCGTCTCTTCTGTTCAGATGCGGCTTTGAGTTGATTGATCAAGGGCTTACTCTTCTGGAGGATATTGCGAAGGAATATTTTGGAGGTTTCGTCGGTCATCATGTTGTCGGCATCCAGCCAGACCGGAGACGGTTCAAACACCAGATGAGGAGGCTCCTGCCATTGCACAGCATTGTGCCGGACAAACATATTGCTGTCGAGCCTCGGATCGTTTCTGGGGATCTCGGCCGACAGGTGGGACATGTGATCGGTACTCCGCTTTAACGTGTTGGCCTCGAGCGCCGAAGCAAGTAGCCAGAGGCTGTTCAATTTAGCCACACGGGTCTCGTTCAAGTCCTGCAGGGAGTCAAGGAGGTCCGGAACGTAGTCGTGATAGTAGCATTCTTTCAGCTTGTTTGTCACGTTGATACCGATCAGGTACGTATTTTTGGCGTTGTTCATTTCTGCCAGTTGCTGGCTGTACGCACTTTGAGCTTTGGCCTTGTCAAAGGAGGATTCGGCCTTCTTCCGGCGGTTCTCGACTTCTTGACAGACAGTGTCATATCTGGCCTTCAATTTCTTCAAGTCGCCGTAGGACGAGTCCCGCTCCTTGACCAATTTGAGCTGGTATTCTGCATGGCTCTTCCGTAGCTCTTCCAACTTCCGGGTGTTGTACTCCAATGGTGTGGCTACCTGACTGATCAGGTCTTGTGCAAACTTGCCATGTTCATTGGCGCGCGCCTCCAAAGTGGACAGTTGGGTCGTCCATGTTGTGAGAGAGGCTGACTCCAAGGATCCCGGCGTGAGAGCAGGGCTGTCCCCGACGCTCAGGTTGCTCGATCTCTTCGCTTTCTTGTCATAGTATTTTTTCGCCAACGCCGTCAACTTCTGACTGTATTCCTTCTCGATGGCGGAGCGTTCCTCATAGAATTCTTGGATCTCGGTGAGCCAGGTGATTCCGAGACTGACCTGTGTCGCACGCAGGATTTAGGTCGGTTCGGGACGAGCGGAGGTGTCAGGGTCACTTACCCAGTTATCGACCGGCTTATAGCCGTCCTGCAACAAGATCAGCGGGGGTGCCGGAAGCAGAAGCACGCAGACAAACTCATCTCACCTTGAGTTCTGCGCCGAAGCTGACGGCGGCGACTTGAGACATTGTGCATGGGAGGAGCAAGCTAACGCAACAGCATCATTCCTTCCGCTCCTTATCACAACTCCACCACGCCGATCAGAATCGAGGTCGAGGGTGAGGTCGCGTCAACGTAGGGTGCAGGGTGCAGTTTGGGACATTGCACGGCCGGCGTTTGGCGGGGGTTGTTGGGGGTTGTCGAAATGTTGCTGGGATTTGGCCTCCTTGCTGCAGCCTTCTGGGGTTGGCGTTGACGGCTCGGGGCTGCAGAGGCTGAAAGGGCTGCTGTGGCTCAGGCACTCTAGCTGGTACTTACTGTACAGATATCCGTACCTAGGTACATAGCACTGGCAATGGGGGGTTCACCCCGCCCTCACCGCCTGCGCCACACGCCACACCTTGGGCTTAGAGAAGCCTTAGGAGCCTACTACGACTAAGGCGCCGCACTTACCACTTGCAACAGACCCGCGGGAGCCAAGTTTTGCAATTAAATCGCATCCGCATCCAACAATTTGCCTCACCCGATTGATCATTGATTGCAAACACAGGGCGAGCAAGGCACTTGAGTGTGCTATTGTCGGGGCATCTCTAATTGACTCTAATTGACTCTTCACTTGAATCTCAATCGGCCTCCAATCATTCCTCCCTTCCTCTTTGCACCCACCACCTGAACCATCGTTCGTTTTGAAACATCCCTTCCCAACCTCAAGCGACGCCCCTAGACGTCTTTCTCTCTACCTCTTTGCACCGCTCAGCCTCGACGATCCCTCCCCAATCTTAAAGACCACCATGTCCGCACCTACCGCTGACGGCGGGTCTCTGGCAGGCCGCATCTCCAAACCCGAAACAATGAACGCTCAAGCCGAGTCCTTCCAGCCGCAATCTGGTACATCCTGGGCGGATGAGGTTGCCTCTCCTGTGACCGAGAAGCCCTCGGCCCCGGTGGCCGTAGAGGAGAAAAAGCCAGAGTCGTCGGAGGCGCCAGTCTCGCAGGTGGATGGAGCTACCGCACCTTTTGGTGGATCAGAGCTGCATGAGCCAGAATTTGATGTTGAGGTCAAGTTGGCGGACATGCAAGCAGATCCAAACAATCCACTGTACTCGGCCGCCTCGTTCGAGCAGTTGGGCCTGTAAGTGATGGTACGCTGTCAAGACCTGGGTCGGCACTGACGGTTTAGGCACGACAACATTCTCAAAGGTGTCATGGCCATGAACTTCCGGAAACCGTCCAAGGTGCAAGAAAAGACACTGCCGCTTCTCCTGTTGAACCCTCCGCACAATCTCATCGGCCAATCTCAGTCTGGTACTGGAAAGACCGCCGCTTTCGTACTCAACATCCTCCACCGTCTAGACCTCAGTACCGAACAACTGCAGAAGGCGCCGCAGGCGTTGGTGTTGGCTCCAAGCAGAGAGCTTGCACGACAGATCGTGGGCGTGGTCAAGGTGATGGGATCGTACATGCCTGGCCTCATCGTCGAAGCTGCCGTTCCTCAAGACGCTGCTTCACGGGGACGAAAGATTGAGGCGTCCGTGGTGGTCGGAACTCCCGGCACTGTGATGGACATGATCCGCAAGAGATCCATGGATATGAAAGGTCTCAAAGTACTCGTACTGGATGAGGCAGACAACATGCTCGACCAACAAGGTCTTGGAGACCAGTGCATTCGTGTGAAGGCGTACGTCTTCGCAACTCCTATCCCCTACCAGAAGCTGACCTATCCGCTAGCATGCTCCCCAAGAATATCCAGATCGTGTTGTTTTCCGCCACTTTCCCTGACAACGTGGTCAAGTATGCAGAAAACTTTGCGCCTAATGCCAATCAGATGACCCTGCAACACCAAGATTTGACCGTCGAGGGCATCAAGCAGATCTATCTTGATTGTGACAGTGACAAGGCAAAGTACGAGATTTTGGTCAAGTTCTACGGGTTGATGACGATCGGCTCCTCCATCATCTTCGTCAAGGTATGTAGACGTCCCTGTCGGTCATCTTTGGCCTTTCTAACGGACATTTAGACCCGAGAAACCGCACTCGCCATTGAACAACGCATGACCGCCGAAGGTCACAAGGTCGTTTCTTTGACTGGAGGTTATGAAGGAGCGCAGCGAGATGTCATTATCGACTCTTTCCGCATGGGCCACGCCAAAGTTCTCATCACCACCAACGTCCTCGCCCGCGGTATCGATGTGCAGTCCGTATCCATGGTGGTCAACTACGATGTTCCGGACAAGTTTGTTGGCGGCGGCAAATTCGTTGCGGATCCGCAAACATATCTCCATCGTATCGGTCGGACTGGACGGTTCGGTCGTGTGGGTGTGGCAGTGACTTTCATCAGCAACCGGGCCGATTGGGAGAAATTGATGGAGATCCAGAGATACTTTGGCACGGAGATGACCAAGGTCGCGACCAACGACTGGGACGAGCTCGAGGAGACTGTCTCCAAGATCATCAAGAGCTCGAGGGCAGGCGCCAATTTCAAGGATGGAGCGAGGATGGAGATGCAAGACTAAGGCGGGAGGACCGAAAAGCGGCCTTGCTCGAAACGGCCCAGTGGACGGCACTAGTTGAACGAAACGATGCGCGTTGATTACTTAGTACGACGTCATGACGCGGAGCGTTGCCTCCCAACGCACAGCAAAACACAAGAAACGGGCTTGAGGCAGAGAATGAGAGCGTCTGTGGGTTGAAACGTGGCTGTGGAGAAACAAAACGGGGAATAGATAGCACCTGAACGACTTTTTCTCGATACCCATAACAGGTGCGCCACCCGAGAAGAATGATGGGAGAAACGATTGTACTACAACATAGGGCTCTTGCCGCACCAAGCAACCGAGCGTCTTCCTCCGCCTCGCTTCCATGCCTGACCTCTCCTCAGCCATGCCGGGCTCGTCGAAACCAAAAGATGGAATCCCCACCCACGTAAGAGCAAAAGCCTCAGACATGGTCCATTGTCCAAGATTCGGGGATTGGGTGGCCAGTCAGGTCGGCCAGTGGCTGCGCGGACTAGGAAGAATGCAGTGACGCCGAGTTTGCGGCCAGCAGCTTGCGGCGGTTCTCCCGAGCTCTGGCCATCAGCAGCAACAGGCGGTCGGTGGCTTTGCTGTCGAGGAACTCGACGATGCGTCGGATGCGGCGGCCGGTGTCGTCCATGGTGAGGAGGAAGATGTACTCCCCGCGATAGGCCCACTCGTCGGCGGGCAAGCCGTCGTCCTTCAACTCGTCGCGGAACAGCGCGTTGCTGGTGGCCCAGACGGTCACGGTGTTCTGGATGTCCGACTCGATCATCTCCTTGGCCGTGACGGGGAAGCCGGCCAGGACGTCGCGCAGGCCGGCCAGATGGGCGGCAAAGGTCGCATTGTCCTTGGGCGTCGTCAGCGCGCCCAACGATGCCGGCGCGAAGAGATGCGTGCAGTCGGCGGTGCGGGTAGAGACGAGCGCGTCGGCGGAGAGGTTGGCGAATCCCGCTATGAACGTCCTGGCCGTTTCGAGCCGGGGAGATGCAGATGCAGATGTGGATGTCAATGTCATTGTTATTGTCGTCCCTCCGTATCGACCTCTAGTCGTTCACTTGGTTGTTTTGTTTCTTTGGTTTTTTTCGTTTCTTCGTTTCTTCGGACTCGAACTCGAACTGAATCAACTGTTAATCTTTATTTGGCAGAGATGGAAACATCATGATTCTGTGTGCCTCGCGATCATGCCTGAAATGTGTAGGTCTGCATAGGTTACTTGTAATAGCTTCGGGATGAGGTGATCACATGCTTCGAGGGAGGGCGACATGCAACGTTTCATTACCCTGGGTGCCCGGGGGTCATCTATACCTCTTGAGTTTCAATCTATGATATGTCCGTGCGTATCGCGTGGCGGCTATGTTGGCAGCAGTGGCGTTCAAGGGCACTAAAGTAAGTATATTCGGAGTATAGAGTAATATGTTGGAAGTCTTCTTCAGCCTTATCTTGAGGACAATGGGCATCTGGTGGCATGATATATATAGCATCCCTGCCCAATTGAGGTTAGTGTACGGGGATAACTTGGCCATATCTCCGGCGGGTCTTGGGCGTTTCATCGGAGCTAAGGCGCTACTTCCTCCGTGCTTCGTACTTGCGAGCCCTGCGCATTCGCGGCCGCATCATTACAGATACATGTACTCCGTATCTCTCTTCCCTCTAGTAGGTACACTATATGAAGCTGACCTGTCGAGTCACAGAACCACTCGCCTCCTCTACCATCAAAGAGCCAAAAGCGACCCCGAGACGCCGCACATCCTGTTAGCCACCAAGACCATGTGCAATGATCTACCCACCCACCGACCTCGAAAACGGTTTCGATCTTTGTATGCGCAACCTCTTATTGAGCAGACATGCGGCCGCGACATTGCCAGCGGCACCACTACATCCCAGAGAAGTTATATCAGTGGATGGGCGAAGAACAACGAGTGGCCAAAGGAATTCTTCGAATCGGACAAGATGCAGCACATGTTTTCAAAGAAGAAACCTTCAGCGGCTTCTCTTCGCCGTAAAAGGTCAGAGGCAAGCCTCGTTACACTGGCGACACGCGATTCGAAAATATGATTTCACAGACCGAAACGGCCTGGAGAAGTGGACAGCATACAGGTTTATGAAGAACGTCTATGACATATGGATGCCGACTCACTTCAAAGGGATCTGTTCGGCCATTGACGAGTTGCCTTTGCTTTCTGAGCAGGATTTGGAACTGCTCCACAGCTCAGAGCCGCAGGTTTCAGAGAGATCAGGCCTCCCGCAGCGGCTTAAAGAGCAGAATTGGGCGGAGGTGCATGACAATCAATTGAGTCCCATAGATCTGCAACAAATCACTCCAGATGGGTCAACGCAAACGGACACGAAACCTCCCAAGCAGAAGAAGGGTAAGGCCTGATACCGGATGTGAATCGCGCGACGCTTTCCTTCTACGTATCGAGTATGAAATTGCGGCTAGGCCCCAGGCGGCCCCCAGGAGCATAGGAAGCGCGGGCCCTTATTTCTCCGTCCTGTACTAATGCGGCGGAATAGGCAGGCGGCCTCCCTAGAGTCAGCTGCAACAATCGCGCGCTGGCGCCTTTTGCTTCCCTGCTCCGACCAACTGTTATGTGAGGTGACATGCGTGGTTTGTTCGAAAGTGTCCTGGCGACAAGCCTACCTATACCCACCGCTATTCCTCATCTCAACGTGTTCTACTCCTATACTCCTAGAACTGACCTTGACCTCCCACCTGCGATGCAATGTCCAACATCTACTCCTTAGACGACAGGATCCGCGAGTTCTTCGAGACTCAAACATCTGCTACTCGCCAACAATGCCATGAAGTCGCCCTGTCCCATATTGGGAGCCCAATCACTCCACCACCATTCGAAGGGAGGGTGCCCTTCTTGCAACTCGGGGCTATAATACACTTCTCGCCATCCCCAGCTCCTTCGATCCCTCCCACCGCGACCTCAACCGGCGACCCCTCCTCCTTTGCACGGGCGGCGTCCCATGTCGCTTCAAATTTCTGGAAGAAGCATTGAAATCCATCACAGTTTGATATGAGCATTTTGATCAGTTCCACGCGTGTAGGTAAATAGCTGTCTGTCGGCGATTGTTTTCAACTCTGCGTTCATTCAGCATTTTCTCCTCTCGCTGTGCCTGGCGCCGCGACCTTCGACACGCCTACCCCACAACTTACCGTTATCAAGGGGAGGATGGTTGCCCATACAATGGGCGCTGTCGTCCCTGGGGGCCATTCGAGCCAAAATCATCCCGATCGACGTGATTGAATGCAGTCTGCTGCGCACTTGCCTCTTGTAGTGTCACATCAAATCCGAACTTCACAACAACCCTATACAATACACGTATGTCTTTGCGACCAGTCGACTCGTGGCTCAGCGATGGCAGCTGGATAACTTTGTGTTGTTGATAGAGATACACAACATCGTCGTTATTGTGAGGGAAAATATCCATACCAGAGGTGGGTTTGAGGCTATGAGTTGAAGGCGCGCCGAGTAGACTTTGACGCTCGAGCGTCATTACATACCTTTATTCGGGACCGGATCAGTTATGTTGTGGTTAGAGGCCTCCTGTCGACTGTTCATCCATGCTTCTAGCTTTTCAAACTGTCCATTGGTCAAAAAATGACACAAAAAGTTACCAGGTAGGATTGTATAAACTTACTTCAGCTGGCAAAAAGAAATGCAACACTGAATGAATACTCATAAGCTGCTGAAGCGCTTGTTGATCATATGTGAGCCTTTGAAGTAATAAATTGCTGAACTCATCGCAGTTTGACTCGCGCGCGATTGTTGCCGCTTCGAAAATTGAAGGATAAGCACCCGCAAATCCCCAGTCGATAAGATATAGGCGCCCAGACGAATCCAGGATTAGATTCCGAGGCATGATATCTAGATGAGTCATAACAAAAGTCGGGAACTTGAAAGGAGGGGTCGTAGTCGGCGCATTTCTAGTCGTTTTAGCTACTTCGAGTCTTCCATTACACTAGTCCTCGAAATCCGAAACACTTGTAAATGGTCCTGAGCCGTAGGCTGAGAACCATCTCCTATTGCTCGGTCCGCCACCAATTGGCCCCGGCAGAGGGATGTGGAGGTATTGTAATTGCCAAATTATCTCCGCGACTTGGCCAATGATATTTTCTCGCTCGTCCGGAAGGAGCTTCTCCCAGCATTGTGAAAGGCAAACACCGTCGACGTAACTCATAACAATGTATCCAGTAGAGTCGTAGATACCACCAGTGCCGTAGACAAGGAACGATCGATACACTCGCGGAAGATAGATAGATGTCTTCTGAGCCACTAGTTTCATAGCTTCGGCCTCAGAAGGAAGGGTCAGAGGGGATTTCTTGATCACAAGGTTTCGAGAGATTCGAGCTACTCGTGCACCACAAAGAGTGTGAAGCGATGGAGCGGTGTCAGCGATAGCAGCTAGCTCTGATTCTGACACTTTAAATATGTCACAGCCCTCTAATGGGAAGTCTGTGTTCGGATCGGTGGCTGCAGGCTAGATGTATGGTCACTTTCGGTGTTTGAAACGTGGATTCCGAAACGTACGTCGCTAGTCGCCTCGAATTGATCTTCGATGTGATCTTCAGCCATGGGTACTGAGTGAAATCCCTCTCTGTACTCCGTAGAAACATCCTGATAAAGTTGAAGGGCGAAGGGTTAAACAAGTGAGGTCGATAGTAAGGCTGAGGTCGATAAAGCATGGCTTGGCATACGTAGTTAGTTTAATGTGACACATGCCCGCTCACGTTCGCAGCACCAACGCAATTCACCACCTCTGTCGAAGATGTCCACTAAATAATGGACAGATCATATTTGTCTGTTCTGCACATGCTACGGATACTCGTACTCGTACCGTCAAAGTTAGCCTCTACACGTCCCATGCTCGGATGCTCCCGGTCTATCAACCGTACTCCGTAGACTGCGGGGTATTGGCTGGACATTGGATAGTGCGAGTCAACGGTCACGTTATGGAGCCCGGACGGAAGGTGCGCCGAGCGTCTCCTACTTGTCTTCTCTTGCTACTGACGTTTTATAAAGCCGGTGCAGAACAGGCCCTTACTTTACGAGCGCATACGAGTATGACAACCTGGAACGTTGTTGGTGTGACGTGTCTGTCCTTATTATAGTCCCAGGCCCACCTCCAGGCCTCACAACAGGCAACAGACGTTCGACGACCAACCACGCCATGCTCAGCACCGGCGCCTCCTTCCTATCACACCGCAGCCAGCTAGGCAGCAGCACCCCTTCGAACCCCGACCACCTCCTGACCTCGTCTGCGAATTCGCTCTTTTACTCTCCTCGTCCGCCTTCATGTTTGCACTGGAAAAACCTGCGTCGAGGAAACGACGCCGCACCTCCACTGAGCCTTCAGATCGCGAGCACCCACCAGTTGTGAAAAAACCGCGATTGCAGCCCGAGAGTTTCCCGCAACCTCACCGTCGTCATCGCCCTGCGAGCTTCTGGGACACGTTGTCCAAGATCCGATTGAGCAACGGCGCCCTGAGAGAGTTCGACCGCAGGAACGAGCAGAAGACCAAGCAGTCATATCTCGCAACAACACCAACTGCCGAGTGTCCGACGGGGCGAGCATCTGATCTCAAAAGATTTTCTCGCCTTGGTGGTCCTGATATATCACACCTACGAGGGGTACGCTTGTCCTGTGCCAGGTGCACTATGGAGATGAAGAGACTAACTGAAGACCCTGCCAGTTCGCCAGCTTACCTCTTCGAGTCACCGAGGCGATGAGCGATTATTCCCATTCCCGAAGCCGGAAACGGTCTTCTACCTCGTCACAGGCTGGCTTGACCAGACCCTCCAACACTACAACCAAAAGTGGGAATTTCGAACAAAAAATGATTGATAATGGTGTCTACCCTCACCTCTACGAACACCCGGATGGCCGTAATGAAAAGCCGGCCAATTTTGGCGACATCCAAGCCAGACTCAGGACTGCACGGCCATCACTATCACCGTCGCGATTTAGTGATACAGAATTCGATGCGTTCCAGCGAGAAAATGCGAGGGCGTCTACTGAGGGTACAACGATGAGTAGGGTCATGCCCTTCCTCGCTGGAAATGAAGCCACACACCACCGAGTACAGGTGGATCACCCGTTCAACAACCTTGAACCTTTGGCCGCAGGCGTCAGCTACGCTAAACCCGACGTCTACTATGGGGCGCAACCGTCTGTCATCAACCCGCGTGTCCGGAGTGACCTGGGCAAGCACATCATTCCTTCCACTACCACCAGCCGTCCTGTGGCGCCGAATTTCTTTCTGGAAGGCAAGGGCCCAAAAGGACAAACGGATGTGCTCCAGCGGCAAGCTTTGTATAATGGAGCCTTAGGAGCTCGAGCCATGCACAGCCTACAGAACTACGGTACGAACACACCGGTCTACGACAACAACGCGTACAGCTTCAGCAGCACTTACCACGATGGCCAGTTGAGGGTATACGCGACACATCCTACCCAATCCACAGTCCCTGAAAGGCAGTCTGACTATCATATGACTCAAGTTCGTTCGTTCTCACTGACAGACACCCACGACCGATTTCGAGAAGGGGTTACCGCCTACCGCAACATCCGAGACCTGGCAAAGGAACAACGTGATAGCTTCATTGAAAAAGCGAATCAGAAAACCAGCCAGATGCGCACCAGCACGAGCACTACCTTCACGGACAGCCATGCATCCCAGTCAACCCCTCTACTTGGTGGGTCGGACACTTCTGAAGACGAGCTGGCTCGTTATGAGGCGGCCCCCGCCAAGCGTCTTAGACCAGGTACATCGCGATAGTGCCTCTCACCGCATTGTTAGAGAGCCTAAGGTTAGGACCGGTCAAGCATAGGGGTCGCCAGTGCTCATGCAGCTCAGTCATCATCGTCAAAGTGCTCCGAAGCGAGGATCGCAAGTTTGTGGTACGAATCGCCCGATGTGGTGATGCTACTCCCGTTTGTAGTCTTAGCCCTTCGATACAGCACCCATACAGTAAGGTCAACGGTTTAGGCCCTAAAGTATAGGGGTCCACCCTGCTAATGGGGAAACGCTCTCCAGACACCTTGGAATGCTCTTCGACATGTTTTTGACGTTTCAACATGGCGTTTGGGTGCCTCGAGACCGACATTGGCGTCCCAATGATTCACTGTTGGGTGTAGTAATAATATAGCATTGGTGGTATGTAATGCATGGCTGAAATATCAAGAGGAGTCACCTGACCGGCCTGTCTTTGATCCTCTCTTCCCACTGCACGCGACTTGGTTTCCTTCTTATCAGAGACAGCCACACTAATGTCAAGCCTCCTCCTTCCTCTTCTTCGATGACACCGCTTGCGGATACACGTCTTGCAGACGAGTTCACCAGGCCCTAGCAGCGCCTACGTTTTCTCGCAGATTTACCATGTCCAATCTGATTCATGGATCAACCGCTCAGATCACTATTGAGACCAGTCACGCCGCGAAAACATATAGCTCGAACGTCGAGAATTTAACACGAGAACTTACCGTCTATAAACGACTAGGCAAACACCCCTACGTCGCAGAGCTGCTTCACTTCCAAGATCAGACTCTTTATCTAGAAAGAGGACAATGTCTAAGAGACATGCTACGGAAGTGCGATATCACCGATCAACAGAAAACCAATTGGATCATTGGACTTGCCCTAGGACTGGAATATATCCATTCTAAAAACGTCGTACATGCCGACCTCAACGCGGCCAACGTCATTATTTGCAAAGTCATCCCGAACAAAAATTGCGCCAAATGGATTGATTTCGGCGGTTCTGGTATTGATCACCACCAAGCGTTGGCAAACTACGATGAGTACAGCTATCAACCTCCACAGCCTCCGAACCAACGAACGGATATTTTCGCTTTCGGTTGTACCATGTTTGAGATCGAGACAGGGGTGCCTCCATTTTACAAGGAGACCCAAGGCATGTCAGTGGATGCAACAATCTCTTATGTGGAAGAAAGATACACTGCACGGCAATATCCCCAAACAGAACATCTACGCTTCCACTCAATCATCACTGGCTGCTGGCTGGGCCGGTATAATTCAATGCAGGAGTTGAGAGAGGATTTGGAACTCAATTTTGGGCACGAAGAGCAGCATGTTGTGGACTTCTAGCCGCGTGCAAGTCGGTGCGGGACAGTATCGTGGACATATGGAATCGACTTGCACGGCAATGCAGATTCGAGTCGCATTCGGGTGTGTGCAGAGGTCGGGAGGCGGTAAATTGACGTGTCTGAATGTGTGTCTTTGAAGAAGCTGAGGAGTGTGTCATCTCGAGACTTGGGCAGGGTTCGAATCAAGCACAGCATATGTTCCCACCCCTGGCACGAGATCTCAACATATCGAACGGGACAATCTTCCTAGGCGGTCAGGTGGGTGTTCAACCTGTGGGTGGCTAGAGGGCCCTTCGAATGCTCCAGGAACATGAACGGCCCTTCCTTTTCCCTTTGGATCTGACGTCTTCTTGCTCAGACTTGTTTGCATAGGACATGACTCTGAGTGTCTGCTGGGGCTCCTTACGCAGGACGTGGCTCCGAGTATCTGCTCGGGCTCCTTTCGCGCAGGACGTGGCTCCGAGCTCGAAGAAGGTGGTGGGTGACCCCAAGGCCCCGCTCACATTCGGATCAACAGGAGAGCGAGCTCTAGATTCTGTACTAATAGGAGAGCCAAGAAACCCTCAATGCCAAGGAGAAAGCAGCTGAAGGCCAAGATTCGAACTCGATCAAAGACAAGATCTCTAATCGCACCTGACTCTTCCACCTATTTACTGGTTCCACTGCAGGTTTACGGAGTATCCGTACTGCTTGCCCACTGCTCGCGGCTCGCCCCGAGTCGGGACTCCGGGTGATACCTCCCGGTGAGTCACCCGTAGTGGGGTCTCCTTAGTCCAAATCCCTTCGGGACCGGGGCCTAAGGGGCTCCTAAGGCCTTAGGGCTAAGGGGGCTTAGGGCTAAGGGGGCTTAGGGCTTAGGGTGGGTGCCAGAATTAAAGGCGGTTTATCCAACTACTACTTCGATAAGATTAGGGAAACCTCCAGCTCTACCGAATGATTATCTTTCTAAGATACTAGATATACTCTACGGCCTCCCTAGAGTAAATATCCTTATTTCGAGTATTGAAATTCTATATCTATAAGATAGTAGCTGTCTGCTTGATAGAAGAACCGCCGTATAATCCGCCATGTATTTTGGTACCCAGCCTTAGGCTAATGCTTAGGCGTCTATGGGGCGCAGTGGAGTTGTTGACGACAAAAGCCTCTTGGAACAAATGTCCTTGTTGGGATATTATTTGCAAAACTAATATGGATTACTGTACCCAAAAGAAAGCGGACGGCCTGTTTTCATCTACGAAATAGAATCCGGACAAGGTCCCAACGTTTAGCCTTCTAGAGCGTGAGAAGGCAACTTCTTAAGATAGCAAGTTGAGAATAACATGGCGTTCAGAATTCTCCCCTCCATCTCTATCTAATCTTCTCTATTTTAAGAGCTTTAGACCAAGGTTCCAAGAAACTTGTCAATATGTTCACGCCAAAAAAAAAGCTCCTTGGATTGACTTGGTGTGCAGTTATATACTCCTAGTAGGGTAGCCACCAGCTAGCAGTTTCCCAATCAATAAGTTCTCGGCTCATATTAGCCTGCAACCATGGCATTTTCCCGAACGGGGTGAGACAACAGTATTAGTGCTCGGAGTTCACGGATATGATGTGACTCTGACCCCATAGGTAAGGAGAACAAAATGCCATGGTTGCAGGCTGATATGAGCCGAGGATTTAACCGAATAGCCTTGGCACGGGGATAATCACGTTTGTTGACCGCAACTTGAACCTCTACTGAACCGCAGAGCGACTACAACCAGATTTCCTGTTTGTGAACGAAGTAGCCGAGCGCACGATGGCGATGGAATGACCCTGTCTTAGAGTCCTCGCGGTACTCTGTTCTACAGTCCCTTGAGAGCTGCGCAATCCGCTCCCGCGCGAGAATGTGGCAAGCTCCAACCCTCCCCTACTATTGTGACGCTTCTCTGCTGCCGGCTCCCCTCCCAACTGTTGCAGACGTCGAGAACACACCAAATACCCTTGCGACTGGATCGTCCAATGTCGTTCGGATTGGAGACCATTTTGTTGCCAAATATGGCCCTCAAACGAGACTTCGTGTCCAAGAAGGACTCAACATGATCTTCGTCGAGCAGTACCTCAAAATACCGATACCACGAGTATATGCCCTGTACGAAGAAAATGGAAGAGGGTACCTGATCATGCAGTATATTGGTGGACAAACACTCGAGGCTCTCTGGCCGAGCCTTTCATCCGATGAGCGGTGGGTGATTCTCAGCAAGCTCAGGGGGATTTTTGATGATATGAGATCTCTGTCTCCGCCCTCACCACCGTTCTTCGGCAGTGTTGACTTTGGTCCACTCCCATATTTTCTTTTCTGGACCCCAGAACCTCAAAAACGAGTCAATGGCCCTTTTACCAATGAAGAGGAATTTTGTCTTGGCTTGGTGGAGAGGGTCCGACAGATATTTGCTGAAAACAATATGCATATGTCTCGAACCGAATGGCTGCGAAAGTACTTTCCGAGGTCTCTCACAGGTCATCGCCCTACCTTTACACATGGAGATATACAGAGGAAAAACATCATGGTTGGAAGGATATCCTCGACCGATACCGGCAAGGAAGAGTTCAGCGTGACCATCATTGATTGGGAAAATGCAGGCTGGTACCCTAATTACTTCGAATATTTCATCTCCTACACCAGCCCCTCTGGGAGGACGACTGGCCGGAGAGCGTCGAAAGATTCCTTGACCCTTTCCCTATCGAGACTATGATAATGATGCCAATTTATCATCATATTTTCTTCTGAACCTCAAATATTGATCGCTTTTCCCTTTGACCAGATACTGTTGGTAGATACGACCGCCTTTCTCAATCTCAGAAGAACAGCATATAGACTGCCTGATCAAGGCCTGCGCTAATAATTCTATAGCTTGTTCGAAGCCGAGGCCAAGAATGCCACTAAAGCAGACCGAGCGACGCTACTTTATGAAGCAGCCATCCCCGCCGCAACTGATTGGGATCCGCCAGAAGATCGCCACACCAGTAATCCAAGAATAGCAGATCCATCCCGAGTGCATGTGGCTGCATGTTGATGACTAACAATGTTGGATCGCTCGTGGCTCTGCAGCATTTGGCCCGGTTCGGCGAGCACGACGGGAGAAAAGCTGCGTACTTTTGTGTTTTGTGGTGTGTTTGCTTGGTCCGCATATCTGGTCTCTGCAATACCCCGATACTCATGGGCTGGTCGAAATTCTGAGTCAAGGGATGGAAAATGATTGGCTCACAAGAGAGCCGGTGCCGATGGATCGGTGGGGAGAGAAGCGACCTGAGAATCCGTGGGGAGCAAGCATTTCTGTTCCGAGTCGGTACAGAGGCACTGGTCCAGGAAGTTACGCAGTTTTTCGACTTCAGCAGGGTCGTCCTCTTTCTCGTAGTAGGGGTGATGCCAATAGCAGGCTTCGAAGTAGTCGGGGTAAAACCCAGCATACTCCCAATCAATGATTGCCTTCACTTCGCCTGTATCGCGGTCGCACATGAAATTATGCTGCGCCAAGTCACCGTGAATCAAGGTGTATTCGTCCACCGCAGAGGTTCGGGACTGCCAGTCCTTAGGGTTTGGGTCAAAGACTCGACGTGGCGGAATGACAAGGCCATTCGTCGTGCCCAGAGAATTCGACCTGAGTGCTCGTAGTTGAGGAAGCACTTCAGTTCGAACATACTCGTCAAGATACGAAGTCGATTGGAGGTGAGGCGGAAGGTCGTCGAAGATGACGCCGTCGATCAGTTCGGTAGTCAAGGAGAGATGGCCATCAAGGAATTCCAGTCGAAGTGGCTTGGGAACAGGAATGGTTGTATTCGAAGAAATAAAGTCTAACGTCAGGAATTCGTTGATCAATCGTTGCTGTGATCGCCACGGTCGAATTAGAACACCGCGGCTGTTTGCCCAGGGAGGGATTTCCATCTTGGTAAAGGTATTGGCGTGAGTGTCCCATCGGTACCGTCGTTCTTGGGATTCTTCTTCGACGGCCATGTTGGGAGGGAAGATGGGAGACCTCAAAACATAGAGGGGCGGTGTGATGCTTTATGCTTTTAGATTATGGGAAAGGAATGCGTGCTTAGGACAGTTCTCTCGGTCTAGTCTTATTAGGCACGACTTATCAGGCACGACTTATCGCGGCGCACCCGAGTGGGGCGAGTACGTTGTGGAGCCACGGCGGAAGGTGGGCCAAGCACCGTCCCTTACTTGCTCCTTGTCATTATATAGCCTTCTCTCTCTCGTACGTACACCTGACAGACAGACAATGACTGGAATGACGCTTTTAACCTCTGCCTGGCAACGTTCTAGTCCCAGGGCGTAGCAAGGTCACACTACGTCTACCAAGACAGCATGGCGGGCGGTCTCCTCCTTCTTACATAGAAGCATGAGATACCTTATCCAACCCCCACTGCAACTCTTTGCTGCTGCCATGACACCATCGAAGTCAGCCATCTGTCTTTCCTCTTGTTAGGCGCTGACCTCCACAGGGCTTCTATCCTTACCTGTTGAAAAGAGTTTCACTTCTTCTTTGCTTCGTACGGTGCGTTACCACACTCAAAGCAAGTCGCTTGGGATCTGCCAACTACCTTCCCGCAATGTCGGCATTTCGGCGTGGGACTTGAATGGAAACCTTCCTTGGGTATCTTTCGAGGAGGAGGTTGTGGCGGTTTTCTGTCCTTATCTTTGTCCTTCGGACGTGCACCTTGAATGCTCTTTGGCTCGGAAGGCATCTCGTTGGATGACAAGCTATGGCAGATGGAGTTTGGTGGGTGTTGCTGTCCGGCTTTGGCGTCCCATGCCCGATTTTGGTGTTCAGTGCCCAGCTTATGTAGAGCGCATGGTCGACATATATGTGTTTTCTCGCTTTCATAAAAATAAGTCATCACACGCGCTATGAAACAATCTATGGTATCCTTCAAGGCGACAGTGGTAGGGTGCCGCACTAACGGTGCCGCACTAAGGCTGCCACACTAAGGGGTTAGTGACAGTACTCAGTGCCCATGAAATGCAAACAAGTCCTTCTCAGCTAAGAGGGGACTTGGGGCCCGAAGTTGCTGAACCATGCACACGGAACCTACTGGCGGCTTCGCTTACCTTAGGTAGTATTGCTTAGCATTAGCCAGGCACCTACCAGGTTCTACCTAATGAAGCTCTACCTACACTGAAGGACCAGAACGATTCGGTGTGTGAAAACTTGAGGGGTTGGTGATGATATCAAGTAACGTAGACGTATATAGCTCTATCCATTACTCTGCTCGAGGGCAATACCTCAAATATCCCTCTTCTGATCCATTCACGAAGACAAAACAGGTAGGTCACACGCAGGAACCAAATTTTGCTCATCCTGCCGAGTACGCCTGGCCATTCCCCTCAATTTGCGGGGCGAATAGATCGCATGGTATATGGTACTGTGAATGAAAGACCGCCACATCCAACAACCATACGTGGTAGTATTGAAGCATGGCGGCATGCCGCTGCCGAAGCTAATGCTATTGTTACCCTACCACAGTCCATAGGGAAGCCAACTCTCTACATTGCCTTTCACCGACCTGGAGCTGGAATCTACCTACACTGGGTATTGCAATTGGAGTCAGACGCTGGAGACGAGACTTTCCAAGGTCATAGGAAGCCATCCAACTTTTCGACGCAATGATACCTAATGATATCACGGCAGACCGAAGAAGGTCGGGTTCTTTCTTGCGCTTGATGCTTGACTGTTAGACACAGTCAGTCATTGAGGTCCGCATTCCTACTATTCGACAGGGGGTCTAGAATACAGCAGTGGACAATGAGACGAGTGGGATTGTCAGGAATACGTGCTTGATATCATTGAACGACTTGAGGATGAATGCGTTCTCGACGTGCATGACAGAGAGTACCTGAGGCCCAATGCGTTCTCGACGTGCACGACAGAGAGAGCAGTACATGCGGCCGAAAAGGCTGGTAGAGGTGAAAGCAAGGCGTGAAGCAATTGGATTCTCCATAATTTCTATTCAAACAATCAATCATTCACAGTGTCTGCCCCAGTTATAATCAAATAACCACCGTACCGGGTCCAGATGGGGAGAGACGTACGCTGGTAGAATTTGATACCAATCGCAATCTTCATTTGCTGCCAAGCAGTTTGACCTGAGGTCAATGAGAAGGCTGTTCAATTGATCTTGTACGCAAGCCTTCGGACCTGCCGACAGGTCTGGCCAGAGTTCTGCCAAGGTCGGTCCTGACATGTAAGACATGAATGATATTGATATGTCTCCCATAGGAAGTTGTCCAAGTGGTATGGGGGCGGGAAAGTTTGGCTTATGCTCCTGGAGATATTGTAATTCGAGTTGAACCAAGTCGACAGATATTGGTGGATGGGCATCTCGGCTGCTTTTGCATTTCCGAGGTGAGAATGCCACCTTCAAGTTACGGAAGATATGTATAGAAGACAACAAGCAAGCCTGTCAAAGGTTGAGATGTTCCGTGTTCTCTATCACAGTACAGTACACTCAAGGATGGCGATGATGATGATGGGCCGGGGGAGGGGGGATCTCCCTTGCAACCAAGTGTACAGTACTCCGTACTGCAGGTTCGACTGAACCCGACTCCCTAGAACAACCTTGGCTTGGTCTTAGGGTCCTATTGAGGATGTCTGGTTTGTACCTACAGTAGGCTCAGGACCTTTTACGCGCAACAAGGACCTTGTAGGTGGCTAGAAGTCTAGGTTAGTGCCAAGGAAGCGAGCTGTTTCGTGGACTGGACAGTACTAGCGGCCAGGGGCTTGACGTCACATGCACATACCTCCTAGGTGCCTACTACTGTATACCACTTGATCCGATGTACAGCACCCCGCCCACCTACTCGCTCAACTGGAAGTGACTTCCATCCCTCCACGACCGGCGAGTTCTAGGCGCCGATCGAGACGTCGACCACTGTTAACGTGCTGTGGCTTCGTCTGAAAAATCCAGATAGCAACATCGCACTAATCATGTCCTCCAAGACGACCACACAAGCAAGATGCATCCCAAGATGCGTCCCAGAAGACATGGCAAAAGCTGTTGAGATTTCGCAAATCGCCGAAGATCTTCTCCAGCTTCAACAGACTTTCAGTCTCAGTCAGTTGGACTCTGTGTTCCTCGATACGCCACGACGAAAAGTGTTTCGGCTGGAAAATGTGGTTCTGAAGTTCGGACTCGACGTGAAGCCCGTTGAGGCGGAAACTCTTCGCTATCTAGCTCAAGCCACCAAAATTCCGCTTCCGCGACTATACCGCGATCACGTCCATGCCGACGGAACCGCAGTCATTGCGATGGAATACGTCGAGGGCAGAATCTTGTCGGATGTGTGGCCTAGTTTGTGCCCCGATGTCAAGACGAACCTTTGCGGACAGCTTCGAGACATTCTCGAGGACCTACGCCGTCATCGAAGTCATGTCATTGGAGGCATTCACGGCAATCCGGCCGTGGACACGCGCAAGCTTGTGCTTACAGGAGGCCCGTTTCCAACCGAGAGACAATTCAACGAGTTTCTACGATCTGATATGATTTCAGCCGCTCCGAAAATATACCGTTCGATGCTGGAAGACGCCATGGATGAGAAACACGACATCTTTCTGGCTCACGGTGATATCCGTCCACAGAATATTGTCGTTGATCATGGTCGTCGGAAGATCGTGGCCATCCTGGACTGGGAATGCTCCGGATGGTACCCGGAGTACTGGGACTTTGTCAAGTTCTTCAATGCCTTGGATCCCTCGCTGGACTGGTTTGACTATGTCGAAAAAATCTTCCCTGAAACCTACCCTCGTCAATATCTGACCGATAGCTTTCTCGGCCGCTATCTCCGTCACTAAATCATGGATTTGGTCACCTGGTTCTCTGGTGGCGTCGGGGTCACTATGAACAGAGAGAGAAACAATGCCAACTTATCCTTCTTACTTGGATCCTCTCTGTCGTCCCTGGACGATATTCCTCACTCCGGTGATTACCGAGGATCAAGCACTCGCGGCGATCCAACCCTTTTCACGGAGAACGTTAAGCGCATCGCAAACCCAGTCTTGCCAGTTCCTGACCTGCTAGTATGAGACCCAATCCTTTGTTTACCCGGTGGGTCCTACTCGGACAGCCAGTATTTGGTCATACGATACATACAGCACGCGGCTACGCGGAAATGATGGGATCGATCGCCAGCCCTGTCTGTGCTTCTCCAGCGGTACTTCTCAGTCAACTCCGGTGGTGTCTTTCCATTCTCACAATTGGGTTGATCTCCTACACTTGTGAAGCTGACTGATCCTTTGGACTGAAGGACAGCTGCTGATGATGGTGAACACCAAATGCTTTGCTTCAATATGTCTTCCACCCTTGGAGAGCGGTGGTTGGTAGCTTCACAGATGTCTATTCAAGAGGAAACAGCCCATAGAGATCACCTATGTCTCGATGTCTATGGAGCAGCTTAACTTCCTGGTTAGAATTGGCCCCTGTTCGAAGACATGCCGCCTAGCTTTGCTCGCTTGTACTCCGTATAGCGAGCACTGCCAGTCTCAAACACATTTGCAAAGGACTTATGGACTATGAGTCCCAAGCCTGTCATGGGTACGACGAACTCTTCAGACGAGTTGTCGAGGCTATCTTTATTGTCGAACTATTCAGACGAGATGTCAACGCTCTCTTCATCACCGAGCTCAATCTGTGCACCCTTGAGAAAGCTTCATTTGTGCCTCTAGAACCTCGTCTGCCTTGAGATACTGTTTCTTCCAGCATTGCATCATAATTGTACCGCCGATGATCCCTTTCACATCAGGATAGATACCCTTTCCCAGCAGCGCAATGACCCGGTCCTCGAATTGCCATTTATCTTCTTCTTCTCTTTCTTCTTCCTCCTGTTCTTTAGCTTCTTCTTCCTCCTGTTCTTTAGCTTCTTCTTCTTCTTTCTCTTTGGTCCGGTGGCTCGTTTTATAAGGCCACACACCAGTCATGATCGTATAGAAGATAGAACCCAGACTGAAGATATCAGTGCCGACTGTTGACTCCCAACTCAAATCCCAAAAAGGCGGATCCGGGAGACCTCTCCCATCCACACCTAAATCTCGACACATGGAACCGCCAAAATCGCACAGTTGGAGATCGAGCGAGCCTGCAGATCCGTGAACGAGGTAGTTCTCTGGTCGAAGATCCGAATGGATGACGCCTTTGCTGTGAATGAACTGAACCGCCTCTGTGGCTTGTTGACACCACTTCTGGCGTGTTGAATCATCTATCTGGTTGTTCTTGTTGTTTTGGTCCAGGTAGTTTTGGAGATTCCCGTGGCTGGCCTCAAGAAACAGTAATCCCTTGAGTTCGGAATCGTCATGATAGCCTCGGTACCTAGGAATCAAATGATCAACAAGGACACTTTTATGTCAAAGAGGACTTCAGTCATGTCAAAGGACACCGGTCATGTTAACCTCCGAATCATCAAAAAGGACACTTGTGTCATGTCAATCTGAATTATAATACTTACTTGACAATCCGCGGATGCTCTCCTAAGCTCTGAAGAATCTTCTGCTCAACCATCAACTTATATCCCTCTGTTTCGGCCAAGACTGGATGGATTGACTTGAGGATCATTCCTCCCTCGACGGCAAAGAAAGCCGAGATCGAGCCAATGTACTCCTTCACTGCGATCACTCTCATCACGGCGAAGTGATCGTTTAATTGAACAGCGAGAATTTGGCGCTCGAGTGCGGCTGATTGTATTAGATGGCAATCAATTTGGTCCAATGTACGGAATATGAGTATTGTATTGTACCCTTTAACCATGCGGCGGCAGCAGCACAACAATCCCAATCCGTCGGTCTTGCAGCGGGCAAGGGCCTAGGCCTAAGCCTATTAAAAGCAATTTCCCCCAATTTCCACCGTGGTGCATGGGGAATATTGCCGCATTAGAGCTGCGAGCCAGCACAACATGCCAGCATGCACATCCGTCGGCTCAAGAACCCCCCTAGACTTCTACAGGGATTTACTCATTCCCAAGACTTCCCGGCGCCTGGAATGCCTAAGTTGGTGCCTACGTTTAACTCTCCTTTCTGCCTTGAAGACCAGTATCCAATAGGAGCAGGAACAAGAGCTAGAAACAGGTAGGTCACTTGCACAAAACCACTGGTTGTGATTGTATACAGGGCTAAAGCTACTGTAACATCAAGGACTCGAGGCGATATAGCTCCAAACGCTTGTCTTCTCCCTACAATATCGGCCAGCTGACCAAGGCGCGGGTCAAGGATACTGTACCTTTACCAGGCCGCGTCGGTCCAGTTCGTCCTGACATGTACCTACCCTACCCTTCCTTCCTCATCTCATATACCCGTCCTTCCTCATCTCGTACCTTATCCGTCTTCCTCAGTCAGCCTAAGCTGACTTCAACTCAACAAGCCTGCTCCAGTGCCGCGACGAGATCATCGGCAGACGCAAAAAATCCCTCGCCTTGCGTCCAACACTTCTCGATGATGTGACCTAGCCACACCCCCTCAGTTGAAGGGAGACTGTCTCTCGGTGGCCATGAAAACAGATCCCACGATTCCTTCGACTCTTGCATCATGTCGAATGTACAATGGTGGCCGGTGATGACTTCGAACATGACGGCGCCAAATTGTCCAATGTCGGTAGCGACGCCCTCGCCATCCAGGTTAGGAGTACTCATGTCCCAGGTTAGAGGCATCACGCTGCATTCTCCAAAGTTGGCCAAGTAGATGGACATGGTGTCGTCGATGAGGAAGTTGTCCGACCGTAGGTTGGTGACAATGACACGGCGACGGTGAAGGTTGGAGAGAGTATGTGCCATGCTTTTGAGCCATCGGACACGCGTGTGTTGATCCAGCCTGTGGTTGTGGCTGTGGTTGGGGTTGTGGTTGTGGTTGTCGTTCTCGTTCTCCTTCTCGCTTTCCAAGTAGCTGCGAAGACTACCTTTCCCCATGTAACGCATGCAAATCGACACGTCAGGCGAGTCGAGGTCGAAACACGGAACCACGCCTTCGCAGTCACTCAATGTTTGGAAGATCCACTTCTCCCGGTAGATCTGCTCGATTATGAATTCCCGCATGTCGATTTCCTTCAGGTCCGATAATACTCCACGAAGTCGAATTCGAAGTCTCGCAATCTCATCTTCAGAGTCGTCGACGCCTTCCCGCAGCCGTGGTATCTTGATTGCAAATTCCCCCCTCCGAATCACCATCCCGAAGCCTGCCATATTAAGTATCTCGTCACAGACGGGAGATCCGTCCAGGTACAGAAATGCCATTGCGTGGAAGGTGGAGTAGCTATAGACAACTGAGAAGTGGAAAATGCAATAGCTATAGACAGCCTGAGAAGTGGAAAGTGCAATAGCTATAGACCATCAGAGAAGTGGAAGGTATAGAAATGCCATTGCCTGGAAGGTAAACTAGCTATAGACAACTGAGAAGTGGATAGTACAGTAGCTTTATACACCGAGAAAAGAAGGACCCGAAGGTTGTTCTTTCAAAAGCAACGGCATCCTCGAGCAATAGGACAGGATTAGTCTGACATCCTGAAGCAATAGGAGGCGACACCCTCCTGTCAAACCTTAGGGCCCAGGCCTATGCGGCACTGGCTTTATGAAACGTGAGGTGGCTAAAGCCTGATGCTCAGGCATCTTTACGCATTCACCGTCGTCGGGCAACTGGTTGCCTTTAACAGAGTTGCCTTGACCAAGGTTGCCTTTGCCAGGGTTGCCTACACCCGCCCTCTTTCACTGAGAAAGAGAGGGTGTAGGTTCAGAGATTGAATGGGGATGGGTTTGGATCACTCCTTACCAAGGTTGCCTGTACCAAAGTTACCTTTGCCAGCGTTGCCTTAACCAAGGTTTCCTTTACCAGGGCTGCCTTTCAGGATTGATGATCAGCGCCAGACGAGTCTTACGACGACCACGGGCGCCTACTAGGTATGGATGTCCTGAGTACGGAGCACAGTAGGCATTCCCAGTCCTGCCTTTGGGACTTGCCCCTTAACCAGAAGGCTACTGTAGCTGGCAGGCATGCATGCATAGGCACGCCCGGGCTCTCCCCATACCCCTTGACAGATATCATGGAACCTTTCAACCTTTCACCTCCACATGTCTGCCTGGAGCCACAATGTTGGGTGGTACCAGTCATTATTTGGAGGCTCGGCTGTGGCTCTGCCTGGGCAAGAAGATCTTTTGCTTAGGGGTTGTTCGTGGTTTGAATCAGCCGTCACCAGCTCATCAAGGGCCTGGGCCATGCATTTGGAATTATCAGAACTCGAAGCGTTACAATACGGTTCCAAGCACACGTCCCAAAGGTCAGCTGAACTCATGTCAGGGGCCAGTTGTTCATCGAAGTGGACTTCATTCGTGGCCACGTCTATTCTGATCCTCAAATGTCCTCTGAATTCGAGTCAAGGGCCAGTTGTTTATTGGAAGGGAGTTCATTCGTAGCCATGACCTTCAAGAGCCTCAGGCGGTGAGATGGAACTTTGTCGGTATAGCAAAAAGACCACCTGACTCGGCAGCTCGATGAGTCCATTAGACAACTCCACGGGTTGAGGCCCCCAGGAAGAAATCATCGGGTCTGCTGAGGCTGGGAGTATGTTGACCATCGAATTGGGTCGTCATCAGTCGATCCGTTCTCGACTCAGATCTCGACAGATGTCCTGGAATTGGTCACCAACACCGAGTTGCCGTGAGGTATTGTTGTCAAGGCGTCGCGCTTTGTTGAGGTCGATGCCCTGTCTCAAGAGGTCGACAAATGCCTAGTAATCTGCAGGGGTCTCGACTTTGCTGGTCACAAGATTCCTGGTCACGCTTCGACCTTGTTCGCCAGTCTTCGTTGCCGAAGGAAATGTCGCCAGCTCATTCCCCTTCCCCTCCAGAATACGCTCGCCTATGCGGTGCTCTCAGGCTTCGCCAGGACAAGGCGATGGACAAACCGAGCATATCCGCCAAGATGAGTAAAACCTGCTCCGATCTCCCCACCAGCTGGGATGGGATAAGGGTGATACCGCCCTGGGCTCACACCCGCTCGCGCGAGCCGTGTGAGATGGCACCCATGACTCGAGTTTCGTGGTCTGAACACAGCCTCAGTTTAGTATTTGAGTGGGGGATCTTCGGTAGGAATCAAGAACTTGGTCGGCAGAATTGAATTGTTTGGTCCAACAGCCCAAAATAACGTCGCCGCAAAGGATGTAATTCGTGCCAGGGAATTTTCCTTGTTCGTACAGCAACTGAATTTCGTCTTCAGACTTTCCCTGGTATGGAGTCTGTCCCACCATCAATTCGTAGAGGGTACTCCCAAGAGCAAATAAGTCAGATTGAACACTGTTAGGCTCGTCCGGATCTCTCGGCATGTAGTGAGTTACATTTTCCATTCCCAGCGGAGGATGCCCTGGATATCCCGGAGCTGTAAAATCAGCCGGTAGTCCTCAGAGAGGAGGTACTGGCGCAGGGCCAAATCGCTGTGAATCACACCTAGATGATGGAGTTTCTGGACAGCTTCAATTATTATACAACCCATTTCGTATCGGCGAGTGGTTGTGAGACGCGATCCTTCCTTTTGGATGTAATCTTCTAGCGTTCCATTCGCAGCCCATTTGAGATCGACGTGTTCCACAGACTGGTTGGCAGAAAGACAAATAGCAAAGTGGTCATCATCGCCTAGCATAGCATAGATGTTTGCTTCATTCTGCACGGCCTGGATATTGTCGGCATCATTGTCTCGTGGAACCTTCCGAACGCAGTTTTCGTTCAGGCGATGTACCAAGGTAAAGATTCCACATGCGATCAAATTTTGAGACGTGGGGTCAACGTCAATTACAGTTGAATCCATGACACGATCGTGGCCGTCGGTGGCAGTACGTCGTAGCTTGGGTCCTGATTTTCTGCTTCAGGAGTTGCCAGATTTGGCTTATTGGGCAAGGGCAAAAATATATCCCAGCTGTGTAGTTATGTCGGTAGAAACATGGACGCGAAGACAGACGTGAGCATTGCTCCGGCAGCTGTAGTGCCTGACGGGAGGGACCAAGGTGAGGAGGTGAGGAGCTACGGTGGCCTTTGTGATATAGGCAGCCGTGGCGCGGTCTGGCAGTCACGTTACCAGATCATGTGACTGATGGATTTCAGGGGTTCGTTAATTTTGCAGCGTGAGGGAGGGCAGGGCACGTTTTCTGAGGAATGATTCAATCCAAGAGCAGAGCTAGAGGGTTCCCGATAAACCCTTGAGCCAAGTCAAGATAGCTTCCAGGTTGAATGTTCGTGTGTCACTTTGATCAGGTCCATCAATTTCTTCGTCGTCTGACTCGCTGATGTCAAACCAGTCATGCTTCCAGATGGCTACTTCTTCCTTTGGACATCCATCTTCTCTTCGCAGCCAGCCAAATACACTGCGGCTGGCCACTTGGGACATGACTTCCAGTTCGAAGCTCTCTTGCCGACATTGAGGGTCGACTAGTAGAGCACACGTTGTCTCATTGGAGTCCATCAGTCCATGGTTGGACATGTAGCCATAATCAGCCGCGCTTTTTCCATCATTCTGCAAGTCCCAGACCCAGCTCTCATATTGTAGACAGTGCTTGCCATGACAAGAGAGATGTCGCCGAACCTCCAGATCCGTCTCTTGTGGATCTATGCTTCCAAATGGCTTCCATGGGCATAGAGGCGCTCTATCGCGTCCAGGTTGTGCAATGTAGAGCAATCGGCACTCATAAGCGCGACTGATTCTCTGACAGTCGGAGTGGGAAGGAATTTGTTGTTTCGGGCCAATAAACGAATGAGAGGTTAGGGACCATGCAGCAGATAACATATCAACCGCAAACATGCCGGCGCGGACCGGCGAAAGGATTCGAGTTTCGATCCCTAGAATGACAGCACCAAGCCATATTGGTGCGATCTTAGGTTGCCGTATGATCATCACAGTGACAAGTTTAGGATAGTCGCCGCTTTGAATGATAGAATCAATCGTCTCTAAAGCCCCTGCTATCCATGGATCAACAAGGTTGCAAGTCACGCTTGCTTCGTAAAAGGGGCCAACCATGAGGGCTCTCATGCCGAGGGGATTGAGGCTGAGGGACATGTAGAATGGGAGAAGCTGAGCCTGCTCCTGAATGCTGAACTTAGAGGCCGAGGATGCCTGTTTGGGATGATGCTCGAGACATGGCATAGGGAGAGAAAGCCGGCCGAAGCGTCCTTGGTACGGGATGAGTAAAGCGGTGGCCAAAGCAGCCGAGCATTGGCCGGATATTTCATGATGAGCGCAAAACTCTGACAGGTATTGTAGCGCCATGGTAGAGGATGGTGGAAGGAAATAGGTATTGGTATCAGAATTTAGTCGTGGCGATCGTGTGTCGTTCCTCCATAATAGGAAGTGTTCTTGAGCTTCAGTATAAACGGACCACGGGGAGAGAAATTCTGTTTCCCAGGAGATAATTGCAGCTTTCCAGCCAGACTGGGGCGCAAGAATGGCAGCCCACCAACGTGCGGCATCATCGCTAACCGCCTCCAGGTTGACGTGGATAGCGTCAGCGACAGTAGCCGTGTCACTGGTGCCGAATTGAGCTCGGCTGTCAAGAAACACGGGTCACTTCAGCCTCACCGAGTCTAATTTTTGGCTTGGGGAACTAGGCGGCTGCATTTCAAGCCGTTTCGCTGACAAGACGTAGCACCAGGCAAGGACCAAGATTGCTATGCAGTTTCCAGGGGTGGGCCGGTCGATGGTTTCCGCACCAGGCCAGTTCCGAAATCGATCATCTGCCCTGAAAAGAGAGATGACGGGGTAGGAATCCCAAGGAGTAAATCTTGTGGTATAACCTTGTTGGGGAGATCGCATTCGCCGTTGGTTGTTCTCCAAGTAGCATTCTTCGTCACCCATGCTTTTCCGACATCGTCATATTTCACCTGCATCGGCTTGGATTGAGAGAGAGTCGAACCTTGACGAAAATCAAGAAAGGCTGGACCATGACCTAGCATCCCCGGAAGATCTAGGCAAGCAGCGGGCGAGAGACCTTCTCCATTGGCGAGGGCCGCGTAAGAGGACCAGGTGAAAACACTGTTTGCAAACAGATTTCCCGTCACCTGGGCCTTGGCTCGTACAGCATCAGCATCATCAACACTGTCAGCCATTCTCTCCAACAGCACCATAAGAGATATCTGGAGTAAGGAGAATGAAGTTTGCTTAGACTCGACGCTATGTTGATCCCGCCAAGCTTAAGTCCATCACGTGAACTCGGCATCCTTGAGTAGTGCGGAGTATCCGTACATAGATATAATAGGACTTGATCCTGACGCTGACGAGATGGAGAAGTCTCGCAGGCGTCGAGCGAGGTGATATCTCCCTAAGGAGCGAGGTAGCTTTTAGTCATGTCGTGGAGACTCCGTTAGGGCAGTGGGTATACTGGCGACTCGGTACGGTCCGTAGTACTGGACTACTTCCTGGCGCTTGTAATATGGATATAGGATGGATCCATCCCCACTGTGGCTTTACACAGTCCACGACTGTCTTCAGTCTCACTCCTCTGAAACATTCAATCCTTTGTCTCTGGGAGTTGGCGGTCCAGTATGGCTGGGGTAAGTCTAGCTACAGTCCCTTATCAGCCGCGAACTTGCCTCCGAGTCTCCCTGCGGTACTCCAAAACAACGCCAGCAAGTACGGAGGAGTACTTGCGCTTATCTGTTGTGCTGCGAAGCATCCAGCATATTACGCCCTTTCTACGGTCAACCACAAACGAGTCGAGTCAAACTGGTGCCAAGCCAGGCTACTACACACCCCTTCAAGTTGACTACACACCACTTGTAAGTTGCCTCTTCGCTAGTAGCACCGTACCCAAACACCCTCATGATATAATTAAAAGCATGCATGCTGTCATAGCTTGTACTGTATGTCGCCTGGCCGTGGATCGTTTCGAGGCTCACCCTCAGAATTGGACGAATGTGCCCGCTCCGAACCATTTTACTTCACACGCTCAACGAACCCTCTCGCAGGGGGTTGGCTTCGATATGCACGAGAGGTGCTTTAACTTGCTTCGCAAGGCACAAGAAAATACTAAGTACGTCGCAATTCCGGACGAACGCCTCGCGCGCTGTTTGTGCGACTCTGCGATGGGAAGACCTGAAATCGAATCAGATCTCGATCCAGAAATCTCATATAGCGATCTTTCGATTGTCCTGAACAGATACTACGACGCAACCTGCAGACCGACACCATTTAGTACCAACGTTCTAAGTCAATTTGGAACCTGGCCAGATGATGTCCTTTTGATCTTTCTAGATCGCATGGAATCCATCATGGATGTCATCACTCTATTGTCTGGAATGCAATTCAAGAAAGAAGACGTTTGGGGGCTTGTTGACCTCCAAATCTCACGACGCCTGCATATGAGCCCCTCCATTGAACGGTCTGTCGCGTCAACTTTATCATCTACAGATATCTGGAAGGTCATAATAAATCGTGAGACAATATTCAAATCGCTTCACACTGTTCTAAGGATGGCTCTCGCCTCACCACGAGGCCAGACCCTTGGGGCATCGCGCCTGGAATTTCTTTCAAGAAGCCTTCGCCCGCGTCTTTATGACGTGTTTGATCTAGGACTGCTCGACAGCTCTTCAAGGCTACTGAAAATCAGCTTTCGACACTTTGCGGGAAACAAATATCTGAATGGTTTGAGCATTGGCGGTATTTCTGTTGGTAATGTTGAAACCTGGTCGGCGGAATTCACGGATTTCTCGATCTCTGATTACTGGATTGTGTACGACTGGAACGGTATCTTCGAGATCTGCCCTGGAACTCGCTTACAGGAAGTTGTGGGCTCTCGTACGGATTGCTTCTGTTACCACCTGATCGATCATTCGGAGGAGGAATTACAAGCCTACTTTGACGTAAGTGAGCCTTATCTACCTCAAAATGTCACTAACATCTCAACCGTCTGTGAAATTGGCGGCAATTCTACCCGTGATCAGGCCGTCCAAACGTCTATTCTGGCGCGGGCTACCTCCGCTTAATGTGGACTCCGAAATCATCTCCGACCCAGTCGACAACTGTTACTGGGAATGGAGCATCCTGCCCATAAACTTGTGCACTGTCTATATATATGGAGATGATGAACCCAGCACTAGCATTGTTGGCATCGAAATTGTTGACACGGTCGGAAGAGCTCACCTCATAGGTCGACCGAGCGAATACGAAAGATCTTGCACTCCTGAAAATAGGGCCTGCGGTATTCGGTATATCTTAGACCAAGTCCTACGATGCCTGAAGCCCAACCATCCTATGGCTGAGGTATTATAACCCCGCTCTCCCCTTGTCGCTCATTAGCTGATGCGCTCTAGTCCATCTCAGCCGAGGGTATAGCCGCGGCGTTTTCCACGAACAGATCAGGCAAACCAGGTGTGATTCGAGGTCTAGCAGTGCTGAGGCCCGATTACGATGTTCTCAAACGCCATGAAAAGGTTGATATACTGGCTTCTGCCTCGCTCCTGCAAGACACATGATCTGTTCACCAATTCTTTGGAAGTGTTTTCGATCCAGACCAAGATGTGCGAAATTGCGTGCACAAGATATCGTGCTTGTTCAAGGAGATCTCGACATAACATACGCGGAGATTATCTGCGATGTGATGAAGCCCGGGCACGTCGTTACCAAGCACCCTGTGTCCCTGCAAGCGGCCAGCTCAGAGATTTGCCCTTGACTATTCAACCTCAAGACACCAACATTGCGGGACGGTGCCCTGCCTGTAAAGGCGAAACGCCAGGCAAATCTTCGGATTAGTGCCGGTCAGTACCCCACATGACACGGCGGCAGCGCTGGCGAGCGTATTCGCACGCCTCATCTTTCAATCGTTCAAAGTGACTGATCAACAATTAGCTGACGCTACTTAAGGAAATGGTTTCATACAACTCGTTATTTTTCTTCACCTTGAAAACCTCATACTCCATAGTATCGAGGTTGACCTCAGGGAATGTCTTACAATACATATCAAGGATGATATGCATCTTGGTGGATGATTCGCTGGGAGCCATGAGATGGGAAAAGCAATCATCATGAGGGTCTCGGCCAAATAGAGTGAAAAACCTCATCACGATGGCTTCTTCTTCCAGCTCATATGTCACGGGAAATCGAAAGACAATTCGCATCGGGTTGGAGTGCTGCATAATGTCATCGGGTGTAGGATAGTATTCCAGCCGGGTGATTGTTGTTCTGAAGGAGATGTGTGTTTATGTTTGTAGAACTTACCAGGTACATGTATGTTGGCTTTCGAGGGGCGGTTGCCAAGTCACTGCTTCGCATGCTTCATCTCAAAAGCCACCCACGTGATGATATATGTTTGATATAGGGCTGCAAAACGAGGACGTTCCTATATTACCAGAACTGGATGTCCAAGACCAACCTATTTTGGCAGACGTACTCTCATTTCGCCGAAGGGATGCGGTTCCAGTCAATCCTCATTTTTCCAGCAACAAGTGCATATGCGCCTTCGTGTCAAACCGAGTCTTGGTAACTTCTTAATTGCTTGGCTCAACGTGGGGAGGTGGGGAGGTGGGGAGGGCGGGGGTGGGGGTGGTGGTCCTAAGGGTGTCGTTGCATCGGTGACGCATGACGAGCATCGATGTTCATTTCATCCCAGGCAGCTACAGAAACGAGCCAGCTCCCAATCCATCTTGTGTTCAACATGGCTAGCCACAGAACTCCCACGGGTGCTCGAGGAAGACCACGTTCTTCCGCGGCTCGAGTCAGCAGTGTGTTCCATTTGTCCATCTGTCTTTGGTGTTCGCTAATACTCTACAGAAAAGCCACCTTCAAGCAAGCTCAAAGACACATCACAGCAAGTTCGACGAAGCAGCCGCCTCCAGAACCTGCGAGATGCCGCTTCGACGGGGTCTGGCTCTACAGATCCCCACCTCGCCGGCGGTACTTCAAGCAGACCACACAGACAGATCAAAGCCGTAGAGGTGCCTTACGCTCAGGACGACGAAGGAGTTGACGATGTCTACAAAGAATTACTGAAGAGGACGAGGATTCGGCGACACGCCCACCCGTCTAGAAGGGCGACATACTTCGAGCAGTGGTTTAGCACGCAGATCAGCCACCTACAATAGCTCGAGGACGGTGGAGAAAAGAGTGTTCATGACAGTGGTTCTATCATGGCGACGGTGAGATGGAGCATATGGGGCAGCATGAACAACTAACTACCGAGGACAATGACGGTGACAGCGGTAATGATGACCAACCTACGCCAATTTTAGTCGTAAATGCGCAGTCTACCGCGACTTCTCAGTCAAATTCGCTTGTCACGCTGGACATCTCATCCGAAGCCGAAGCCGAAGCCGAAGAGGAAGATGAAGAGAACTGGGAAGGAGGGTCGGACAACCTCTCGGAGCCAGCCTCGGAGAAGACTTTGGAGCGATATTACAACGAAGCGCAAGGAACGACAAGAGATCCGACTCCATTGGAAGTGTCAACCACAACAAGTACAAGCCCGCCACAAGAGGCCACGATGATGGTTCATACCCATAACCATACCCATTCTCCACGACGCAGCCTCAGGATGTCCTATCCAGTCGAGATATGCGAATCATCCCCGCCCGCGTTAACGTGTCTCACCCCGGCAGAGCAGGCAGCGATGTCAGGGATGGACCGGCCAAGCGCAAGTGGTGGATGGAGTACTTAACTGCCATATCCCCCTCATCCTTCTTCACTTCTCACCATGCCTCGTACACCGACAACGACGGTTTCAAGATGTCGCGTGGAAGGCGTCACGTGGGACGAGCTCTTCAGTGAGATTCATTCCATTACCTCGACACCACATCTCGGTGTGTCGTGGGGATCGATATTTATCTTTTCGGAGCTCCTGGCCGCTCCGGCCCTCGATGATCTTTCCGACCTTCAACATCTCCTGGAGAATGTTAGAAATGACGAGCTAATTGACCCGCCCAGCGCTCGGAATCGCTCTCGAGTCCGCTCATGAATCCACTACCATGCAATCGACGCGCAAGACGCGCAGGATGCGCAAGAAACAATGATCCAGCGGATGACCACGAGTGAGGATTAGTTGCGAGCCAGAGAGCGCAGAATCCAGGAAGCCCTTCAGTCTTCCAGCAGAACGAAGCGCGGAACCCCTCGACGACGACGCTTTCAGACACAATCTCCAAGATGCCCAAGATGGCGCCGTCAAAAATGGATCCGAAATCGAAGCCTTGAGAACCGAGCTCCAGAACAGCGAGCAGGAGAGAGAGAAGTAAGAGCAACAATTGTGGGCAGGAGAGAGAAAAGTACGAGCAACAATTGTGGACATCCAATGGTACAGTCAGATCAGATTGCCACCGTTTAGGAAAAGACGAACACCGACTTCATCGGCCTACGCCAGCAAACGAAGGCACAAGAGGCTGCTCTCGGACGACTTCAATCAGACCTCAACCGTGCCGGGGAGACAGAAGCCTTCAACCAGAATGCTCTTCACGAAACGAGGATCGAAATGAGGCAGAAGGAGATGGCGTTGGCAACGATGTTGGAGACGCTGCAATCATGCGAAACACGAAACACAGCGAGACGAGCTCGAAACGGCATTGCGCATCGTAGAGAACGAGAGGAAGAGCGTGCAGTATCAGCTTATGGACGATTTAGACGCTGTACCTGGATATCATGGGGGTATATATAGGTGTGCCTGTACCTATACCAGCCTTCTGGTTAAAGGGCAAGGCTGGGATTGTCAGGAGTATATCAGACATCATTGAACAACTAAAGGATGATTTCATGCTTGACGAAGATAATGAATATAAGAAAGCAAGGAAAGAACCGAAAAAGAGGCGCCGTGCATACTGTGTAATTGTTTTTTAGTTGGCCTTTGGTCGCACGTCAATCATTCCAACAGCCAACCCATCACATAATCGAGGAGCCATCTCTGTGCTTGTCGACTGGGAGATATACAAGGCGGCAAATAGCTATACCAATCAGACATCTCATCCGTACCAAGACAGTTTGTGGCTTTCGTAGACTCATAATGGCTTGGATAATAGCCGCCAAATTCCCAATCAACAAGCCCAGATATCGTAAAGAAGCTGTTCTCCTTCTGTTGAACTATTATATTGTCTGGTCGGATATCGCCGTGAGAGAGACAAATTTTCGCCGGCTCATCTGTGGCAAGAGAGCGTAAGAGGTTGAGGTAGGTTTCGCTGCCGAACAGGGCCTTCGAAAATAGGAAATTGTCATGCTCAGCGACGGTGTAAATAGGCGATGAGTTCCGCCGGACGTGTCGTCGGAGATCTTTGCAGCCTTCGCCGGCAACCCCACCTAGGGGCTGGTTCTGTGGGCAACTGATCGATCGCAAATTGCGGAGGATCAGCTCGAGCTCAGCCATCAGTGAATTTTTTTGCTGCGGCGTCAGATTCGACCAAACCTCACTCAGCTGCTGTCCGGGAATGTAAGATTCAAAAATCAAGGACAGTCGACCAATCTTCAAGACTCCCAGAGGCTTTGGTGCCGGAACGTCAGGAGCCTGCTCGCTGAGGAACTGAAGCATCGTGTACTCGGTATAATCCTCGGCATTCCAGATCACCTTTACCACTGCATTCGGGCTGCATCTGAACACCACGCTCGAAGCAGGTGTTGGGCCTCTGTGAATGACTTCGCTTGTGGCTAACATCTTGATAACACCTTCGCGCAGGTCCTCTTTTTCATCAATATGCTGATAGGAGGCAATAATATCTCTCGTAGAAGGCGACAACGGATACATGACTTCAACTGAATAGTCGGGATCCAACCTTGAGCGGATGTCATGATCAGTTGCATCTTGCGTTTGATTAGGTCCTCTCTGCTCTAGATCAGGCCAAGACTGTGCTGGTGGATCACCATTCTGCTCGTTGTCTTTGATTCTCGCTTCAAGTCGATCGGAGTAGTTTTCGGGAAATAGTAGCTGCAAATTTACCTCAGGGTCGCTTTCATAAGCCTTTTGCAGCTTTTTTAGAACCCGGAGATTGAATGTCGCTGCCTCTGATCTCACAGGTGTCTGAGAGCCGAGACCGTTTGATGAATCTGCACCACCCAAACCAGTAGAGTCGTGGTTCAGTCGTGAAGAGATTTCGTTCTGTGATAGGCTTCCATTCGGCTGAGAGGCTTTCAAGTGTTCCATCGACATGCTTTCCCGAGCATCGAGTGTGGTGTGACGGTTAGTAAGGTGGGCGACGCTGTATCGTGAGAGAGCGGCGTCTGGTAAGGCGATGAGCCGACGGAACTATTCTCGAGGATTTTGCGGGTAGTGGGTAGGCATCCTCGGTGTCGCGCTCAAATCTGCCCCTGTTGACGGCCGCCTGCCGGTGAGGAAAAGGGCACCTAATCAGTGCCCGTCGCATACTCCAGTTGCTGCTGAAGACAGGTATACAGACGTTGAAGGTCCCGAACAGCCACTGATGTTGAGCAATCGACTGTTTCGGTGGCAGGCATTTCAGTCTCAAGACGGTCGAAACCTTCCTCTCTCACCGATCCTATTCCTGTGTATGCTATTGTCTTCTTCCCCAAGCTCTTGTGTTGGCTTCTCCTATTCGTGTCCCTCCTTTGTTTGTTCGTCTAGCTGCGGTGGCATGTCGAGATGGTCAGAGACAGATACTGGCCAGAGGGCGGGTGTACGGTGAAAATTATCGGAAAGAAGTTAGGTGTAGCAGCCTTGACCACAAATCCAACAAGTTCATAAGCGCTGAACTGTGAGGTCGTCATTCAGACCGACCGCAAACTGCAACTTTGCTGTAGTCTTGGTGGGAAGGTATGACGAGAGACTTGGGCCTAAGGCCTAAGGCCCACCCCGGATCGGGACGAGGGTGATGCCGCCCTCGCCCCTCATCGCGCGGTGTCTAATGAGACTGCGACGGACCTCAAAAGAAGCGTCCCTAGACTCATCTTTCTGACCGCCGTCTACTTACGACGGTTCTGCCGTGCTCCCTTCGCCATTGATCTGGGGGGGACTTTCATCCTCGCTGCTTTCTAGCTTCGACAACTTCAGCTTCCGTCGCCGTCGCCGTCGTCGTTCGCTACCAGGCTCCTTCACTCGCTCGCCTAAACTTGACAACGCGGGCGGCCTTCTTCCGACTGACAGAATCATCTCACTCCTTTCGCGGCACCCGCTACCCTGGGGGGTCTCCTACCCTGCGTTCCCGTGAAATCCTACTGTCGACCAAGTCCTATCGCGAAACCGATCCAGCACGAAATAACATTCCTATACAGCAAGCAACCTTGTCGTATTGTTGCATCATGGAACCCGAGTGCGATCAATTCTCGATTGAAAGTAAAAACAGGGAGATTCAGCATAAAGGTACTGAAAACCTGGCCATCCGCAACACCGTTTTCCGCCGCTGGCTAGCTCTACTTGCTTTGAAAACCACGGCAAGACTCTACACACCGATGGGCTCCTGTATCCCAATCACAAGAAATAAGATAGTCAAGACGGGTCCATACGTGCACCTCACTGAAGGAGCAACTATCGAATTTATCGGCCAGAATACATCTATCCCAGTACCCAGGGTATACTGCTCTTTCGTCCACAAGAACCGCGCTTTTATTGTCATGAGAAGGATTCGAGGTAATGACATACCGACGGCGTGGCGGAAGTTATCCGAACAGTCTCGCCAGAAAATCTTTGATCAATTGATGAGCATGATCCAAGAGATGCGCTCACTAAAGCCGCCTCCAGGAACGGGAGTTGAGAACTGCGTTGGCGGATCATTACGAGATCCTCGAAACCCCCGCTCCAATCCCCGTTTTGGTCCGTTTAAAACTACCCAAGAGTTCCACCTTTGGCTCCGAGCGAATTTCCACCCTTCTCAAATCGAAGGTCGAGAGAACGACCCCGAGTGGCAGGATGTTCGAGAGATGGAAGCTTGACAAGACAAGTCATGGCCACCACCAGTCTTTACTCATGGCGATTTGAATCCTTTCAATATTGTAATTAAAGGAGATCGAGTTGTGGGCCTAATTGACTGGGAGACATCTGGATGGTATCCATATTATTGGGAGTATACCTCAGCATGGCATGGTAGTGCGGCGAGGACAGGATGGAGGGATGATCTTGATGAGTTCCTTGAACCGTTTCCTATTGAGCTAAGGATGGAAGCTATCCGTCAGAAATGGTGGGGTGAATTCTAGATGGGGACAATTTCTTATCGAATGGCTGCGGGCCTGCGAGCCCAAGATTGTCAAGGCCTACCTCGAACGGCGCGCCCAAAGGTCTCGGGTGAAGAAAGAGAGCACCATGAAGAGGACTGGAAATGGCTGAGCTGCGGGTATATCGATGACACGGGCCACTGACTGGACAGCGGCACGGAATTGGACATTCGAGATGTCCGGGGGCCACCCGCCGGGATGGTTTCTCTGCTGACGGGACTGGCTGGTGGACTCCGACGTCCTTGACCCCGTTGTGCAACCTGGAAACGTCAGAGAGGGGGAAGCGGGCGATGTTCGTGCAGGACTTCTACGTGCTCGAGTATGCACACTGTGTCGAAGGACCCCAGCCTCTCCCCGGTCTGGTGCGGGTGCAAGACTGGACACTGCACCTCCTCGGTGCGATCACGTCCTGTCGGCCTGGCGCGGTGGTGGAGAGTGGCAGCGCGAAGGGCACGAACACGGGTCTCTGGTTTAAGCATGTCGAGATCTTGAAGGTCAGGCTCCCCGACGACCCGGGTCGCCGGGTCGCACGGTGCTGGCCGCGAAGGTGGACAAGGCCGACGGTACGTACCTCCTGGATAGAGGCTTCACTTTCGTTCAAGGCATTCCCTCGGTCGACCTTCCAGTATTGACACAACGGCGGAAATAGGAAGAGTTTCATTTTCTACGAGGAGCCGACACGGGTTTTCTGTCTCGTCTACGGTCTGCTCGCCGTGGCCTTAGCCCACGACGCGTTCAGGCGGCGGTTCGAGTCGGGACGGATGTGTTCAGCTTGACGGCGCCTCCCCATCGAAAAGTGCTTTGCTTGCGGTTCAAGCCGCGCTCCTATGCACGCCCTTTTTCAGAGACGTTGAATGACCCGATATGGGCTACCATATGTCTGACTGCAAGGCCTTCGCCTACCACAAGTACCGTGACCGCGACGAACACGTGCACCTCTGTCGCTTGGTGGAAATGGAACAGCAAGCGAACTGTACGACTTGCGTCGTGGTTCAGGGCGGAACATCCACAGTGAGTGCCCGGCGACTCTTGGCTCTCGAGGACGATCTCCTTCTGACCATGTAGGAGAACTCATCCCCGAGGAGGCAGAGAAGGTGATGGGCCACCACGGCGACAAGTATCCACGATCGATCGCGCTTCAAGTCGATTTACTTTGGCACACCGTCCCAGGACCACCTTGTCCGCGCCATCGCGCACATGGCCCTGACCTGGGACACGCGGGCACCGACGGAGTTGACGCCTGAGCAGAAGCAAGAGGTGCCCAATCACCCAAAGATAGCCCGACTTCGCCAACGGCGTGACCGGCATCAACGATATCTTTGCAGCCTCGGCTTCCACCCTCTGCATACCGCCGCTGGCAATGCATGCTATTCCCGGTATGAAGATTTGGACCGCAAGCTCAACAGCGTCACGACCACACTCACGACCACACTCAAGAAGCAACGTCTCGAGAAGAGATTCGCCGCTTTCACGACACCATCGACGACCGTTGGACGTGCGGCCCCTTGCTCAAGCACACGTCCCATGCGATGCAGTTCGAGTCGCCCGAGCAAGCGTTAGTGGCCCAATTGATCTCCTTGTCGCTCGGTGCCTCGAGGACAGTCAGCCTCTGGGTGGCAAAATCGCTTTCATTGAGACCTTCGTGGACTCTGCCGCCAGAAGGAGCATCAGCGGTGTCCCGACAAGTATGACTGCCAGGTAGTCCCCGTGGACCGGGAGGCAGTGACACTTCTGGACCGCGCAGAGACAGCGGGATCGGCAGACCTGCAACCTCTGAGCAGCATTTCTGACCGACCGCAAGAAGCGTCTGCGAACCACGGAGTGAGCACGGCACCCCAGATCTTTCAGGACCAATGCTGCCTCCTGCGCGGGAAGGGGTGAAAGAGTTGGGGTGCCGTGCTCACTCCATGGCTCGAAGTCTGCACTGAAGCAAGACCTCGAAAGCTACGACAAGGCAGGTTGTTTGCGCAGCCTTTTCCGTGTCATGTGGCAGGGTGAGCGAAATGGATGAAGAATAAGAACCACTGCGCCACGGTGCACGGTATCTTCCATTGAATCCCGTCCTGCCAGAAGAGTTCAATGAAGTAACTCCTAACGAGATCGGACGGTATTAAAAGTAACCTCTAAGCCGAGACCGAACGGCACCACGCAACTCTCTTGGCCTGGGTCTGGAGAGGTTGAAACATTCTTCAACGATTACTATGCGCAAAATCCTCGTGGCACTGGCGACAAAGATATGAGAATAAGGCAATGGGGGAATTTGAAGGCAGACTAGCAGATGCCGACGGTCGAGCTCTGTCTCCTCGTGTAGGTCGGTCATCCCGCTCATGATGTTGTCAGCTCACAAATAAGGACGAACACAGAGTTGATTTTTTCCATCGCAGCTTTGGCAACCAGAAAGATGTCGGTGGCGCATACAGCCATGATCGGCTCCATTCTGTCTAACATCCTTCTCGTCCTAAGTCTGTGTTACCTTGCGGCAATTTGGCAGGGCGATATGGAGGACTTTCGAAGGGCTGCCCCGAGAACTATTGTTGACCAACTCTCGCCTTGTGCTGATCGCTCTTGGGAGTCTGGTGACCGTGGCATCGCTGGTCGCGTACAATTGCGGTAGGTGAATTTCTCTTCAATCCTCGTGAATCTCACGCCGGAGTTGCAGACAGCAATGTCAATCTCCTTAATTTACCCGGGTGGCGGCGGTGACGCTGCTGATTTGTACCTATGCTACCGGTGGTACTTCTAGCATACATTCGGGAGATGCCTCCAACATCTCATTTCCTCTCGTGTCATCCTCCGTCGGTGTGGCATCTGCAATGGCAGTACCCAAGCAAGTGCACTTGAATATGTCCCGCTTGCTTGCAGAGAAATATCGCATCCGAGGGAGACAACAATCACCCAAGCTTGATCCATCTCTCGCTTTGACGATCGGGCTGTTTTCGGCGGCTCTGACCATATGGCTGACCACAGTAGTCCTACGTTCCATGCACACGATGACGGATAACGGTAGGCTGTCTGCCCCTTTTCCTGATCACGCACCACTGAGGCGGTTCTTGACCGGCTTGAGGTTTAAGGTCACTTACAGCTTTGGGACATGTGGTCATACTCCCGACGGCGACAACGACAACGACAACGACGGTCGAAAGCATTGTCGAAAGCATTGTCGCCATCTTGCCCGCCTGTCGCATGTCGGCGGGAAATAGACTGGAGTATTCAGGCCACCATCAGTCCAGTCTTGGCAACATGCTTTTCGTGAGGCCATCCATCATCTACGTCGGATGGGCCATGGGAAAAGATTTGACGCTGCACTTTGGAACCGAATCCCTGAGGCTGAACTTTGGGTTCCAAGTTGCTCTGATATTTTGGGACAGTCCTGGTCGTCACGAATGTCTTCCAAGGCCTGAGCCCCCCGGCCGCTGGTTCAACTATAAATTCGCCCCTGGTTCTAGTTTCGACCTGGTACCGTCGTAAGTAGAAGGCGGTCAGGTACTAGGTTCGGTTAAGATGACTTCTCTGGGTCGATAATTTTGAGGTCCGCTGCTTTGAGGTCCGCTGCTTTGAGTTCCCCGGCACTCTCATTAGGTACCTAAACACCACGTACGAGGAGTGAGGCCGCCATCACCCTCGTCCCAATCCGGGTGAGCCCTCCCCGGTAGCACTCTTGACTCACCTGGGCAAGTACCGGCGGTCAAGTGCGTGCTGGAGCTAGTTCTCGGCTAATAGGGAGGGACTAGACGGCAATTGTAGGACCCCTAGCGTACGATTGCAATTGTAGAACCCTCCTGTGCGAGCCATTGTACTCATATCTGTCGACTTCCCGCCAAAGAGAAAGCGTGGCTGCACCCAACTTGGATTCTGTTGTTCCCGTCCAATTCGAGGACATAATTCACATCATGATGGCGCACGAGCCTGGCTTCTCTATCCGTATGCGAGACATGCACCCAAGTCTCGACGTGGAGGTGGAGAAGGGCCCTACTGTGCGATGGAATCTTCAAGAAGGCGACAGCGATTGTAGGAACCCCTACTGTGCGATGGAATCTTCAAGAAGGCTACGGAGCTCTTGTTGGTACCTTCCCTCATCTACCAGTTTGGTTTCCACAATTCGCTCGACATCCTCTCGCCACAAGGTCGCTAACGGCTTCAGATCAGCCACGAAATCTTTGCCGGCAGCGAATTTGGGAAGAAGGTGATCCTCGAGGATGAAGGGCCAGGCATTCAACGATCGTAGACAGGCCCAAAACCACACTCCTTTCAACAACCAAGAGTCTCTCATTGTCTTCGTGACCGGAATATCATGTTGAAGCCGGAAATGGCTAGCCTCTTCGTCCATGACTCGTAACTCCTCGTCCATGGCTCGCAAGAAAAGCTGTCGCACCTCGTCGAATGGATCGTAGCGTTCGTCGATGATATTATCAATACTGCAGTTCGTAATCCAGTACGGGACGGACAGCATTTCTGCTGGGAGGGCGCAGATCCACTCTAGATCGATCAAGCAAGTGACATTCCAGTCGTCGTCGACGAAGATATTACTTTGATGGAAGTCGGTCAGCTGGAGGAGGAAAGGACCGTTTCGTCGACGGGACGTTATGAAATGGTGCGAGACAGCTCGGAGCATCGTCCGGATTGCAATCCGTTCATGGGCATCGTCCTTGTTCCGAACAGCATGAGGGTTAGAAAGCAAGTAGTGGTCATGGAGCGTGAGCATATCCGAAACAAAGCTGTCCGTGGTCCGATATGTCTCGTGAGGTTGGATTGTTCGCCGAGTGCCGCTGTGCTCGAAAATCATCGGGGTACACATGAGAGGCCGGTTGGTCAGTGTGATGGTCGAATCGCTCGGATTGAATCGGAAGGAACCAATGCATGGTTGTGGGAGGCGTGCCAGAGAAAGCATAATGCGCGACATGCCTTGGAAGAGGCGGACCCTGCGCTGATCATCTTTCGTGTACTGGGCCCACGTGATGGAAAGCATCTCCCCGGTCTCGGGACCGATATATTCAAGGAGCATATACGCTGTATCGACGGCCGGGGCCGATCTGTCACGGGCGTAGTTGGAGAGAAGAGGAAGGCCTATGATGCGGTGTATCCATCGCCGGAAATTTCGATAAATCCGCGCATAAAAGGGTGCTTGGTCAAGGTGGGTAAACTGTTACATTACGGGTGAGAATCTGGGTAGACTGTCACAATACGGAGTGAGAACAAGGAAGGAAGATAGGGAAGGAATGGGCGGTAAAGGAGGGATGAAGGGAAGGCTGGCAAGGGAGGGATGACTTGGATAACAAACCTGACTACCATCGACGAAATCAAAGGCATAGAGACGCGGGATTCGAATATCGGGACAGTGCTCTTGTATCCATACATAGGCGGCGACTTCGCACCGGACCTTTTCGTCAATGGTGCCAGCATACTGGATTTCAGCGAGCTTGTGAGGCATCGGGCAACGGAAGACGAGGTTGGTCGAGCGTCCAGCAACGGTGATGTGGACAAGAACACAAATATTGAAGGCGCCTTGGATCCAGGACTCGGGTGGGAGAACTATACAACCGTCATGCTCGCGCAAGTGAAGATTGTGTCGAACCAAGGCCGCAATTGACTCTTTTTGGGTCCAAAGGAGATGCCGGAAGCTCTCAGTGGCATGTTCATGTCGGATGAAAACAACCAGGTTACTTTCATCCTGTCCCGCCGACTTGATCGAGATTTGTCGACCATGGTACAGAAGCGCCATTGTATGTGATGAAGCTCTGATGCGTAAGTAAGGCGATGAAAAGGCCCGTACCTCTGTAGAATAAAGCGAAGGCTCAGGGGCCAGCCTATATATAGATGTACGCCACAGTAAGCCCCTGTCGCCCCTCACCAGTTCCGATAATTCCCTCCGTCAGGAACGGTCGTACGTGTCCAACTCGTCGGCCAGACTCTCAAAGCCAGACACGGCGAGGACAACTATTATAAGGTAACAACTTTGGGAGCTTCCCACCCCGGTGAGGGCAATTCGGCCGCGCTTACTTGTCCAGTGATTAAGCGCCCTACTGGCGTCGCACCATCACCATCTATTTCCCCAGACTTACAGATCATCTCAGCAACCAGGTCTTGATCTAATACCATGAGTCTTATAGGCCGAGGAGCCATCGGAAGTAAGACCAGTCTGCAACACAGCTACTGTAACGTTTGTCTCCGTGGCGGTGTATTGTTGCTTGCATTCAATTCTCCAGAATTCGACACCATCGCCTCCCCAGGCGCACATGTACCGCGCACTGTTCGATCAAGTACTTCGCTTGGGGGCGAGATAGCTGGAGGCCCTCTCACACTCTTGACACAGATGCTGCTCAGCCATACGAAGTCTTGAAAGGGTGGGTCTTCTTCACCAGCGACCGTCAGTTACCGCCTTTCGCCTTTCGCCTTCCTCGCACATACATGGTACCTGGGATAGTATCTCTCCGATTGGGCAACGTCCGGTTATACTGTCATTGGTATCACCGGACCTGCTGGCTCATCTGTATCTTGGTTAAAGGCGTGTAGATGTGAACGCCGGAACTCAGGACGCCCTAGTACTTGGTCCCGCGGCGTAAATCTTTGCTGAACACACTTCATCGATGTCGGTGAGGTCTACGACCTCAACAATGTCATCCAGACCTGGTCCTCTTGCCCCGGTGAGGATGGCGGCATCGATCAACTCTTCGCGCCCACCGATAACAGCAGTATCTCAAAACCGAGAAACTAAGATCGCCTGTCACGCTGCTGTCCAGACTGTGAAATGGAGTAGATCCGCCGGAAGACGTTTTGGTGTGCATTTTCTCAATCGTGCTGTTGATGGAGGCGTATGATCCTCCCATTTAACTCTGTAGTAGTAGCGCCAGCTGAACCTCTTTGTGATAGAGATATCGCTTTTGACCTAAGGCCTCCGGTGTGACGCCTAACCCCTGGATCATTGTGACCATGTACCCTAGCCCACGATTCCTTCCACATCTTCAACAGACCGTGTCTTTGACCATCGCTCAGGGGCCATCTTCATAGAGTTGCAACCGCCACTTGAGCTAGCATCGCACAGTCATCATTCTGCACCAGTTCATGACATGTCGTGACCTGGTGGTGGACTGCCTGGGCAGTTCAATCCTCTCGACAACCTCACGCATAGAGCTGAATTTCCCGTGCCAGCAATCCAGCATCAAGGATCCCATAGGCAGATCGGCCACGTCCGGAAATTGATTGCTATCGTACAGACGCTCGACGCGCTCTCGTGCGTCTTTCAGGCCCTTTAAGTCGTGATATGGGGGCTTGCCAGTGATAATCTCGTAGATTGCACAACCGAGAGCAAATATATCAGTCTGCACGGTGGCGCGGGGCGTGGATGGCTTGTAGCTAAACCACTCGTACGAGGAAGTCGGCGGGTTCCCATCAATGCTGCAGCCTTCGAAATCAATGAGTTTTAAATTGCCGTGAGCGATGATCATATTCCGACATCCCACATCCGCCTGAATAATGTTGCAGTCATGGAGGTATTGTAACCCCGTAGCCGCCTGTTTAATCCAGCGATATTTAGTGCGCAAGGGAATAGGGCGAGTCCTCGTCTGCTCAGAGAGTCGATCGCGCAATACTTGTCCGCGCTCGAGCACAATAGAACCATCATCCAGAGCCCCTAGAAATCCCGCAATATTGGGATGGGGGCCTAGGCGGTCATAAACTTCTCGCTCGGCATCAATCTCATCATCGTTGTCGCCCTCGTATCTTTTCACCACTCGTCGTGCATCGAGGGCGTATACAATGCCTGATTTTCCAACGTCGAGACAATCCAGTGCCTCAATGGCAGAAGTTGGCGGAAGGCTGCGGTGATTCACGTGTATCTTCTTCAGCATGAATGTGTAGCACATGATGGGATGGGAAAGAAGGGAGAACGAGAGAGATTCGGGAAGGGTCGTTGATTGACTCCTATTAGGTGCCCATCGACGATTATCACGTGACTATCACATGACTCGAATGAACCGATTGCACTTATGAACCTCAGGCACCTGTTCAGGCTTCTGGCGATATCTCCTTCGAACGATACAGTAATAATTAGCTCAACTCCTCCACCATTTCCGTCCAAAACGTGTTTACCAGCCGTTCAACTGTTGGCGGTCCTTCTCTGGAGTCGATGTCTCGAAGTAGTGATTGGCTATCTAGTAACATCAACCTTTGAGGGCGTGAGCTGATGGTATTTTTGACGAGGCGTCGACCAACCCACGATGTCTTGCTTCGCAATTACCACTGCCACTGCTGTATCGCGGCAATACGGGCATCGACGTCTCAGTCGGTGTGAAAGAATCACATCCCGTGATGCGTCATGAACGAACCCGCTTCCTTCGCAGCGTTTTCCTTTGGCGCTTGAGGCGGGGCATCTTTAACATAGCAGCTTGCGCTCCTTATGCTTGTCTGGCCGTTGGAGGCACTCGTCATATTCCTTATCTGAGATGCCGAAGGTACACATGATTTCGAGCGCGGGTAGTAGAGAGTAAGTACAGATGCCGAAACGAAAAGGGTGTTGCTATGATCTCTCGGAGGATCGCATTCCCAACCTGCCTTAGGGGAGTAGTACGGAGTACCATGTTTTGAATTCGGGAAGGTTGGCTAGACATTTTGCAATCCCCTGCTCGAGGACCCTGCTCGAGGACCCTGCTCGAGGACCCTGCTCGTGGACATTCCTCGAGCCCAACATCGATGGCTCCAATCCTTGGGCGTCATATCGCTGTTGAACACATTGCATGCCACTTGTCATCCCGCTTCCCTCGGCCTATAAGCTATTGCCACGGGCACTGACGAGGAGGCTTAGGGGCTTAGGTTTAGGAGGCCCCCAGGCCGCCTTAGCCCCTAAGGCCTCCTAAGCCTTACGCCTAAGGTCCTCAAGCCGCCAAGCCACACGTGAGCCACAGTTCCATTACGTCATAGCAGGACGAACTTGGGTGCCAAACTCGAAAGCCGCAGGCAACCTGCACATGCGACTGTCCGATCTTCTCTTTGTTCCTCCTTTCCTCCTCCTGGAGTAACATGAACATGACTATCTTCAGCTTCAAATCCCGCTCTGAACCCTTCTTCTAAGGCTACACTGGAACGGGAAGAAGGGCCGCCCATGAATTCAAAGGGCCGCATTGGCGAGAACGAATACGGCGTGCCTTGACGATGGTGAGTTCCATCCATGCCTTCTAGCCAGACAAGAGCATTGTCAACCGTTGACTCGAGCAAGTCCATGTTCGATCATCCCGGCTTGACCATGTCCCGATTGAAGGGAATGGACCGGAAATACGGATTACTTCCACGACCCTGTTCTCATCGACTGCCCTACAAATCACTCCCTCCTCCAACAAGGCCTCAACCGCTCCGTTACTCCCGCCGACTGCGGTGAACCCAATTTCAATCTGTCCGCTGCCGTAGAGATATATCTGGATAAGAAGTCGCACATACACCCTGTTGAAATTGAAGAAGGTATGGGACAGACCTGCTGCGGCCCCCGACCCGAACCTCCGAGGCGTCTTGTTTGAGTGTATTTATGGCCGGCCGTTGTGTTGTGGCAGGTCTCAGTGAGCTTCAATATTGCAGACCAAGCCCGCGCAAAGCTCATGGCCTTGTCTTGCATCGTGCCCGAATTGCTCTCCGAGACCTCGCGGCATCCAGCGTGCTCGTTCAGGCTCAAGATCCAAATCGAAAGTTCACCTGATCGATTTGAGCGCATCCATCATACTTCACCACATCAGATTCTCTTCAGAAGAGCTGACGAGGATCTAGCAAAATGAGATACAAGGCCTATAAGTCCCACTGGGTTCGCATTACTCTCGAAGATTGCTATCAATCGGCGTCTTTGCGTTGCCGAGGCAATTCTAGATGGCATCGTCCCCGAGTTACAGTTCATCCAATATCTTCGGGCCCCCGCCGCAGCCTACCTCCTAGCAGTCTATGCCACTCAGACCGAACTCCGTTGTGGGACCACTTCCCATCAAGTCCGGCCTACGCACGCATCTACGCTACGGTTCGTTCAGCCTCCAACAAGAAGACCTCCAGAATCCCCGGAGCTTGTCTTCAACAGGCCAATTGCGGCGAGTTTGGATTGAGGCTTCATGGCCACGGTTCATTGATGGTACCATAACGCTGCAAGAGGAGGAGGAAGCCCAGATTGGGAGCTTCTGGTCTCCCAGTCCCATCAGACGCCCAGGTTGAACACACCTTCATGTCGTTTAGCATATGAGCAAAGAAGTTAAGTTGTCAAGTGCCTCTACCGGCAACCCACCGACGACCATCAGTGCCACAGTCGGCCTACAGGCTCAGAGTCTGCAGCTTGTGCATGCAGAATCAGCTCTCATCCTCTTCGACACTGTTCGAAAGCGACGATGATTTCATCGATTGCCCAAAAAGAACTACAGTTTGCCGACTCGCCAGGACCCCCATATATACCGATTTTGATTCTTGAAATGACCCATGTCTTTTCGTCCTCATTCTTATTGAGTTTATTTACCATACTAATCTGCGGCCCCGTGAAGTGATCAAATCCTCTGGACGCGTTGATTAGATATATATCCTAAGGAACTCCCCTCGCGGAAAGGCAGTCCGAGGTAAACGGTGTTCGCTCCGAATGACAAGGGAAACCGAAGCGACGTTTCAAAACGGTGATTGGGGAACCTACGATTTCTTCCCGCAGTGTGCTGGTCCTAATTCTGATGCTTGGAGGCGAGCACATCGATGACATGGAAACAGACCTGCCTCTGTCCCGCTTTAGACGACCTCATGCTGGCCGTTGTCACCCATTCCTGGAGTCGAATCCTGCACGAAACGGCCCATCTAGTGTATGGTCACTGTGCCCCTGATAAAGAAGGATGATATCGAGAAAGCTAGGGGGCACGGACAGGTAGATATGGTTGTTTCTTGACCTATATGGCTGATCTATGGACCTGCTGGACTGGCGCTTACTCTATGGCGCACTACCTCCGGGTCATCAACGTCCCAATGGTCTTGAGTGTCCCGGAGATGCGTTGAGCTTTGCGATATCCACCACCTTCTCCGGTCAGATGCCGCCCGAGAGATCTCACACTTGAATGTTATGAGTGACACAATCACCACGCCGCTCAAGATCATCCTTGATCTCCGCACCGAGGAATGGTCATGCCATGGAACGGCAAGCAAAAACCATACCTTCCAAGAGAACCTCGATTGAGTCAATCAATTCTGTCGGCTGCTCGGGTTGGGTGCGTAAGACCCTTCGATGCTGTTCCACTGCGCCCAGATTCGCCGGCTCTCGGCATCTCAATCAACTGTCACAGTGGCATCCCATCCAGGCTCGCCAGAGTCTGCCTTTTCTTGCGACCACGTTGCCGGATACCCGAGCATTTCAGAGGTATTGCCTGGCCCTGGGAATTTGGATAAGGGGATCGCAAGAAACGAAAGAATTTGTTTCCAACGACGGAGTCTTTGCTTCCGGAACCACTGGCCAACTTGACCCGCCACTTCACGCCACGACTTCGTGATGAAACAGCCTTGGTCAATCTCGGCTTGCTTCACGTCGAACAGCTTTGCGCCGAGGTAGCTCGTCGGCCGTCTCCCCATGTTCCATTGAGACGAACAAGACGATTGTCCATCTTTCCGTGGAGACTCGCTACGAATTCCATCTTGGTTACAGTATATCACGCACTTGGAACTCTCAACTGGGAACATGTGGACTGCTACCCTATTACTCGGTCCTTGATATCACTATCCTCCAAGATCAAGTCATCGAATTCCCAGGGATCATCTAACATCTCTGGCTCGACCGACAGTGCCGGACGCTGATTAAGCTATTCCGCACGCAGAGGGACTCTACCCTCAAAAACGCTTTTCGGACCACAGTATCTGTCACAGGAGAGCGAGCCCCCTTTCAGTTCGGATACATTCTTCAGACTCTAGACTCAATTGACTCTCGGGGCACATTACTCCAAGTCCATGCATGACTGAGACCCGGGGTAGATGGCTGAATGACCTAGCATCATCCATTGACATGTACGGGATCAAAGGACGGTGCTTCCATGAGAAACGTGTTCCCAGAGTGGCTTCTCCAGGTGCCCAAACTTCGCGTCGACATGACGACATGGCGGCGTGAGACATTCCGTCGGGGTCTGAGCTGTCAAACCCGGTAGGCGGGCGCTCGCTTCAATTGAGGAATTGGAATTGGCAGACTACTGTCTTCAACTCGGCTCAGCCATGGTGGGAATCTGGCATCTCTCTATCCAACATTTTGCGTGAGCCTTGCACACGGTATCCAGGCGTGCTTGTGCTTCCCGCCTTTGCCGCATCCTGGACCCGTGCTGTTCAACCAGTGACAATACATCGTCGACCTGTATCTGGACGTCCATCTTCATCCATGACCAACCCTATCAAAGCCTCGTCAGTTCGACATTTGCCTTGAGAAAGAATCAAAGGAGTTATGATGATCCTGATCTGTGCACAGCTAGATCCAAATCCTGTCCTACTCATCTCCTGCCTAGTCAACGAGCTGTGCACCTGAGATCCAACTCCGAATCGGCGAGGGACACAGGGTACAAAGATGATCGATCAGTCTCTGCGACAAGTGGCGCGCTATATCGAACCTTGTCAAGCAACCCCGATGAAGGCAGACCCTATAGGCGTCATGGCTAAGAAACCGACTTGTCTCGATGTCGAGGGTTTCTCCCAGCCTGGACAAAGACCACCGGCAAGCTTATCTTGGAGTGGTGGATCAGCTTCGAGAGTCAGGTGTTAGTGAAAATGCATCACTACCCCAAGTACACAGTCTCAGAAGAGTCTGTTCGACGCAACAGGGCTAGTTTGATTCGGCTAGCTTGTAGTTGTCAGAAGCACCAGCAGTTTAGCAGGGAAGTGAAGTCGTCGCTGTCCATTCGCGGCCTAAGCAATATCAACATCAACAAGGCGATGAAAAAGGAACGAGTTGAGAAATTCAAGTTTGCACCTTTGTACCTCGTAACAAGCAAAAGGCATCTCAAATGGTGCGGACGAGCTTGCGACGGTTCTGGAGCTTCCAAGGAGTGGAACGTATCAACGACCAGCTTCCCACGTCCCACGTCCCCCGCCACGTACTGAACGGCAAAGGCGTCCGAACCAGGGGGCTTCTGAGGTCTTTCACGAGCAGGGGCTATCAAGGCGTCCGGAATACTTGTGCAAGATGATTCCGATTGAACACTGAGGTCGAGCTGCCCCGGCCGGACCGGAATATGACCATCCTCATACCATTACCATTACCATCTCGGCGTCGTGCATGTCACATGCCTGGCCTCTTTCATAGTGGCGTGATACTCTCAGTTTTGACCAGTGAAGTGTGACGGGCGAGGAGAGCTAGAACCGGCGGTAACAGATATCTTGCCGTCTATATCGGAACAAAGAGTATCTTCCAGATCGTTCGCAAGTTGATCATGAGCCCGACCCGACTACATCTCGAACCCTCGAACCGGTATATGGCCAGGATCTCAGCCGACTTCAGTCCCAGGGCCAGTTTTGCATATATTCATGACTGGAGGAGGAGTAAGAGGAGGCGGAGCCATTATTTCTCAGGACGAGGATGAAACCCACCTTCACCTTCACCTTTCTATATGCTATATGCTATATCCCTCAAACCAGCTGCCGAGCTTGTTCATCAGTTCCCCCATCTCCCTTATCCTATATCCTATATCCTATACCCTATACCCTATACCCCGAACCGGCTATAGACAGTATAGATCCATCCGAGCTTGTCTATCAGTTCCTGGGCCCCTACATCGGGCCGTACCTGATAGAAATCGACCAAATATAGGTCGAGAGTGTCTGGAGGCCGAACTTGGTGGCAGACCAGTACCAGGACCGGCCTCCAACAGGACGTGCTTTCGTTGCGGGCGACGCAGGTATGGAAATGGAAACGGAATCCAATCCTAGCCTCGTCCTAACGACTGTGTCTCCAATCCCTACCATATCTCACCTGAACAAGCCTCAAATTCCCACCTTATCTCACTTCTGACCTGAACAAGGCGGTGAAGCATAATGATTCGTGCATCGACAAAGGGGAAGGGGGCTGGAATTACACGTGATGGGGGGAAATGTATAATGCCAAGGACTTGTTCTTCTTTTGGAGCAGCCAGCCACTTCCCTCTGTCCACTATGTCCTCACATGTTGTTCTTCACCACCAACTCAACAGTTCCTCATCTTTGGCTTCAGAAGACCGATGGTCTCTGACGAACCAACAATGGCACTACCCACAATTTGTACATGTCCAAAAGGGCGGATGAGATGTCTTTTCTGCGGCTCTTGCACGATGGCTGGTTGCACATGTAAGGTCAATATTACACCATGGTGGTTCCTTGCCTGACATGGGCAAAGTTGAGTTGCAGGAGATGGAGACGGCACTTCCCTTATGCTCTAGGTGCTTCGGTACACCACGAAATCACCAAGTCTACACCCATCAATGCTGCTACGATATCTTGCAGAGATATTGGGAAGGCCTGTCCAAGTTTGACCATGTTTTGCACTCGGCGATGGTGGCCAGACCACTTTAACAGCCAGCTGAAGATCTCTCACGATTCATGGCAAGATCCCTTCACGACCAAACCTGCCTACCAGCGCTCGAATATTTCCTCACTCCGACAATAGTTAAGCCTCAAGAGGCTTCCACCTCTCGTTCTGGATCAAATCTGGTTTTATCTGGAGCCCTTGCCCGAGCTCGTCGCACTCGTTCAATCCACATTGGTCGCCGCAATTTATAATGAGCATGATCAGCCTCGTTGGACCCAGGACATCGAGGTGAAGCCAGGCATGACGCTATTCATGACATTCAAGGATTGGAATGAACGCTCGTACCTTAGCAGCCTGGATATAGCTCGCAATCAACAAGAACAGACTCAAATGCTCCAAGTTGAAGACAGCTTGATAGTCTGCCGCGATCATTTCGGAATCCGAGGGCTGTATGGCAGCAGCCAAGAGGTCCGGGACCGGGGCCCTGGTCTCTTCTTTCACACCATTCCTCTGCGGGCCCAGGGCAGAAAATCGGCAAAGCCCCGGGGATTTTTCGATGTAAGTGCGTGCGAAGAATGTCGTTCCTTATTCCTTACTAAATACCTTAGGGGAGATTTCTTCGCACATTGAACGCAGAAAGAGCTGCTTTCCGCCCAGTCATCGAGTGGAACATGGCAAGCTTGCCCAGCAACATGGCATTCAGGGTTTCATCAACAGCCCTATTGCCAGACCTAGGTTCCCTTTGTCGATACATATGTCATGAATTCAAGGACATTTCGGGCATCTCTGCAGCGGTGCAGGGTTGCAGGACTGTCGGCCTTTTCTGTCATACCAAGGGTGATAGTCGGGGCCTATTCGGATCCTTTGTCAAGCAGATGCAAGCATTGTTTGTCAGCTCCATGCTTGTATTCCCATATTTCTCTATCAATGACCAAGAGCAACTCCACACGATTGGGGTCCGCTGGGTCAAGGACTCTCGGTTCCCCGTCAGCGATCCGGTCATTCAGGTACGGCCCTCCTCTCCAGTGTAGATTTGGACGCCCTCCTCTCAAGTGTCGATTTGGAAGGAATACTGTGTAATAACCTCTATGATAGGTCGCCACGAACCAGGGCCGAGCATATACCTTCGGGCCGCAACCACAAGATGAACAATTGTTTGAATACCAGGCACTGCGGCCAGTTGGCGAAGGATCTATCGTGGGCTTGTTTTACCGATCTGCAGACGAAGTTGCGAGAGCCATTTCCAATATTGGCATCTTCGCTTCTACCAGCTGCGATCGACTCGACGGCCTCAACCTCAACGTTTCCCCGAATAGGAGCATTCGCTGTCCGCGCCGTGGCAGTTCGATTCAAGACTGGTTTTTCAGCAAGGCTCGTATCGAACCAGATACGATTCTCCAAGTGTGCATGGCTGACTCGACATGCTTGGGCGCCATCCTCACGTACCCCGACAATCGTAGGGAGTGCTTGGGCGAATTTCGCTTCGACAAATCTCTTTCGGACCAGGTGGAGCTCCAAAATTGCTCCTTCACCAATATGGTCACCGATAGGAGGCTTTATGTGCTTATTCGAAGATTGCCCAAGGATTCCGTGGTCGATACCAGCACGGATTGGAACAGTTTCCCTACCACAGGGACCCTGGTGTTGTGGTATGGCCCTCATGGCCATTGGCTGCAGGTACTTGATGAGCTACAATAGTTGGAGGGACATTGTTAAGGCAAGAAGCATCCCATCCCATACAATCCCATACGGTACCCATACCTATTCGGGTGTAACGTTATTTCCATCCCATACCTGTTTCAAGGTAAGAAGTATCCTATCCTATCCTATATCTATTCGAGTATAACGTTATTCCCATCCCACACCTGTTTCAAGGTAAGAAGCACCCTATCCCATCCAATCCCATCCTTTACCATACCATCCTTTACCATACCATCCCATACCTATTCGGTGTCACTTTATGGTCAGTCATTCACTACCGTCGGTGTATGCCCAATGTGCCGAGCCTACGCTCCGAGTAGATAACGGCTTTACCTTTATGATGCACGACTGAATTGGCCCTATTTCAATATACCCCAACCATTAATACACCCGACCACCCAGCCTTTGCTTGATACACCCAACCATTTGATACACCTAGCCTTGCTTACCCTCTGGCCGGTCTCGTCACGTCTTCACCTGAGCGAAAATATCTGAGACTAGCCAAGGAATTCCTTATCGTTCTTTTAGCCTGGCTAAGGTCTTGAGGAGAGTGGAAATCCTAGATTACATACAAGAGATGATTCTGGAGAGGGAATCTCGGGCGAACATTCGCCATCTTACTTCCTTGCCCATGTGTCGTACCATGGGTTGGTTCTGGTGACTGCTGTTTGATCGAAATATGGACAAGCCTTTACTTGTGCGACGACATTTCTTGGGTGGGAGTTCTGCTCAAGAATGCCTTCAATGTTAGAGCCTTGATTGCCGAGAATGAATCCTCTATCACCTTTGCCTTCAATGTCGGATCCGGCTTTGATTGTCCGAATGAATCTTCTTGGTCACCTTTACTTAACTCTCTCTAGCTTTGGTTCAAATTTGCATGTGCATGTGCACGTGGATATGGATACAGGAGCACATATGAGGAAGGTACAGTATCATTCCGAGTATTGCTTCAGTCTCAGGCGATTGCGATGGATATTAGGGATCATTTTCTCTTATGTACCCACACCACACCACACAAACAACTGCATCTCCGTCCCTCCGTCCTCAGTCCTCCGTCTTCCCTTACGAACATCAAGGATTGCTGCTATTTGGCAACGAGAGGAAAGGAAGGGAAGGGAAGGCAACCAGAGGGAAGGGAAGGGTAGGGTAGGTAAAGCAACGAAAGGAAGGGAAGGTAACGAAAGAGAAAGGAAAATAATAGAAGGGAAGGAAAGGTAATAAAAGGGAAAGTAACGAAAGGCAGGAAATGTTCCATGTTCGCTATCAAGTATATGTATATGGGGAGAGCCCAAACTATGTATATAGGGATACCTATTCCAGCCTTCTGGTTAAAAGGCAAGGCTGGGAGTGCCCCTACGCCTAATATTAGTGCCTAAGTGTGAGAAAGGAAAGCCTTATGTAAGCTCTTAGGCCACCTAATCAATTGGTGCAACAACCAGAGAAATCCTACTCTCCCTCTGAGCTTGTCAGAACCAAGTTCGGAAGATTACTGTCGATATATCCGTATACTTTGTCGATTTGACCTACTGTATATACTATAGTGTACATACAGTGTACAGGACGTGATCATGGCACTGATACTGGCAGACTCACTGGTGTTACCCTAACCCTTGAAATGTTCCATGTTGTCTAGGTACCTATGTAGGTATCAAAGGGTCGCAGGGAGGGCTGAGCGCAGGCTATACATATAGTGTACTCCGTATAGTATGTCTAAACCGCCTTAGCCTTCTGGTTAAAGAACAAGGCTGGCACCTAGAATGCGTCCATCCGTAAGTTTGACAACAGGCACTGGAACTCGCACTGGCATATCCATACTGTATCCACTACCAACGCAACTGCAACTGGCATCCTTAGGCCTCCTTAACCCTGCCCTGGCACAGGAACTCGCACTGGCATAGTCACCGACCCTGGCACTACAGCTGGACCTGTCCCTGTCCCTGGCACTGGCTCGGCCGGCAACGGCAATGTGGCTTTTGTCATGTCATGACAAGAACGTCCTGACTCGGCAGAGGGCCGGGGGACAGAACCGGGACGATCTTTCGGCGTTCGGACGGAGTATGTATGTCTTACAGTATGTCTGTACTCTGTACACCATCCTGTACTGCATACCCCGTACTCCAGACCCCGTACAATACGTTTACTAGGTATACACCACCTGTACTCCACCCTGTGCTCTACCCTCTATGCTGTACTCCAGACTCCAGACTCTAAAATACTATCAGATCTACTCCGAGCCCCATCAAGCATACAGTATTATCGATGGAATGAGGGATGAGATGAGCCCCATCAAGCTTATTATCAATGGGACGAGGGCTGAGATGCGGGGAGGGAGGGGAATCTCCAGGTCCTACATACTATTATCCCCGGCTAAGGAGACTTCACTTTCTCCGCCCGAGGTCTACCCGTCCAGGCCTTAGCCGCCCGAGGTCATCCGATTTCCCCTCAACGGACTTCATACTCCGTACTCCGTACAGTACTGCATGTTTTATTGCCATGGCTATTATAGCTCAGGTCAGGGTTTGCCGTACAGCACATATGTACAGTAGCTACATATGGAGTAATCAATCTGTATCGAGTAGAGTAGAGTATATCACAAGGATTCCATAATCCGTACTCTACTCTGTAAATAGGTACTTATATCTGTACTCCAACTCCATACCTAACAGACGGATAATTATATCAAACGAGTTTCAGCCCGACCCAGACCCAGCCTCAGCCTCGGCTATCATCATCCTAAGCCAGCACTAGCAACACCACATCCTCACTCTCACCCGCACTCTCACTCTCACTCTCACTCTCACCGGGATTACTGTACGCTCGTAATCACTCTCAGTTGAACTACCTTACCTATTGCGATTACATACAGTATACTCCGTACGCCGGTATCCCTAACATGATATGATCCTTCCTATCCTGAACAATCAATCTAAACAACCCAATCAATTCAATTAAGTACAGTGTGCTACACTGGTACCTCGATTGCTTACCTGGTTGCATAACTGAGCGAATCCAATTCAATCATTTCAATCCAATCCAATCAACCCAACCCAACCCAAACCAAACCAAACCAAACCAAACCGTTCCAATCCATCAATTCATCAATCATTAATTCAATCATTCATTCCCATAGGCCACCATGAGAGCCTACCAACTGCAGAAACTGGTCAAGAATATCGACGAGCTGGAAATAGTGGAAACCCCGGATCTTCGTCCACATCCTGACAAATACCTCATCAAAGTACATGCTGCAGCCATCAATTTCTTCGACATCCTCCAAATCCAAGGGAAACACCAGGACAAACCGCCATTTCCATGGATCGCCGGTAATGAGTTCGCCGGCGAGATTTTGGCCGTCCCCACTCGCGGTGGCGCCGACGTGCCCAAACTCCGATTCCGGAAAGGAGATCGCGTCTTCGGTGCCGGCCTAGGCGCCTTCGCCACCATGATCCAGGCGTCCGAGGCCAACTTGAGACCAGTGCCGAAAAACTGGACCTACGTCGAAGCAAGCAGCTTGTTCTATACTGCGCCGACGGCTTATGCAGCCCTTGTCATGAGAGCGCATGCGAAGAAAGGTATGTGCAGTCTTCCGTACATGCGTCGACGCTCCGAATGGAGAAAGAACAGTGTTTTCCGTTCCATGTTTTTGCCTAGACCTTGACTCTGGTAATCAGATTGCTAATGTTGGTTGGTGCTCAAGGCGACCATGTGCTGATTCATGGTGCCGCCGGAGGGGTTGGTCTCGCAGCCGTCACAATCGCCAACGCCTTGGGTATGACCGTCATTGCATCGGTGGACACGGAAAAAAAGCGCGACATTGTCAAACGATTCGGCGCTCATCATGTCGTCGATTCCAAAGGTGACTGGGAGCCAAAGGTGAAGAGCTTGACACCTAATGGTCGAGGTGTCGATGTCGTCATTGATCCTCTCGGCATGATTGCCCGCTCCTTGAAATGTATCCGATGGGACGGACGCTTGTGTATCGTGGGTTTTGCCGCCGGTGGAATCGAGAACATTCCCACGAACCGATTGCTGTTGAAGAACGTCAGCCTCTCTGGCTTGTTCTGGGGCCAGTATGCCAAGGAGGACCCTCAGAGTGTGGTTGAAGCGTGGGACAAGCTGTTTGAAATCATCGACACCGGCTTGATCGTCCCGTTGAACTACATGGAGAAGCAATTCAAGGGCTTGGAGCAAATCTCCGATGCAATGAAGCTGCTGAGTACAGGAACTGCTTGGGGAAAGATCGTAGTCGACATCAGTGAGAATGAGAATGGGAAGACTAAGCTGTAATGCCATTTAAGCATCCACGGCATCTGTGTCTGTCCCGTTCGGTGCCGATGTCGTCCGGGGAAGTTTGGGATCATCCCCGTCTCTCCATCTCCCTCTCTCTCTGTGAAAGTTTGACAAGTCGACAGTGATCAGCATGCGGCTGTAAAGCGGATTGGATTGGCTGGCAGAGTGTAGTTTCGGACATGGGAGAGCATGGAGAATGGACATGGATTTCACCGCATCACTCAAGTCCCATACGTTCTCATATCGACGACAATCGTCGCACGTCCCTTGTCGTACGGTTCGACCGCATTGCAGTAGCCGCCACGAGCTGGTGTTCACTAGAAGTATTTGTACTTACATTGGCGAGTGTTTCTCGTCGTTGGCCCAGTCGTTGGCCCAGTCCGAGCGCAATTGTCCAATCTTCAGCAAACATCATTACAGGCGGTGATGAAGCGATCTATGTCAGTGGCTGACTGACCAAACTTGCCGGGTAGTCAAACTGGTGGTGGCATCGGTCACCTCAGTAATATTCAGACGCCCATAGGAAAACAATCGGCTGGCTGGGATATTCGGACGTCAGATCGTTTGGATGGTGTCGGTCCTGGATCGAGTCCGAAGAGGGTACGGTTCTTTGTAGTTCATCTGACGGTCCATCGTGATGCCTCGATGCTTTGCTTTCCATTCGAGGATCAAGGGGCGGGAATGATCCTCTTTCTGACCGTCCCGATCCCTGTACGGGAAAACCCTCAGGTTCCGGGATTCTCTGAGCATTTGCTGTTCTCCTTTCTTTCTTGAGCTTCCAGGATTTTGTGAATATTTGCTGTTGAAAGGTTACGGCCCCCCGTCCCCCCGTATGCGTTCAATGCCCTGCAAATTCTTCGGTGGAGTGTAACGGCACCATATTCGAGGATGTTCTTGATTGCTCGAGAAAGAGCTCGAATGCTATTTGGGTCATCCAAGAGATATTTCGACAGTCCTTCGACATGGAAGCTATGCCGTTGATCGTGGGTAGGTCTTAGCCAATGTACATTGATCCGAGCGAGTTCATGGTCCATGGTGATGGAGAAATATTGTGGCTCATCATAATCGAAATCTCTTATACCAAAGCTGCGCCGCATAAGATTCACGTGGCCGTTCAACATAATAGCTCCAGCGAGAGCGGTCAGGTTTGTTGCCGTATAGTGGGTTCCATATTTGGCCTGGGACTTGAACTCGATCTCCAGAAACGGAAATCGAATCTCCTGGTCGGGAATGGCGTAGCTTTTACCGGTTTCGTCGTTGATGAGAAGATCAATTACTCCTAACTGATTTTCGGTGAAGGCTTCCTTCGAGAATCCAAATACTAGGTTTGGTTTCGGTTCACGCAAGGGCGATGCGTTCGTGTGAACAGCACAAGGCCTGAGCGGGAGCGGGACAGAATTGAGCCACGGTTTGCCGGAGTTCCATGCCAATTGTTTACTGTGAGGCATGCCGGTCTTACTTGGGAGGATATTCTTGGCCAAATACTCTATGATCCCATCTCTTCCCATCTCTTCAAGCCTTCGGCTGTTTTTCACCAATTGTTGAACGTCCTCATCATCCATCTCAGGGGATTCTCGGTTCCATGATATTATTCTCTTTGCCCGCCACATCAATTTCTCGGGGGGATCTTCACGATATATCCATATATTGCGATAGCGCAACGCCCGCCGATATTCCAAATCGTGGATACTTGTGGCGGTGGGTGTGCTCTCGCAATGACTCTCTGGGTCTGGAAGGTCGGGGGGACGTGTGCGGGACGTGTCGGCAGGTCCTCCTGACAGTTGGGCTTCGATCTCCGCCGGGGATTTGCCTGCTGGGTAACATTGTGCCAACCATTCTTCAACGAAGTAATCTCCGCCAGCTTCTGTTACTGACTCTGCCTGTCGCGCCACTGCGTGTCTAGGACGTCTCGCGTCGTGGGTCGACTCGTCTTCGTCCTCGTCTTCGCCATTGGCAGACAGTTGCCGTTTGCCTGAAGTCAATTAGTCAAGTTGAGTTCCAGTGAGGAATGGGGTTCCAACGGCTTGAGCAATCAGGCTGCACCCGTGGTTCGTCGGCGTGGCCACGACCTCTCCACGCTCTGCCTGGGTCTAGCTCTGCAGCACCCGTTGCCATTTCGATTGGTGATAAGATCGGCGTGGAGGATGAGCCTGCGTCCTATACTCTGTACTCTGTAGATATATATAACGCAGAAGCGAGGCTGGGACTTCGCAGATGGAGGCTGGCGGTAAACGCAGTCGAGGACCAAGCTTAATACTCGAGGGAGGGGATGGGGGCCCTAAAGCTTGGCGGAAACCACCGAGTCCATCATGGGGTCAGGCGAAGGAGGATCATTAGGCTTAGGGGCTCCTCAAGCTAGGGAGGCCCCTTACCCCTCCTAGCCCCGCACCTTACCGTGCACCTCGCACTAATTAGGCGCCCGTTTTCGGCTGCAACCCGCAACCCACAAGGACCATCATCCTTTATCCGTCACATTCACGGTCAGGTCCAAGATATCAGTTCCAACCACCATGATCACAGACAAACAGCCTTGCTCGATCAATAACGACGATGTTGACACGCGCGAACCCGTACCCGAACCCGAACCCGAACCCGGACCCGAACCAGTGATCTCAGGACCATGGGAAATCACTTAGCTCTGCCGTTGAGCTCAACGAGAAGGTTCTCAACAAGATAAAAAGGACGCTCTAAAGATCCGGCTGTTGATCTTACCGCCATATTTCCGTTGCAATGTTCAGAGCGTCTTGCGGAAGGACGGAAAATTGATAGCCTCGGGGGACAGTGACGGAATGTTCAGAACCCAACTGCGCGACATTCGAACGCTGCCCTGCCAAAGAGCTTGATCAGACGGATCCTACAACAATCGATGACCCCTCGCAATCAAGTAACGAGTTTACTATCCTATTTGCACTTGCACCGAGCGTGGAAATTACTGAGCTGTGCATGTAATGATCAAGATGCTATGGAATGCCAGCTTTAAAATCTGATGGGTTCGAGTGAGATACTTTGGCAGTCGCAGCCTTGCCTGATCTTGTTGTTGTTAAGTGTAGCAAAGATATCGGTCTTAATGTCATCCTGTATACATCGGATTACGTCGCAGCTACAACGATAACATTCCTTTAGGACAATTTGACAGAATGCCACTTTGTGGGATATTCTAGTCTGCGTGCGTGTGATATTGCTCCGTTCGGTCCTTTCGAAGGTATTCTTCCCAACAGAGTTCGGTAGGGTCACCCACTGAGAAACACAAGACATTTTGAAGCCCGTGCTCGCACAGAAACGTTCGCAGATCTTGAAGAAAGGTTTAGCGGGGGCGGGGGGGAATCAGCGCTCTCGCAATATCCGAAGGGTTGGAAAAGACCGTCGGGGTTGAGATAGAGGGACTTGGGTGTCGTTTCGATTAAGGGAAAACTGTAGTCATTTCGTGTAATTAACATCCAGACAATCTGGTAAGATAATGAGATAATCTTCTCACGGGCTTGGAGAGTTGACAGACTGGGACTGGGACGGGAGGTAGGCGGGCCCCTTCAATTTCCTCCGAGAGGGCGGACGGCAGTTAGGAGGCGAGCGAGTTCATCGGCTCGACCTTCTGCGGCGGCGTCGGCGGCTGCATTTCGTTCGTTGCATGCTGTTATGGGATTGTTGGCATGTTGTTGACAGAAGGCAGAGATGCGTCAGACTGCGGACGTCTACAATCCGAGCTAATTACCCCGCACCGAGACTCCGCACTTACTGTATGCGTTTCTCACTGCACATGGCCATCTACAGTACCTTTGAGACACCCAAGTCTTGCATGTCGAAGAATGCTATTCACGAAGTCGCGGGATCTAACTCTCGTGAGCCGGGAGTGAGTATAGGCCAGCATTACCTAGGCTCCAATGGGGGATAAGCTGTGAGTATATTTCACTTCCCTTAGCGAGGAGACGTGGCCTTGTTTCCTGCGGCCTTTAATTGATAAGTATATCAGCAGCTTCTACTGAACAGCTGCGTCGACCGGATTCGTTGTCTCTGGTGATGAGCGGCTCGGCTGGAAGTCACAAAATCACCCCTCCCTCGAGCCGTCGCGGCCCCCCCCTCACTCTCTCTCCACGGACTCTCTCCAGAAGTAAGAATACGTTCTCGTCCACGGTGAAGGAACCCATACGCCGAAGTGGCATGTATGACAAGATCGGGGATAGGCCTTCAAAGAGCTTTTTACATAACTGTCTGTTATTGTGTATATAATACTATTTCGGAGCGTAAGAAGTTAAAACTTGCTCCTCGATAACGAATATATCTCGAAGGGACGGGGAATTTTGGCCAGGTAAGCAGTCGGCGATAGAGATGGTGTGCTGGGAGAAAGGGGGGAAGGGCAGGTTCTCGATAGCAGTAAACTATATACAGGTTAGCAAGTCTGTGAAACCGAATCCGGATCAATATACCCTACTCCATCTTGCCCTCTGTTGGCAAACTTAGTGCTCGGAGTGCACGGATATCGAGAGTTTAGATCCACATAGATGAGGGATTGGGACGAAGCCAGACGCAGGTGCCGGCCTCACATCAAAGCTTTTCGTCTGCATTTTCGGGGGCGCCCACCTTATATAGTAGTGGAAATCGAATGATAACCCTTTTCGTTGGCTGTGTTTTTCTCAGCTGGAGATGGAGACTCGTCGTCTTTGACGTCTGAGTAGGAGATGAGGTCGTCAGAGAGTCGACGTTTCACCGGCTTAAAAGGAGTGGCTCTGCCCGAGAACTTTGGGACTGCACATTCAGTTAACGCGGTTGTCGACCACGTTGAGCTGTCCTCGTTCTGGCTGCGCTCAGAAACTCGGAAGTGAGACGGTCGCTGGGCCACCTTGGCATGCTTTGGTGTCATGGCCCCGTGTTTCGGATAAAAGAATTCCCACCTTCAAAGTACTCCGTACCTGGTGGTGCCTGGAGACTGTAGTATGGGGGCGCGGAGCCATCTAGCCGCAAATCCAGGACCCAGGACTAGTAGCGATATTGAGGTACGGATACTCTGCACATTAATTGCACCAGCAGCAACGTGGTAATAGTGTATCAGGTACCTAGTAGGCATGAAATCGTATTTATACCATCTCGAGACGTCGCAGGTGAATCTCCTCACCTTCTCGATACTGCCCTCAGTCTATCAGGCTATCTCAGTCAATTTAATGCATCGATGGGAAGATGTCGCTCCCAGCCCCTCTGCGGTCAAGCCCCGCATTATCACGTGGTGTGGTACATATGTAGGAGGAGCGCAGGTACAAATCTACAGCCTCACCACCACCAACCATCACCACCATCACCATCACCTTCAGCCTGATATCAATTATTGCATTGTCAGCCCCAATTCACCAACTTGAAGGTGCAGCTTTTCTGTGACTATGCCAGACTCAGTAGAACTAGCCGCGGATGTGAAGGATCAGGCCCCTGTCGAAGGTGAGAACGGCTGGCACTCCTTCCACTCTCATGCTTCTGACCGCTTTTCTAGATCAGCCGAATAACTCGGATTCCGCCGGTGCCGAAAAGGACCACGGCTGCTCTGAACAGGGAACGGTTTCAACTCTGGTGACCGATCAGTCGATCCAAGTCAATTGTGATCGAAAGGAGCGTAGCCGGCTTCCGCCTCCTTTGTTGGGCAAACAACACGGCGTGAGTGCGAGAAGAGAGTCAAAATCCCGTATATAATGCTGACACCGATAATTCAGGATCAAGAAGGGCCTCCCGTGATTGACTCCTCCCAACAAGGCGTGAGTGTGAAAGAGAGTCAAATCCAGTACATAAGGCTGACACCAGTCATTCAGGCACCAGTCATTCAGGCACCAGTCATTCAGGATCAGACAAAATCCCCCGAGATTGATTCCTCCCAGCAAGGCGTGAGTGAAAAAAGAGAGTCAAATTCTGTACATAAGGCTGACACCAATTATTCAGAATCAGGGAGAGCCTCCCGAGATTGACTCCTCGGCACGAAAGCGAAAAGAGAGATCGCCAGACCACGATCCATCGGACCTCAGTCCAACGGACCCCAGAATAGTCAAGAGAGCTCGAGAACAATCATCTTCAGCCCATGCCACACTGAGTTCCTTCATCCAGGGGTGGCTATCTGCTATCCCCGAGACCGAGCAGGCGCTCTCGCTCGTTAGCTCGGTGTCGGAGAGCGCAAGTTCAGAAAATTGTTCCGAATCTAAGGTCAAAGCTGTGAATCATCCCTTCATGTTACAGCTCGAGCTGCGGGGCTTGCTGGAGAGTCTGAGACAATACATAACCAAGGCGGACGAACTGCTACGTGTCGAGCACCGGAGCATGATACTAAGTCTGAATCTACACATAGATGAGTTGGATCGAGAGAGGAGAGAGATGGCGGACTTGGTGAAACAGCAAAACGAACAGATCAAGGAACTCTTGTTCAATACTAGGGTTCCTATAACTCCTGCAAGGGCTCCTGCAACTGCTCCTGCAACTGTTCCTGCAACTACTGAGACAGCAGCGCCATCAGCTTGAACCACCCTCGCGTCACATATAGTTTGGTTCTCGACATCTGCAGCCTTGCTTTGTGCCAGAACACTCGGAAGGGAAGAAGGATATTGAATATCAATGCGCTGGGGCCCCATAGCCCTCAACAAAAACAAACCATCACCTCAGGCCTTCACTACGACACCATCACCTCACGACTTCACTACGACGGCGCCACGCACACGGAGGCGGATCCAGTCAACATCGCCAACAACGAGCCGGGAGTATCGCAGCCTCAAAAAAAGAAAAGAAAAGAAAAGAAAAACGATCGGTCTGTCTACCGGGCGGCTAACGACACGCAACGATTTTTCCAAGGCAATTTTCGGGTCTACCATCAAAATGTATGACATCTTTGGCATTGAAAAAATGAACCACTTCAGCTAGTTTGCTGCACTATTTGTTTTCGCGTTGAGAGGCCTGATGAGTTTGACATTGAAAAAAATAACCACTTCAGTTCATTTCTTTTTCGAGAGGCCTAATGAGTGGCTGGGTTGGTTTGGTCGACATGATTCTACAAAATGCAATAGCTTACTATAGCTTCTATAGCTTACGATAGCTGACGATAGCTTATCTCAGCAAATATCAATCCTGATGCTTTCATAGTTGGTCGTTTAGAGTTCTACCTAGATACCTGGACCGCAGACGGGATCATATAGGATATTCCTCTTTTCATGGGAACACTGAACCGACTCGACTATCGTTGGTGGTCTCCAATTTACCAAGTATCTTCTTCTCAACCATAACCTTATACGCCTCTCAATATGAACATCGAATCCCCAGGAGCTCGACAATACGGTTTCCAACAACACCCCTATATGCACAGAGGAAACGGGAGTCCAGCCTAGTAAGAACCCAGAAGCTCCAATACGGTTTCCAACACCACTCCATGCATTGAGGAAGCGAGAGTATAGCCTAGCCAGACTGTTTCCCACCCAGGCCGTTGGAAAGGATAAGCGGAGCTCGGTATCGGGATCCATATCGGTATCAGTAACGGTAGAACATACCACCCCAGAACAATAACATACCTATATCACTCACCAAACACTGCTGCCGGAGAGAAAGTGGCTGTTGCTCTTGTGGCAGACGGATATTCGGCCTCCAAGGTCCAGCTTGACATCACCTTCGAGGAGTTAATTGAAGGAGCGGTCAAATATATCCCCTGTCGGGTGTACGATCCAGGTTCCACAGAGGGTTCGAATAGCATACGAGTACTATGGCATATGCTTCACGCAACGAGCCGATTGGACCCGATCCTATGCGCACTTGACGCCGATCAAATGGATGCCAGACAGCGTAGGGTAGCCGACCGACTGGCAGACAGACTGACAGATAGACTGACTGCAATTGATTAGCGTATGTGTGGTTCCACAAACGGCTCGTAGATCTAGCTTGCTAGAGCTTCAGATCAGAGTTAGAGGCGCGGGCCGGGCAGCACTATAGTTAGTGATAGTATTAGTATCAAAGCTCAACGTGGGTCGCGGGACGGTGGATATCGCAGAGACAAGGACCACAGACCACCAACTAGTATAGTAATCCATATAGCAGCCCCGTACGAGGTCCACGATCCACGCAGCGCACGGGCCGGGCTCGAGGGACTTCATGTCATGTCGACCGACATTGGCGTTGGTGCTGGCATTGGCGATGGCGATGGAGTAGGGGTAATGGACACCACGATCCACGCAGCGCACGGGCTCGGGCTCGGGAGACTTCATGGCGATATTGGCGTTGGCGTTGGCGATGGAGTAGGGGTAGTGTACTCCGTATCGTAGTAGCCACGTATGAGGTCCACGATCCACGTGGCGCACGGGAGAGTTCATGTCGGCATTGGCGTTGGCGATGGTGTTGGCGTTGGCGTTGGTGTTGGCGATGGTGTTGGCGATGGTGTTGGCGATGGAGTAGGCATAGTGTACACCACGTACGTAGTCTGTAGTTAGTACTCCGCACATAGCTGATATCCCACGCTTAGGGTCAAGGGTTCCGTAGTATTCCGTATTCAGTCCGGCCCAACCGCCGAGATAGATCGCTGATCGCCCCGGGGACCTCCAGAAAGCTATTAGCTATGCTATTAGCTAGCGCAGGCTAAGGCCCAGCCGAGCTGCGGAAGGAAGAATAGAATAGTCCTGTCAGGGAGGGTAGGAGCCTCGCGCCGTCCTTGCGTCGGCCTCGCGTCGGTCTTGGGAGAGGATAGGTAGTAGGTACCACTCTTAGGGTTAAGGTCCCGTAGTATTCCGTACGTATTCAGTCCGGCCCAAACGCCGAGATAGATCGCTGATCGTCCCGGGGTCATCCAGCACCAACAGCTATTAGCTAGCCCAGGCCCACAGGTCAAGCCGAGCTGCAGTGCGGAAGCCGGAAGGAAGAACAGGGTGTTGGTCCCACCAGCGAGGGTCGGAGCCTCGCGCCTCCTCGTGCCGGCCTCGGCCTTGCGTCGGCCTTTAAGTTGGGAGAGGAGAGCATATATGTCGGGAATAGCGGGATACCAATTTAGACTTACGTATCATCCTGAAGTCTGATCACAGTCCAGTGGAGTCCAGTCCAGTCCTGCCGCAGCTTAACTCTGATCACAGTCCAGCCCAGTCCAGCCCAGTCCAGCCCAGTCCAGTGCTGGCCCGGCTGAGGACGACAGCAGTGGATTGATCGGCCAAGTTCGAGAAGCGGGAAACTGAGATCTTGGACGGAATACATCCGGTGCGGGGCATTTCCTTGATCTGGATGGCCATGGGCCGGTCCCGTCCGTTGTCTTGTCTTTGCTCGCCGAGGGCTGTCATTTCAGCTTGCCTTTGGTGACCGAGGGATGTCATCTCAGCGTCAGTCAGTCCGTGGTCAAGGTCAATCTGTCATGTCAGTGTCATTCAGTCCTGTGCTCAAGGTTGATTACCATCTATCCGGTCCGGTCCCGAACTTTCCCTTTCGTTCGGTGTAATTAGCTGATAGTGCAAACTTGCTCACTGTCCCGTCACAAGACCTTCTGGGTCATGAATGCCTGAACTTACCCAGGTAGTTATTGAATGCCCTGCTGGCGCGGACAAGGCAGAGATGAGATTGAGATTGAGGTGTTGCCTCTTCTTCCTCTTTTCTTCCTCTTCTTGCTCTTTTCTTTAGATCGGAACATCCTGCAACATGCCCTGGGTGTTTGATGGTCACTTTGTCTTTGGTCGTCTCTTCGTCTCTCCGTCTCTTCGGTCGTGTCTCCGTAGATGATCTCTCCGTAGATGACGATCACATGCGGGCGGTCAACCCAATCTTTATCGATAACCTCCGATCCTGGTATATCATAAGACCTCGACCAGATAACCACTCACCTGCCAGTGCAAGAATCAGAATCAGTCACTTCGCATAAGATCAGATCTCGGGTAATCACTCACGTGGAAGTGCAAGAATCAGGATCAGTCACTTCGCAATAAGATACTCCGGAGTCTGGACTAGTATCGGGTACGGGTACGTTAGCACCACTCCATCACGTGTGGGTGTGGGTGTGGGGAACCTTTTGGCTGCCCCTCCGCCTCCGGCTCACGCCCTGCCTTGCCTTGGCCGCGGAGTGCATTGCAGTCCTGTGTGCTGTGCTGTGCTGTGCTGTTAATTACAGATTCAAGTTCGACATGCTGAGCTGAGTTGAAGAGCGCAACTCATCCAGTTGAGGTGCGATCTGTCGCAGAGAGAGCTTTGACTAGATAGGTCTGCTGATCCATCACCATCACCATCACTATCACTGCGATGATGATGACGATGACGATAACGCTTATGCTGACGTTGTTCCATCACTGCGATGATGATAACGATGGTGCTTATGCTGACGTTGTTGTAGCCAAGAAAGAACTACCTCACATGTCACGTCACGGTACTCCGTACTCAGTGCGCCCGCTCCGTCCTCCGTCGAGAAAGTCGCCTCTAGCCATCAGGAGCCCGCTCCGTCGAGCAAGTTGCCATAGCCAGGACTAGACCATGTCGGCAAGCTAAATCGCTGTCATGGCCGTCAGGGACGAACATGTGGCGGACGAAGAAGTGCTCAAGAGAATCGTCAGAGAGAGGGTGAGAAGACATAGATTCTGCTAAAGACATACTCTAATACTAGCTGCCAGACCGGCATTCCCAAAGTTTCACTTGATCCATCTCCCCTGAACCTTCAAAATCGACAAGGCTTTCCCATCCAGGGCGCTGTTTTCAAGAGAAATGTCTGTGCCCTTCTTGTCGACCGGGGGAGCAGGTGTGGCTGGATCAAATTGGCCAACCAGCAAAATCAACCAGTGTTCAGTCTTCAAACAGGACCTCCTAACAAACGTCATGTCATCATCCTTTGCCCGCTGGATCCCAAGGGACACTTGGTCGGAGGCTCTGAGGTAGCATGTTCCCGCCGATGATCACAGAGAACCAGGATTAGTGGAACATCTGACTAGCGAGATGGTACGACAGCTAGTTTCCAAATTCGAGAGTTCCAAGTTTCATATTGTGGTTGTAGAAGTGCCACTTAGTGAAAGTCGGGTCACTAGGGCCACCGGAGCCAGACTCAAGGAATGTGTTGGTAATGAGTCTCGAGAGAATCATGATTGCTTTTTCCCCTGAACACTGCATGTGGAAGGGTTGCATCGTAGGGGTAGCTGTAAGTGCATTCTGTGGAATCCACTGCCTCTGATTAGCTAGGTAGTGCTGGTGGACAGTGTCATGTTGATTGAATGGCAATGGTGCATATTGTTCGAGCATCCTACTATTGTCATGTTGATTGAATGGTGCATATTGTTCGAGCATCCTACTATTGTAGTCTAGGGATGCCATGTCGGTTTGTGGATGAATGACAGAGGCTTGCGGCATGTATTGGTTCGGTGCCGGCTGGGCATATCCGACATGCTGGTAGTCCGTCAAATGAGAATATGTTGAATTTGGAGAGCTGCTGGGGTATTGATAACGAAGATCAAACGTCTCAGACGGATTCGTGCTCGTCCAAGATCCTCCACGGACAAATTCGCTCGAGGATGTAGACAGAGTCGCATCGCTGGGAGTTGTGCTGTTTCCCGGACCACCAGCCCCAGTGTGAGAGTTGGATGTATTCAACAACTCCGATACTCCTCCCATTCCTCCCACGTATGGTGGCCCTGATGGCATCGGCAATGGTTCAGCCTCCCGAGGCGCTTCAGCTTTCGCAAGGACGCGGTCTATGTCCTGCTTGTACTGTTTAAAGATCTTGTGTCCTATCTCGCGTAGTCGAGGGTATGTCGCCAGCAGCTCCCTGAAACGAGTGTTGTATTCTTGCCATCGGGACATGTGGACGAGGTCGAGGGCGTGATTACCGCGCTTAGACATCAGATAGCACAGCACGGTAGGCTCCAGGGTGACGAAAGCCCGTTCAAAAAGCGCCCGCGATCGTTTCCGTCTATACATGGTAGACTTGGAGATGGTAGACTGGGAGAAGATCTCGCGGGCGAGGCTTTTGATGTTGCGTTGGAACGCAAGGCCCATTCGCTCGATCTCGTAGCTATTGTCGTGCACGTTAGTCAGACCCCCCAGTCCCACGTGGACAGGCAGCTGTCGAGGGAAGTTGTCTCGCTCCATGGAGGTGTCAACGGAGGGACAGACTCTGACACAGACGGTGTGAGGACTGGAGTGTAGGAGATGAGGTGAGGTGCGGCCCTGCTTCGACTCTGGGAAGGAAGTCGTGAGAGAAAAGGACACGGGCTCACCGCCAGCCGCCAGCCGCCAGAGTTTGTCTTAGGCAACAGCCTCATTTCCATTATCCTTCCCATAATGGAACACAAGATGGCATTGCCTGTCGCTAGCGTGTATATCACTCCCTGGAACCAAACGTTCGATGTGTTGAGGGAGGACTTGGGCCGTTTGGTTGGCAGCCCAAGGGCCGTGGCGTGGACCGCATGAATTGCAAGAGTTTGGTTCACCTATGAGCAGGTGCTGCGACACGGCAGAGGTGAGCTGGCACGGGCAATTGTCGCCTTTTCCAGTCTCATTTCCAGTCTCAGCGGTGGTCCGTCCCAACGCTGGCACGGGGGGAGATGAACTCTCGTGGGCACCTGGCTAAAGTTGAAGTCCCCGGCCACATGGCATAGGGGCTGAGAGGTTACCGGGGTCTGCATCATGGGTGGTAGGTGGGTGGGTTCCTGCCATCCCCGCCCCTAGCAAAGAGTGAGGCTCCTGCGGACATGCATTGAGTGAACCAGGGTGGAAGAAATGAGGGAGGCAGGTGTTGGATACCATTTAACGGTAGGCAGGCAGGCAGGCAGGCAGGCAGCGCAGTGGTGGGCGCAGGTGGACAAGGTGCAAGTCTCTCTCCTTGGATTTTCACTGCTTACTGCTTTGGATATTCCACTTTTGAATCTGACTCTGACTGTTGCAACGACGAACCACATACCACTGGCAATTAAATCAGCTGGTGCCTACGCCTACGCCTACGATCCACTTCTCCTCATTCCAGGTATGCTGTCTCGTCTTCACCAGAACATCTAGGCAGGAAAGAACAAGAAGAACAAAACAGGACATGATTGATCCGCTGACTGAGAATGATTTCCACAGATGGCCGCCCTCTATCCTCTAACATCCGCCGAGCTGGTGGTGCTTCCCCGAACGCCGGAAATCTTGTCTGTCCGGAACGCAACGAAGACGAAGTTGATCAAGGTCAACAGCTGGAAGATCGTCGACAGGGTGGTTGTCCAGGCCGTTGTATGCCGCACCACCGTCACACCCACCGAGGCTGGCGCCACGCAAAGTAGGTCGGTCCTGGTCACCGAGACGGCGGAGCAGGAGATGCTGTGGCCCGACTTCAGCCTGATGCCGGGTGCAAGGGAGAAGATGGGCGTCGAGTTCCGTGAGGCTGACGAGGTACATGAGAGCCTGGTGACATTGGAGCGTGATGGGGACGAAGACGAGCGACCACTGTCTCTATGGCAGTGTCTATTGTGCTGTTGGTGGCCTTCAGGTCGTGCTGCCGGTAGAGATTGAGGTGATGGGGATAGTGGTGTCACAGTAACTTGGGATAGGGTTTCATGAAGTTACATCTACATTTGGGAATGATGTGTCATGAAGTTACATCTACGGAGTACATCTGTGTTGATAGGCCGTGACAGGAGGCATCTTCATGTACAAATACTGAGGGAGTGGGATTGTACTACAGGGCAATGGACAGCCAGCATGCGGAGTACAATAGATGGCTGATGAACTACTAGTATACTGTAAGGCGCGCACAGAAGCACATATTAGGCGTGAACCTACCGCCAGTTAAGAGGTTAGGCGTGCACTGGCCTAAAACTATCACTTTTAAAGCATATATTAGGCGTGAACATGCCTAGAATATTATATGCATGCCTAGAATATTATATGCATGCCTAGAATATTATGTTCCAGTTAAGAAGTTAGGAGTGCACCGACCTAAAACTATCATGCCTTTCAAAGTATTAGGCGTGTCCATGCCTAGAACAGCCTCTGGTTACGCTGTTAGGGGTGTACGGGGGAGCATACTGTACAATAATATACTCCGTACTGTACAGTATATCCTTCCCTACAGCAAACTCCCTAGGTACCTATACCTAGTACCTATTGCAGTAGGATTCGAATTCCTCAAAGAGCAGCATACAGTACACACACCACGCCGCACCCCGACACGGGCACAGACACAGCTAAATCATACGGACAGGGAGTAGGTAGTACTAGCAGTGTGATGGACTGAGAAGCAGACGACGTGAAGGCCCGAGAGGCCTGCGGCTGGACGACCTTTCAGAGTGTGTGGTGCACAGTAATGCTCACTACCTACCAGGTACTCCGTGCATACCTACCTACCACCTACCTACGCAGTACAGATACTAGGTATCTACTGGCCCTACTGAGCGGTGCGGCACTGCACCATCCTCCGTCCTCCGTCCTGCGTACTCTGTCCTGCCATTGTTGAGATTGAGGTTGAGATTCTGACGAGACTGATGGATGGGAAAGAGTGTCCTGCCGCATCTGCATCTGCGAGTCTGTCCAGCTTCAGCTCCAGCTCCAGCTTGCTTCTGATACGCCGTACCAGAGTTGTGGTTGTTCTGTTCAGCTCCAGCTTGCTTCTCATACGCCGTACCAGAGTTGTGGTTGTCGGTTGTCCTGTTCAGCTCGACGCCACGCCGTGTTTGAGCCAGCTGAAAATCAATACACAATATGCAGAGTGCTCCATATTTCGGCCAGCCGCACTCACTCACTCCTACTGCCAGAGCAGAGCACAATTTACTTCGGATGCCATCCGAAGAAAATTACTTCGGATGCCATCCGAAGAAAAGAACGCACGCAGTCTGCTGGACACTGAACAGCGTACAGGGATCTGGGGTTGGCATCAACTCAGCTCACTCACATTCAAGCTGGGCTAGACCGGGATGCTGGCAAGTAAAGTCGTGGGAGGCTTCCCACCATTTGCAGGTGGTGACTTGAGCAAACACACTATTCCGCGGAGTCGGGTGTCTACCTGAGATGAGATGTGATGGCTTTCTGCCTTGTCTGCATTTCCGGCTTTCGATGTGATGAAGCTCTTCCATTTTCGCAGAGATCGGTCCAATGATTTCATTGCAGTAGGACAAACCGCGCCAAGGGCCAACCATTGTCCTTCGAGCCAGCGCCCCTTTCGATGGCTAGCCATCTGATGACCCGCCGTCTTCCTGGTCGAAAATGGGGATGGGAGCTTGCGAATGCCTATCTGGACTCAGACAGGGATGGGACTTTCTCTTTCAACCCTGGTAAGGGAGTGGAGGTGGATGAGTGAGGCGAGCGATGCGATAGTCTCTCAGTCATGTTTGATAGTGCATTTTGTCATCTGTCCATTCAGACTCAGTGCAAAACGCCACACGCTGCAGTCTTGAGGGGGTGAAAGGGTCTAGGCAAGGGAAAGATCGGCCTGGTGCATCTCAACAGCCCAGACGCAAACCTGCAGCAGCAGGGAGACAAAACAGATGCCGCCCAAAACGGTAGCCGCAACTGCGAAGTGACAGGTCGACCCGGAGCAGAAGGAAAGGAGGTGGAGGAATACGAGGTGAGTGCAGCAGCCTGGATTGATCGGCGCTGGTAGCGCAGCTGGAAGAGTCAGCCGGCTGCCCTCCCCGCCATTCCCTAGGTGCCCCCAAACAGCAATGGCAGAAGAGAGAATGGAAGGAGGAAAAAAGAGAAAAAAGAGAGAAGAAAGACGTGCAGAAGAGAGGGATCTCATTCAAATAATAATGCTAGAAGTGCTGATCCAAAAAGACTGAATGAACACTCGCCGTGGCACAATCGAACCCACCGCCGGTTTGAACCAGATCAGCACCACATGTGGGAAGTTCAGGCAGCATGCCAACGCAGTGCCATAGTGGCAGCTGTTCGTGACACAGGAGTTGGCAGAGAGATAGCCAGCAGCGGCGTGATTCGGGGCCCCGGAGAGCTAACAGTTGGTGTTTGAGGGGGCGGAGAGCTAGCAGTTGGTGTTTGGGGCTAAGCTGGACGCATCACAAACTTGTCTTGCCTCGGCGATACTCGTATCCAGGTGCGAGTGCTAGGAGTCAGCGTGCATCCATCCATGTTCAGCTCTTTTTCCTTCGACTTCGGCCAGATAAAAGCCCGGCTCAGAATTGAGTTTGAGAGAGTGTGTGGTGTCCCTGTCGGTCTGGCGGGGTTTGCCATTTTACGTACACACGGGATGGAGATGGCTAGTTGATGGATGGTGGAGGGTGGGTAGCGGTCAGCGAGAGAAGCTGGGAAGGGGAAGTCTGGATGAGGTCGATGGTGTAATGGAAAGTGAGGGGGTGCAGCGAGTGAGGGACGAGATGCAAGGATGGGCCTCTGGGGGAAAGACAAGATACAAGGATGAGCCCTCTGGACGAATGCTGGCAGATACCAGGAGGTGATGGGCATTTGCAACCACACAGCCAATCCGGCCAGGGGCCCTTGGGCTTAGGAGGCTGGACTTGGGCCTGCGAAAACGCCCACATTCCTGGTCGATGTCGATGCAGGATGCAGGACGGCACGGGGGATCGCGACGAGCGACGAGCGACGAGCCCGCCCATTTCATTCCTTTTTCTTTCATTTTTCTTTTTGGGAAGTTCGGTGTGCCAGACACACTGCAGCGATACGAGTTACCATCAGGCTGAAAAGGTCGCAGGCGCAGGCCCAGAGGTATTTAGATCCCCCTCTCCCTCCTGCCGCGACCTGCTTTTTTGTCTTCTCTCTCTCCCTCACTTTCACCTTCACTCTCACTGATACCAAGCGACCAAGGACCACAAAGCCTATTTGGATGTTCCATTGCTTCCCATAGCTGCTTCCTCCAGCGACCAACAAGGCTGAGCCCCTATACCTTATTGTTGATGCCAACCGGAGAAGGGCCAGTCAACCTGAGCACCCCGCCCAGCCTCCATCCCTCGGGAAGAACTAGTGTTACCGTCCTCGGGAGAACTAGTGTTGCCGTCCTTGCCGAAGGGATTCCAGCCTCGCTGTTCTAGAGGCTTCAGACAGGTATGATCTTGATCTCATGTCCCGATCATAGTGCTCAAGGGCCCTCCGCAGACAAGTGGTGATCTGGTGTTGTCCTCCGCAGACAAGTGCACCACTGGCAGCTCGAACATCCACCTACTGCTACTGTACTGGCACTGTACCACCGCTGGCTGGGGATGTGGTGTTGAACGGTACGCAGACAAGTGGTGACCAGGTGTTGAACAATACCAAGACCAAGAGCACGACCAACCCCAAGAGTAAGTCTCGATGGTGTTGGGCTTTGTCACCACCAGTGGTGACTGACTTGTCCCCAGTTGTGACCTCTCCATCCACTCCGGCAAAGGACCTTGTGACATCAAGATGAAGAGACACAAAACAGACTCCGGTGACCCCAAGTGCCAGGCACCTCCCAAGAAGTCCAAGTTACCATCGTCGCCACACGGCAGCCCTCGGTTCACCACCTGGACGGCGGCGGGACGAGGTGCCACAAGCTCTGAGGACCCTACCGACGCCGACGGGGAAGAGTCCGATGACGTAGATGAAGATGAACCCATGGGAGACGCGGAGGAAGCCCAACCAGCACCGACACCGACAGTGTCACCGCCAATGTCCCCGCGATTGGCGGCTTACGTGAACAACCCGTACTTCAAACGCGGGACTCCCTCAACACCAACCCCGGGCGTGGCCACGTGGGGTGAAACCTTCAGACGCACGACTACCTCAACATCAGCCTCGGCCCCGGCCTCGTTGTACCCAGCCGTGGCCTCGATGGATGAAGGCTCAGTCTCAGCCTCGTTGGGGAGACTGCCTTCAAGGGTACCCTCTGTCTTGTCCCCGACCCCGATTTCAGGTTCTATGGCTTCAAGGATCCCCTCTGTCTTGTCCCCGGCCGCGATGTCATACTATACGGCTTCAAGGATACCCTCTGCCTTGTCCCCGACCCCGATGTCAGGTTCTACGGCACCTACAAGTTCGGCCCATTGGACTCCACGCCCCATTGGACCAACATCTTCCGGGCACACTTCAACCTCGGTGAGGCCTCCGTCCCCGCCGATGAGTCCGGAAATCCCGGAGACAATTTACGAATACTCGGAGGCATCGGACAAAGACATGGAGTCATCGGACGAAGACCCGGAGGCATCTGACGAAGACAGTGACGCTTCGGACGAAGACACTATCATAGTAGACGCAGACACTATCGTAGTAGACGCCCCCGGCTCGACGAGACCTCTCACCAGCACCTCAAGGTCAACGAGGGTCTCAGCCTCGGCGAGGCTTGGTTCATCAGGGGCCTCAACCATCACCGTTGATAGTCCCCGCTCTGTGAGAAACAGCACAATCACGGTTGACAGTTCCCACTCTGTGGCAAACAGCACTATTACAGTCGACAGTTACCGTTCCGTGAACAACCGCAGCACTATCACAGTTGACAGTCCCCAGTCGACAGCCAGGTCCACTTCGACGGCCCAGCGAGGTACCTGGACCACATCCCAACTCGAAAGCTCCAGCCGTCCAACGCTTCCAAGCTTGCCAAGTATCATGGCGACGATCCCACCGCCTGTGCCGCCGAACTATGCCAGCGCGTGGATCGTAGACCCTCTGGCCAGCCCAACAACGTTCCCGAACATGCCCTTCAGTGCTAGCATCCAGACAAACACGGCACCAGAGGAAGAATTCCGGCCAGGATTGCATATGGTGACAGACGATGGGGTATTCGACTTGTCAGAGGCCAATCCCCTCTGTCACACGCTCTCGGGCGACGACAGCAGCAGTACTCCCAGTAGCGGCTACCAGTACAACCTCGCCGCGATGCCCATCGCTCCTCCGGCAGCAAGCTCTACTTCCTCAGCGATAAGCAGCACTCCTAACAGCGGCCATCAGAACATCAGCGCGTCGATCGCTCTTTCGACAGCAAGCTCGGCTTCCTCGACGATAAGCAGCACTCCCAACGGCGGCTACCAGAGTAACAGGGCGCCCATCGCTCCGGCAGCGAGCTCGGCTTCCTTCGACTTGTCAGAGCCTCCCCGCGGTCGCGGGCTCTCGCGTAACGACAGCAGCAGCACGCCCAATAGCAGCCATCAGAGCATCAGCGCGTCTATCGCCTCTCCGGCAGCAAGCTCAGCTTCCTCGACGATAAGCAGCACTCCCAACAGCGGCTACCAGAACAGCAGCGCGTCCATCGCTCCTCCGGCAGCAAGCTCGGCTTCCTCGGCCATGAGCGGATCTCAAACCCCTCCCAGGCCGCGTCTGGACACGGTGAGCCCACAGGAAGTGCTGAACCGGGATGAGGCGCCTCGTTGCGGGTGTAGGCGGCCAAAGGCAAGGACGGTCAATACCAATGACGGGCCGGGCTCGGCATCGGCAGCACAACCAGTCACATCAGGACCAGCATCAGCACAGCCAGGACACCCAGCAACGTCTGGTCTACCAACAACAATAATGACAGCATTTCCACCATGGTATCTACCACCTCTACCACCACCACCGGTCCCGCGCAGGAGACCACCTACTCCAGAAGAGCTTGATGAGGACAATCGCATCTTGTACACGTTCGGGAGTCGCGGGGTCGTTGAGTCGGTGGATATCCCGGCAGACCTCAAAGCGACATCAGATGGCGAGCGGTATGTGTGGTTAGACACCGATTTCATGTTCGTGCGTCTGGACGACGGGATGACGTACTTCGTGATGAAGGATACGGCGGCGCTGGCGCTGCTGACGACCGAGACGGAGTTGCGTAGGAACCGGCATGTGTGGCCGCTCCTGTTCGGATGGCATATTCTGAGTGTGACGGACCCGCGGCTCATCAGGGGGGTGGCGAAAGCGAGGAGGGTGCTGCCAGACGTCGTGGAGTGGGAGTTCGGGAGGGTCTGCGCCGAGGTTTTGAAGGCCGGGATGGTTACGCCATACCAGGAGTTGGTCATGCTCCGGCGGTTCCAGAAGAAGAAGGGCAGGGCCGTGGTCGTCCGGGTGAACTCACTGGGCAATCTGGCGCTGCCGCCGCAGGACGGGCCGATGCCCCCGGACATGCACCCTACCGACGGGGTAAGGTACGTGGCGGGTTGGATGACCAAGTTGCGACTGGTGCCGCACCTGGACGGCAGCAACAACTGCTTCTTCCGAGCCACGCTCATATGGAAGTTAGGGTGTGTGGTGGGCAACGGTACGCAGGTGGACTTTAACACTTTGTTCGACCTTCACCACGATGGCATCTTCTTTGAGCATGAGATGGACGACGGAGCCATTATGCTGCCCGAGAGGCCACAATTGGGGGTATTTGACGGCTAGGTGTGAAGTGCGTACGGGGAAGGCAATGGAGAGGGCAAGATAGGAAGGAGGGCAGAGGTACAGGCTGAACCCACGAGCAAGGCCGGATGACAAGGCAGGCTGTAGGTCTAAGGGGGAGGATTTGGGAACTTGGGGGGAACTTGGTCAACTTGGCCAACTGAGGGACAATTTAGGGATACCTTATAGGGTAGTTGAGGGGCCATATAGGGACTCCGGGGATTGTAATAAGGTAAAGAGTAGGACACACAGCAACATAGGGGCAACATAGGGACCACTTGGGACAACGTGGAGGACAACTTAGGGGTAGGATTCGGGCAAGTTGTACCAAAAGAGAAGGAAAGTCTAGAGGCAAGAGGTGGACGACAGGTTTCCTAGGAGTTGAGGTACTGAAGGTGTTTTCATAGTCCGTAGGCCAATTGACGATTAACGACATCACGGGCGATTGATGAATAAGTGGGTGTAGTTTATGGTTCTCTTGAGAGATGTATGTGAGAGATGTACACTCCGTATAAGAGCTGTATATGAGAGATACTAGGTATATTCTGTGAGAGATGTCCGTACGTCCTGATCATGTTCGGCACCACACCTTCTTCCTTGGGCACCTTATCGCTGTGCAAACACCAGTCAGTAAGTACCAGGGCTTTACGGAGGTGGATGATTGAATGGCGTGGATGATTGAATGGCGTGGATGATTGAATGGCGTGGATGATTGAATGCCAGAACGGTGTATCCGTCCTCCCTATAGTGTACTCCGTAGGGTGTGCGGTGATTATGATCGTGTCATATGGGAGAGTACATCCTCTGTAGGGGCTGTAATGAGAGCGAGTGGGTGGAATTGGGTGGGTGAAACTGGGTGAACTGGGTAAAAGCAAGTGGGTGAAAGTAGGTGTAGGTGGGTGGAAGAGGTACTCCGTACATGTTCTCGTATCTGCGCTTTGGCTGCTGTGCTCGCCCAGACTACAACTGTGATACCCTACAGCGCAGCAGACGACAGACGAAGCTTGCAGGGCATAGCAAGGCAGGTTGGGTTGACGACACCGACTACGACAGCGAACTCAATGTCAATGACTTACCATCGCTCACGGATACTACCTACAGGTATCTTTACGCAGATGTAGAGCGCCACAGCGCAGGCCTAAGGCCTTGAGGGAAGTGCCGACCTCGGCTATCAGGCTTCCGCATCGCCCGCTCCGCTCCCGCTCCAGTTGATACGACCGGCAAGGACTATTGTCACGAGTGCGACATTGAAAACAGTGGCCGTCCTGCCAACATGACTGCTGCACATGTTCAGCTCGGTGCTAGCCAAGGTGTGCCATTTAGCTCCCCAAGTCGTACGCATACATCAACGGTGTATACTGACACATTTCTCGACTACCTAGTACCTATTGACGCGTGTCTCCAGATTACCTAGTACCCAATTGTGCTAGACGACGACGATGACCAACCACTTAATCCCCCACGATGCGGCTGCCTCTGACGACCATAGCCTCACCCTCAAGTCGCGGAGCCGGTAACTCCCAGCGGTCCGTCCCCATTTAACCTGCCGAGCCGGGCACAGGATGAAAAGGATAGTCCAGACGAGCTGGCAAAGGATAACACCTACAACCGTGCTGGCAATGAGAAAGAGGGAGGAAACATTCATAGAGCCATGATCACAAGGACCACGCCTTCTACACTCGTACTCTCACCAGAGGCAATGGTCGTAACGAGTGCAGTGACGTGGCATAGGTTCAGATGCACCGGCATCTGTTGGCTGAATCCACGACACATTGCCAGGTTTGAGGAGACCATCGGCATGGCAAGGCGGAAGCAGAAGATGGCGGCTGTGACTCTGCGTAACTACCCAGACCGCAGCGTCACGGTGGGCGCTATCCCACACACTGTCGGTCGAGAAGAGGCTCGGTCAGTTGCGGATGGCGGTGACATGGAGCGGCTTGCAGAGGCCGTTAGCGGTGTTGTTATTTGCAACCACGTGTCAAATAGAGAGATCGAGAATGCGTTCACTTGTCAAATGGAGAGCTCGAGAACGCGTCCACCTTCCTTTCAATCCCAATCGAGCCAGGAGAGCGATGGACAAGAGACACGGACTCGGACTCAGGACGTCAGGTTCCAGCCTGTTTCCACGTTGGCTAGCTACTACTGCCCCCGGTGAGTTCTAGATCAGCGCTGTTGAGTTTCGTCCTAGTTCTGACATGCAGAATCACAGAAAGTGCTAGTGCCTTTCCAGGATCTCCCCCCTCGTCGCCTCCCATTGTCATGTATGAGGCTGTCGGCCTGAACCTGACACCAACACCATAGGAGCTCCGAGCTGAAGAACCCGAATTCGGCAACCTACCCGACCGACAGTTCTCTCCGACCATGGCGCTCCTCGCAACCGGCCTCGCCGCGTAACGAAAGAGACGTGGAATGCAAGAGAGGCCAGACATACACGGGCGAGGAGACGTTGAAGGCAAGTGAGGCCAGACACATGGGCGAAGTCTGAGGCCGAGCCGGCGCTGCCATTGTTGAACCCAGCCCGAAAGACAGACATAGACTCACTCCACTCGGCCTGGTTTCGGGAGCGGTGAAGTGCTTGGCCGGGTGGCCCGCATCGAGGATGTCTATCTGCGGAGAAGATGGTTCGATACAGTTCCTTGGGAAGTCACATGGACACCATCGCCGATCGCGATGAAGACCCCTGTTGGCGAAACACACCGGGGGCGATGCGAGGAGCTGTTCGGGAGGAGGAACGGCCACCGGAAGGTGCAGAGGAGGGCTATGGACAAGCGGCAACCGGGAAGAAATGGAAATGAGGACGTGTAGAAGCCCCCTTCTAGCCTGGCTGGGAACGTGGTGAGAAGACTGATTGGAAGAGGGTGACAATCCTTGGGATGCAAGGGTTTTGAATTAGTCGTCAATACAATGTACCACAGTACTCCGTATATGTGAGTCAATAGGCCGTACTATGGACCGAAAATTCTGATTTGGCGGTAGCTGAAAGATGATATATTTCGTGGATTGAGATCACCGATCTTACAACAACCCCAACGAGAATATGTCTGACTGCTGAACCGGACCGGATGTATGGGCCTCGGGACTCCACCACATCCAATTCCGGACCTGTCGTCCCACGATGGCGGACTGGTCCGGAACATATAGCATGTTCGAAGTCAGCATCTGGACCTGGCCAAGGGTGGTATTGCCTCCTTCTCGTCCCAATCCACCAGGATGTCTGTTGTTTGCCTTGATATCCGTATGCACAATACCCTTCTCGTGTAACGCGGCAATTTTAGGAGAGAGTCTCTCAAGATTCGTCTGGTCAAGGGAAGCGGGACGTCTTCTGGGCGAAAGAAGGTAGATAGTCCTTGAGGTCCCTATAGGCGAACATGGATTGGTCGGGAATTGCATCATGTGCTACCCGGATGTAGGGAGACGATCGAAGATGGTGTAACATGGCTTGGAAATAGTCGAAGTCGTTCTTGGACACATTCTTCAAGATGTATTGCCGGCCATCTGCTCTCTAGACGAGAAGTTATTAGATTGTAGAGCTTCAAGGTTGCATGACACCTACGAAGCAAGGTAGACGCATCCAATGGTCCTGGGTTCTCTTGTAGAATGCGAATAACAATGTACCGCCGGCCTGATTGCCGTACAGCTCGCGTAATTGCAGCCATGACGGGGCTGGGAGGAGGAAATGGCCTTGTGTAGGAGGGTTCAAAAAGTCGTGGACGTTGCGCGCCCATCCATGGTAGAAAGGAGCCCGATTGAAAGGGATGGGCGTGCGTGTCTCATCTCGGGGGCACAAATATGGACCGCCAACTCCGTCGAGGGTTCATGCTGGTGACAGCGTTGGAAAGGCCAGGATAGGTCTATGGGCGATCCTGATCGATAGATGTTGGATGATGGTGGAATCCGCCCGGGCAACTGCACACAAATGCGGCGCTGTTCCCCGTACTCGTCGGCACCAGAATGGTGACACCAGCGCCAGGACTGGCGGAGAACATGCTTTCAGTCGCGGTCACGCGTGTCGTACTCCGTACTCGACGTAGAGCTCAACGACGAAGAGGTCTGTCTGCCTACGCGACCTGTCGCCTGCGCGATCTTGGTACCTATTTGGGGAAACTCTAAAGGCGGCGGCACTTTCCACCATATTCGGCAGAATATTTCCCTGGCACATGCGTGACTATAGATCGTAGACCGCTCATTGTAAACAGACACACTACTCTTGATATACTACACTGTACTACGACTACTGAGTAGTACAAGTCGTCTAAACGATTCCACTTCGACTTAGTAGTATTAGTACAGTACCACCATCCCCATCCCCTTCCCCTGCCCCATCAGCATCCATCCACTTTTCTCCACCGCCTCAGCCTCAGCCTCACCATGGATCGAGAGAGAGAAATGGAGCCGATTTCAATTTCCATTGACTCAATCCCGGCCTTTGTCAATGGAGGGCCTGTTTTTCCTATTGACTCTGTCCCGACCTTTAATGGAGGGCCTGTTCACCCCATTGACTCAATCACGACTTTTATTAATGGAGGGTCTGTTCACCATCACCTGGACCAGCCTGAGCACACAATCAGCCAGAGTCTGCTGATCTTGTGTTGTTTGACCGCCGTTTCAAGTCTCCATTATGAGATCGGCGATACCCGGTCGCTGGAGGACTTCCTGCAACGCGAAGAGGACGCCTGGTGGCCAAGGGTGGGAACCGAAGACTACAACGGCCTCCAAGATGCACAGACTGAACAGATCATCAGCTGGGAAGGCTGTACCGCGGCCTTCGAGTCGACCTTCGCCCAACACGATGGCCCAACATTCCACGAACTGCGGAGTCAACTGCGGCACATTCTTGAAGAGATTGGCCAACTAGCCACCTGGCCTCCGCAGCCGGCCTTTGCAGGGCTGCGTCAATTGACCTCCAAGCATTTCGACTGGAAAATGAGCCTTTGGCTCGTACTCTTCAGCTGTGCCACCACGCCTGCCACGTCACGCCTGTCCGCGGAATTCTGGAACACCCAACAGCACGATTTGCAGCAACTGGCCATGTTTCTGAACACCTCGCCTCTCTTTCGGACTCCTCTTACTGTCAATGACCTCAAAGACTGGATCGAGAAGCTGGAGCTCGTGTTTTGTGGGCCCCGACGAGAGAAGTGAGTCTTGACTTTATTCTACGACTCAAGGTTTCCAAGTTGTTCTTTCTCACCACGCATTTCTTCTACAGTTCTCCTCAGCCGACCCCGATATACGTGGTGACATTTTACTTGTGCGAAGAAGATGATGATGCCTTCATCACACATTTTCGTCAACTACCCGGTCGTTCCACACTTTGCCGAACCACCAGCTCGGAGCCTGCCAAACACCAGTACCGATGTATCTCTGAACAAGACGAATCGTCCTCTTCGCCCACCTCTGAGGACCTTATCATTGGGAACCAGCAGCCAACATACCACGAAGCAATTCCATGCTCGGAGTCTGCACGCCAACATTGGACCGAAATTGTCCGCGAGTCCTCGGTGCTGTTGGATCACCGTTGTCCAAGGCCGGTCTCGACGGTGAGTGTGAGTGGTGAAGACCAAAACTGAGCCTCGGGTGGTCCATGCAGGATTACGCTTAGCTTGATGGACGTGAGGAATTGACTGGATGCACTTGAGGAATTGACCTTGATGGACGTGAGGAATTGACTGGATGCACTTGAGGAATTGACCTTGATGGACGTAAGGAATCGACCTAGACGCACTTATGAAAGGGGTTGACCCGGTTTGGAAAAAGGAAAGGAAAAGATTACCTTGAGCAAGAAAGACCGAGCACGGACCTTTGGACGGAAAACCAAAAAGTACTGTGGAGGCAGGCTACTGATTACACGCGGCCTTTTGAAATCTTTTTCGACGGTGGCACCAGCCAGAAAACAAAACGAACAGCGAGAACAGTTCGATGACAACGAGAACGAGAACGAGAACGAGAACGACATAACGACAAAGGAGTAAGGATACTAGGTAGGAGACACGAAATCAGCCAAAAACAGCAAACAACAACGACAACGACATAACGACAAAGGAGTAAGGATAGGAGACATGAAATCAGCCAAAAAAAAAACAGCAAGCAGACAACGAGAACCTTCGACAGCAATAACAACGACATAACGACAAGGAGGAAGGAGGGATACGAAATCATCCCCAGGGGGTCTGGTATGGTTGACATGAGCAACGAGTCTAGGTTAGTTTGGAAGAGTGGTTTAGTTTGCAAGGGTCTGGTATGTTGAATTGGACATGAGCAACGATGTCTGATTTAGTTGGCAACAATCTGATTTGGTTTTGTTTGGTTTGGTCTAGTTTCGTTTACAAGCTGAATACCAAAATTCTCATTCTCATTCTCGTTTCTCATCCTCATTCTCACTAATCCATGTCTGTTGGTGTGGTACTCAGGTCAAGCCAGGTCAGATCAGGGCAGGTCAGGGGTTCCGACCACTGTGAAAAGGTTGCGGTTGCGGTGGCGGTGGCGGTCGCAGTGGCGGCCATCTCAAGGACTCCCTTACTAGAGTCTGTAAGGACGGTCTTACGATTCAATTGGGACGAGACTCATGTCTTGGACTCTGGGCATTATGCTGTGAGGCTGGTTGTGATGTAGCATGCCTTATGGACTACAGCACCCGTACTGGTCCTAGCTGCAAATCCGAATAATATAATAATTAAGGGTTTCTCTACTGTCAAATTTAGGCTAAGGGGCACTAACTTAGGCACTCCCAGCCTTGCCCTTTAACCGGAAGACTTAGGCTTAGGGGCTGGTAAAGGTATAGACACGCCTATATAGTCTGGGTTTAGGCTAAGGCTCCCCTCCTCCTCGTCTCTATCAAACTTAGGCACTAGCTTGGGCATTCCCAGCCTTGCCCTTTGACCGGAAGGCCACTAGAGGTGGAATAGGCACGCCCCTTAACCCACCTAATATAGTCTGGGCTTAGGCTTAGGGCTCCCCGCATACCCCTTTGACAGAGAACATGGAACATTTCGACCGTTGACAGACTGGTGGGTCCTATCGATAGAATGAGAGTGGCAATGAGAGTGAGAATGGGACAATATGTGTCATCATGGCCATCATTGCTGGGACTGCGACTGACACTGGAACTGGACATGGAGCTGGAACTGACACTGGGACTGGGACTGGGACTGGGACTGGGACTGGGACTGGGACTGGGACTGGGACTGGGACTGGGACTGGGACTGACACTGAAACTCGGTAGCTGTCCTCCGAACGCATTGCATCAGCAAGTAAGCTTTACGCACCAAACTACCAGCTGCCAGCTCGCTGCCCGGCACGGCACTGCCAGTTCTGCTGATCCCTTCCCTCTGCTTTTACAGTATTCGGTTCTGACATCCATGCAGTCTGGTGGTACAACTATGACTGTACGGAGTATACCGTGATAGTTAGTACCCGGCCTCAGGTATAGTAGCTCCGACCATCCGGGCCAGGTACAGGTACTATCTCCCTCCATATCACCCTCTCTCGAGTTAAACTGGCCAATTTAAGTTAAGAGAATTGAAATAGGTTGAGTTGAGCTAGGTTGAGTATTACTAGAGTCTGTAGATGTCAAAGGTGAAAATGTTCCATGTTCCATGTTTGCTATCAAGGGGTTAAGGGGCCTAAGCCTAGAGTATTACCTAGGTAGGTGTGCCTACTTCAGTCTCTGGTTAAAGAACAAAGCTGGGAATGCCTAAGTTAGTGCTCAAGTTTGACATAGGGAGGCGTGGCATTCTCCATACTCCGCACTGTAACTTCATACGGAGTACATGCTAATATAGTTTAGTTGGTTGGTTAGTACGGATACTTTGGGAAGTACTCCGTACTTTGGCTTTAAGTTGGGTATATATCGCCCCTCGCCCCACCTTCGCCAGCCTTGTGCTTGTCCGATGTTTCCTTCTACTGCAACATACCTACCTACCTACTTAGTACTCTGCGGGCGCTGCTATCCGGTCACGCTGCATCTGGCCTTAGTAGTAGCATTGCATGTAGCCCAACGAACATTCCGATTACTGTACAATCGCCTATGTATATCAGGCTGGCTGTGAGCGAAACAACGATAGGCGGAAACACACAAACATAATAGCAATCAATGATAGACGCAAACACAAACACAGCAGCAAACAACGATAAACGAGAACACAGCAACAACGATAGGCGGAATCACATGAGCAAACAATAGAAACTTGAAACCACTTATGCTTATACATCCCAAGCCTGGCTCGCTCCCAGTCAAGAGGGCAAGCTCCATGTCCAATGCGCGGGGCAACATACACCATACTCCATAACCAGGGTCTTCCTGTGCCAGGCGAGTGCTAGGCCAGGTAGGTGCCAGGATCAGTCTGCCGTTCCCTCGCCATGCTCGTACGTTACACGTGTTCGTGGTGGGGCCGGTTGGGCTACTGTTCAACCTCGTAAGGCTCAACAGATTCTTAGAAAGGCTGAAATTGACGCGGGGCATTCAGGCAGAAACCCAACTCCTTCATCTTTGTTAGTGCGTCAACTTGGCTCCGTTAGCGGCAACTTGGAAGGAGACGAACGAACGATTTACAGAAGCAGACGGACTGAGTCCTTAGAGGTACAGTAATCCAAGACTTCTCGCTTAGGGACTAGGTGGTTGGCTGATGACTTACAGTACTGTACCAGGCAACACAACACAACAGCAACGACAAATACAAATCCTCATACCCATAACCTATTGTCATCGAGTATCCTGTCGGAATCCTCACAACCTATTCTCCTCAAATCCTCATAACCTATTCTCCTCGATCATCCTGTCGAAATCCTCATAGCCTATTCTCCTCGAGTATTCTGTCGGACATGTCGCAAGCATGGCAACCTACAATGTCTATATTGCCGAGTACATATCGATGCCGATCTTCCACAATTTACTCTATATCGAGTTTGAGCCAGGAAAAGGAAGAATGTACCATGTGACAGGAGGACACAACGTCGGATGGCAATACGAAACGAGAGAGAAGGACAAGATCGATGACTCCATCCAGTTCTACGGGAAACATCCAAAGGGGACAATAGCCGGGGCGGATCTACAAAAGGTGGACCAGATTTGTCGCACAGTGCCAATGCCGAGAAATCAGGTCCTCTACGGAGTTCCACGTAATAAGGATTGCCGACATTGGGTGCTCGACGCCCTGGCTAAGATGGAGCAGCAAGGTGTTTTCAAACCGAGCAAGTAGATGGCAATGGCAGCCAACCCTACCATCCAATTTCTTGTTCCAACATGGCGAACCAAGCGTATTCATGCGGAAACGGCTCCAGGAAGTCGTCGACCCATCGGTACCAGTCGTTTTCAAACCACGATGCAAAGATGGTATTGGAGTATTCCCAGTAGGTCGGATACCAGCCCGCACTCTCCCAGTCAAGCAAGACGATGTCGACTGTGGGCCCGGGTCGGATCATGATGTTCTTCTTCTGGATATCTCCATGCGTCAGAACTGGTGCGTGGCCGTGCAAGACTTGAGGGAGAACTCGTTGGTAGAATTCCCCCTTGTTGTTGAGAGCCTCGGAGGCGCAGCATTTCCTAATCATAGCATCGTTGAACTCTGCCTCGGTGTCGAACGGGCCGTTGTCGCAAAAGTTGTTGGAGGGACGGAAAATACTATGAAGGAGAGGCCCTTTGTCGAGACTGCAATACGCAGCTGGTGATTCAACATTGCGTATTTCTCTCAGGTACTCCTTCAAGTGTGTAATAATCTCCCGCTTCTTCGGATCGTCGAACGTGTCCCATGTTTCCTTCAAGGTGTGGCCGTGTATTCTTTCCATAACTATAAAATTGTGCCCATTATCATGGTAGAGGGCGTAGACTCGAGGGACAGGAACTCGTGTCTGCTGTCGGATAAACATCATCATTCGACCTTCCTCGAGATTCAGCCATTTTCCATATTTAGCAACGAAGTGAGGGCCAACCGCGACGACTTTTGTCGCATAAGTTTCATCCCGCATGTATTCGCCGGAACTTTCGATCTCGGCAGTAGTGGGCAATGGCGCCGGCAAATCGACCACGGGTGCGTAATATGGGGCTGAGGGGATCGTTAAGGACGACGATTGCGGCAACAATGTTTCCAGCATGCCCGTCTTCCGCCACTGGAGGTCTAGAGTATTGAAGAGGCAGTGGTCCGATTCGATGTCGCTGGCAGTAGGTAATAGCGCAGGCAAATCGACCGTGTATAGGTAGTAGGGGTCGGAGGTTGCGGACGTTAGGGTCGATGTTTGCGCCATGTTTGTCTTCGGCCGCTGGAGGCACAGAGTTCGAAGGGACAATAGGCCAATGCAAACAAAGCCCCCAAGGATAGGTGCAGTAAATGGGAAGAGCAAGGTACTTTCCAAATGGTGTTCAGCTCAATGAAGAGTACAGTACTCCGTAAGTAGGTAGGATTGATTCCGAACAGGAAGGAGACGGGGTCGGAAAGTAGGCCGAAGCATGTGATGATCTTCCATAGTTTGCGGAACAAGAGTCGGCCCGGCGCGTCACCTAAATCTAGTAAATTAATTAGTTTAGGCCGGCTGCGGGGGGGTATGTGCATTTGAAATGCACGTGCCTCCTCGTGAGCTGCGCTACTTTGAAACCAGGAGTCCAATTTCTTGGACTCTCTCCGAAGTCTGCTTCCTTCTTCCACCTCTCTTCTCAATTCCTACAACCCCTCCACCAAGATGAGCACTGGTAGAATTGACAGCTTCGTCGGCACACAGGAGGAATATATCCAGTATCTCGAGTTTCTGGTAGACTCATATCGACGATCCTCTTTGACCGATGCATCAGCCACACAACCATCGCAGGAGCCATTGCCGGCTGCGGAAGGGTTGCTTCGCACACACCACCGAATTTCACTAGACCCAAATCACCAGATTGTGAACATGAGCGTCCACTTCTACCCCGTCGCAAACAAAAACCGTCGTCCAGTTTGACTTTGCCCTTTGGAAACCTGACCGAAAGAAAAGCCGTTCTGGCGGCGGCAATGCGTGGAAAACAGCTGCAAATAGACTGGTACAAGGCACGCCGCAGAATCATTGGTGATTGGAAACCCTTGACAAGCTAGGGATCTCCCGCGATGCTAAAGCCGTTACATTCCTGATCAGCGACAACTTCCAAGCCCCGACCTTGATGGATACCTGTCGGGAGAAACGCCCTTGCAACCACATTCACCAGTCCAATAGAGAGACTGAAGACCTACGCCCTGGAAATGGTTCAACGCCAGGATCGAGCCTACCTGACCCTCCGATTCGCGCGTTTTTCGAAATTCCTCCTTCTTTCCGCACGCGTTGTTATGCTGCAACATTGGGGGACACCAAAAGAAGAAGTGCTTGAGAAAGTTACATTGTGTCAAGGAAACGAACTGAGTGAGAAATATGACATGGATCTTTTAAGAGTGGTACGGTTCTTGAACCGAACGATTGACTGCCTCGATACAAACGGCTGGAATAATCGAGGGACGAATTGCTCCTAGTTTGTGAGGATATCTTCTCGCTTGAAGCAGCTTCAGCCTCTCACTTCTCCCAGGGAACCAGTCACTGGCTTCATACCATTCACTCTCGTCCGCGCCTGAGGAGAGCCTCAAATTCCTGATGGAGCGGATTTGCATTCCTCCATACGTGGGGCATCCATTGACCGAAAGCAACAATGGAGAGACGAGGCTGCGTCTATTCGTGCCGAGTCTCGTACAAGCAATGACGGGAAAAAGCGTCGAGTCTGTTCCCTCCCTTGTCGCCCGGGTTATTGCAACTCAGATGGCGAGGCTGACTGATGTAGGGTCGCACTCATCGGTCAACTCCTTGGATACCAATTCTCCGACATGCTGCCATACAAACTGGGCAACCCGTGGAGGGCCACAATATTGCAGGAGCGACAACAATCAGATCTTGAAGACAAGACAGACACCTCCTCCTCCGCCCGTGGCCGGGAACCAAACGTTTGCGTCGCCATCGACACACACATCTTCACCCTTCCTGAGAGGCATGAAAAAGCCGTTATGTACATCCAGATCCTCCACTGCAATGAAAACAACCGTTTCTGCATGTTCATTGTGTATCCGAAGCCCATCGTCTTCTCTTACGCGCTTCCAGTATCTTCCGGCTTCGTACGGCCGTTCGTTCAGCCGGAACAGACAATAACCGCACAGTAGGTTCGAAGCGTCTATGTGGCTCGGTGATCGCTTGACTGCAGCAGCTGCACGCTGAGGGTTTGCAGGGTTCTTGCAGTCATGTTAGCATGTTCGCCTGCACAGCAAGCTCCATCCTACTGGGTACACGTCTGACACACACCTCAATCCACGTGTCGGCAAGCGAGCGGACGATTTCCCTCCACCCCTTGAATTCTACAATCTCGTACATATATTGAATATGGGTGTGAGCCAGATAGATAGGTAAACGAGCAGCATTCTTGATTCCCGTCTTCAACGTGTCCAGGATCTCGGGAGATACGCTTCGACCGACGGCGGGCCTAAATTCAGCAGCCTGTCGTTTCCCTGGATCCTCCTCCTCCTCCTCCTTAAGGTCGGGCTCAATCTTGATTTGCCTGGTAGTTGAAGTCCCGAAGAAGGCTTTGCGAGATGTCATGTTGGTGGAGGTGAAGGTGGACGGCTCGGTCGCCACGGTATATATAGCCTTGAGAGTTCGTCGACGGTCACCACATTATATAAAGTCGTGAGAGTTCGTTGACGGTCACCACGGTATATAAAATCTTGAGAGCTCGTCGACGTTGAGGGTTAGAAGTCCCGAGGAAGCAATTTGAACTTGCAGTCGTCATCGATCAAGCTCTCCTTCAAGTCAGGTGTTTATCGAAAGGAAAGCAACAAAGATCACACCACCATCACCACCACCACCATGGCCACCACCATGGACATAGGGGGACCACTATCGCCCAGTCAATTCAACCAAATCAAGACCATTGAGGAGCAAAGCACCATTGAGATCGACCCGGAACTTCTTCGTACGCTAGGAGAACTCTTCGTTCGGTACGGGCAGCATGCTGACTTCGGCATTTGTCTCGTCCATCGTCACCGGAGTCTCGTCGAAAACCACACAGTGGTACATTCCTATCCGTCCAAGGGCATCGACGAATGCAAGATGCAGCCTATCGGGCGTCCTGACCCTGACCACACGCTTTTCCCTTGCTTTTCATCCTGGGCGAAGGCCCCTTAGCTTGTCCACTTGAATATTCGTCCGGGCCTGAAATTCAACCCGAAGTCCCCTTGCACCCTTTCTTGCCGAGCTGGCGCAATTCATTGTCGAGCACCGACTCGGTGAGATTCTCGGTCTCTGCCGTGCTTCTCCCTCCAAACCACCCTGGACAGAATATTCCGGTGGCGACGGTAGCACACTTGCGATACAGGCAACAGAGCGTGAGGACAGCGACACCTTTGGCCAGGAACGCGTCATCACCCAATGGGGCTCTATCTTGGAGGGGGGAGGGTCAGGGTCAGGATCGGCCAAACTAAGGGTCAGGCCACTGCGTGAATGCAGACGGCCTGAATGCGGAGGCCACCGGAATGACTATTGTTCACTCACACACTCACCACTGACTCACTGATTGGATTCGCTAAATCTGCCTGCAAGCCTTCGACATGGCAGATATAGACGTCAAGTCCATACATCCAAGCAATACCACAGTATGCATGGGTTGCGGCCAGAGATACAGGACCGTTAGATGACGCCAGGAGATACAGTACCGTTAGATGGCTGCAGGAGATACAGTACCATCTGATGGCACCAGCGTGTTGCCAAGGTGGCTGTAACGCATGATCCTTACATTCAGACATATATGCGTAAGAGTCTTCCATGTTTCGAAAGGTGCCCTAGAGCATAGGTCACAGTACGCAGAATAACTCTTGCTCTTGTACGGAGTATCTGAGCACAGGTCAGGGATGCAGAATAGCTCTTGTACTCGTTCTCGTACGGAGTATCTGAAGTCCAGTCCACCCCGGAAACAAACCCATTGTCAAGGACCCAGTCGATCAGCGGAGGGCTTGACTTATCAGATACACCGTCCCACACGCTTCACCCCAAACCTCCTAGTCAGGAGATAGCCTCGGCGACGGCGCGGTTGTTTGATAACAGGTCGCAGTCTCCATCAAGGCCGTGGACCCTTATTTGATGTCGTGGAGCCGGAGCTGGAGCCGTCTTTGATGTCGTGGAGCCGTAGCCGTAGCCCGAGCCTTCTTAACCCACCGTCGGCCCGTCGGCCCGTAACGACAAAGTCGACCACCCCTCCTGCTTTCAGCAGTCGGATAAGAGAGGGGCAGCCTCGGCCAGCAGCCGATGCGGGAAGAATTGGAATGGGACCACTAGAGAGTCCACGCCGCACGGCCTTGATGGAGACTGCGGCTGTTAGTATGTACGGAGTACCCCATTCTATAGCAAGGTAGCTAGCTAAGGTCTACTCCGTACTCCGTATATAGCAAGGTCTACTCCGTACCCCGTACGGATACATATAGCAAGGTAGCTAGCTAAGGTCTACTCCGTACCCCATACATATACGTAGCAAGGTAGCTAAGGTCCACGTCGTCGATGTACAGAGAACGGAGCACGGAGCACTGCAGCTTAGCCGTAGGGCTGGGGTTGGCGATATCAGAGGCAGGAACGGAGAAGAGATTTGAATTAGTCATATTGTCCAAGTGAGATATAACACCGTGATAAGGCTACCTGAACGACTGCCACGTGATGAGGCTACCTGATACCCGATAGATTATCACATGCTCCCACGTCATACAATGTATCGGCAGACCTGCCCCCCGCCCTTCAAGTTTGTGCCCTTCAAGTTTGTTGTTTGTTGTTTGTTGCGAGACTGCGATTCCATTTACTCCGCACTTACTCCGTACTCCGTACAGTATTACTACTCTTCCATTCCTCCTCGGACTTATGTCATTCTATGCTGCTTAGCGACTAGACTATGTTCGTGGCTCACTGCCATGTGATCCTCTGCGTAGTCGGTCCTCCGCTTCACCTATCATCAGCACCAATCTACCTGCTCCTTCACCCTGTCATCGGCACCAATCTACCTGCCCGTTCATCCTATCATCGGCACCAAACGTCGCGAGAAGGATGTTCCATCTATGACATCTCTCTGAGGCTGAGTCCTAAGTGCTGAGCAATCGATTCGTACTTTCGCCAGCATCTCGAAGCGTGCGAACCTCCTCAAATGACAGATCTGTACAAGAAAGTCGCCATCATCAGACTTGCCTACGATTACGCGCGGTCAGAACCGTCCAGAGATGCCTAATTTCCTCCATTTTCCTTCAAACATAGCAAGATTTGATCGATGCTTTAAGAGTGGATAAATCTCCTATAAAGATGCGGCCCACTGGGGACTGCGTTTGCAGAAAAGAGGCGACCTACTAGTCACTGCGTTTGCAGAAACCTTTGGGAAACTTCAGATCATGGCACCCGGCTTGACAGAGTTGGAACACTTGACTGCGCTTAGACTTGGGGGTTGGTAGATGGGCGGCTCCGCAAATATCGACAGCTAGTCAAGTTGTTATTGTCACGGAGTACTCCTGTTCAATCTCTCGGTCTACTCGGCACTCAAGCACGATGTGTGCCAACTGTGAAAGTCCGATATGATGAAGTTTGATTCCGAAGGACTCCGCATCGACACAGTCCCTTTTAGGGTAGTGTCCAGCGGCGGCCGCTGTCTACACCCAAAGACCTTGTCGCTTAGGCAGAAGCTGTCCGAAGAGGGTGGTGATTCCGAATACTCCCTGTGCCACTTATCCAAGTCTGATATGATGAAGTTTGATTCCGCAGGACTCCGCATCAACATGGTTTCTTTCAGGGTAGTGTCCAGTTGCGGTCGTCGTCTGCACCCGCAGACCTGGCAGCTTAGGCAGAAGCCGTCTGAAGAGGGTGGTGTTTCCCAATACTCCCTGTTCAGCTAACGGTGTCCAAAGAGGGTGGTGTTTCTGAATACTCCCTGTTCAGCTATACAGTGTCCGTTTCAATGCCACACATTATCCAGATCAGGTGCGCATACGAGAGGCAGCAGGAGAACCGCCCAACAATATTTGCAGGTTGATGGCAATTGCTGCAGGTCTCGAGTCACAGTGTTCTCATACGATGGATATGATGGCGAACATCCCAGAGTGTTTTGAATCAGTCTGATGTGGATGTCGCCATCCTACAGTGTGATAGTCCCCCGGTTATTCTGTGAATGAGTCTGACGTGGATGTCGTCCGACAGTGTGATTTTCCCCCTGCGTCGTACCCGTCCATACGGTTAAAGACGTCGCCTACAGCCCTTGCATGTGTTGACAGCAGGCCTTGTGACGGACAAATAGGTTCAGCACTCAGCAGGCCTTTGCGTGATATGGTCGGGGATCGAGAAAGACTTCTGATGCCGCTCGTACGCCTTCTCTTGGACCTACACGACCGGTTACTCTGGCTGAACGAGCAACGGGACGCACTATCACGCACTTCACAACCACCTTGCACGTTGGTCCGATCTGACGGTGCTACACGCATTCCCGAAGTGCCCTGGACTTGTCGGCACACGGGAAGGGTGTTAGTCTGTCGACGCACTGCTGATAGCAGAACTATGGCGTAAAGCCACGCGAATTGATCAAAATGCCGTTAATTACGATGGCCTATGACTCCCCACCTGTTGGACCTATGACTCCCTATCTGTTGGGTCCATGCTCCCAGCATATAGGCAACATCAACGCCAGGCAAGGCGGGGAGTCGTCAGCTCCGGCTCTGGGGGCCATGGGCGTACGAAGCCATTGTTGCCCGCCAACCCACAACATACCGATTGTGGGATAGGCCTAAGCCCTTTTTCATGATTGGCAAGGTTGGATTTGGCACCCGGAGGGGCTGAAAGACAGCCTGGGCTATCTGAGACGAGGTAGAGAGCGGAGCAGATTTTGGAGTCCAAGGTAGGTGCAAGGCAAGAGAGGATCAGCCTGTGGCAGGGTCAGGGTACTATCAAAGTTGAGCGTATTCCCATCCTTATTCTTTGGCCAGAAGGCTGGTTTAGGCATACTATACTCCGTACAATATATAGCCTGGGTTCCCCCAATACCCCTTTGATAGCGAACATGGAATATTTCAACCTTTGACAGGGTCAGGGTACAAGGCAGGGACCAGCGAGACACCAGTACTCGGAGGATCAGGACTATCCGGGTTCTGGAGTATGCAGGATCCAGGTTCCAAGATCCAGGAAACTGAACCAGCTCCCACGGGAACTACTATTACCTACCCACTAGGCGCCTACGTAGGTACGTGGAAGTTCGTCTCTGTCAAAGGTTATATACGGAGTACTGCAGGCATGCCTATACCCGCCTCCTGGTTAAACGACAAGGCGGGGAATGCCTAAGTTAGTGCCTAAGTTTGACACTCCTACAGGAACTACTATTACCTACCTACCTATCTACCTATCTACCTAGGTACATGGAAGCTGTCTCATTATGGTGTACTACATGTAGTACGGGGATCTCTTCTCTTCAAGCACGAACCGGCTTCCACAAACACCAATCACTGGTTCTTTAGGGGCTAGACTGCTCGGGGAAAAGGACTGCTCGGTGGAAACGGCATGTTCGGTAGAAAAGGCATGTTCGGTGGAAAAGGCCATGCTCGGAGAGAAGAGAGGCTCAAGAGAGGGAGAAAGAAAGAACAAGCAATAAGTAGTATGAATGAAATAAATGAGTGAAATGGATCAATGAAATAAATAAATAAAATCAATGAATGAATAAATGATAGAGTGGCAGTAGTCGTCAATTACAGTAGGCACTAACTTAGGCATTCCCAGCCTTGTTATTTTAACTAGAAGACCTACAGGCACCGAATAGGCATGCCTGGATATATATAATCAATCCTAATCCTCAGCCTACGGCTCCTTAGGCTCTCTACGAGCCCTTAGCCACTTTGATACTTACTGTACATTTACATGTACATGTATGTACCTACCTACCTACCTACCTACCTAACCTAACCTACGTAGGGAACAAGACCTTTCGACCTTGGATAATTTGACCATCTGGAAGGCCAAAAGACCAAGTCGAGCCTCAAGTCAAGTCACAAGTTGTCAAATCCAGGCATTAACTTAGGCATTCCCAGTCTTGTGCTTTAACTAGAAGGCTGGGGTAGGCACACTATACACTACATATAGCCTGCGCTTCCCCTGCGACCCTTTGATAGAGAATATGGAGCAGAGCCGAGCAGAGCCGAGCAGAGCAGAGCATTCCTCCACTGCAGCAAGTGTACGGTATGTACTCTACTGTAGACCTGCTGGCTCGCAGGATGCAGCGTGACTTGTGACTTGTGACTTGACTTGTATCAAGGGTAGAAAATATTCTAACTTGAAAAATGCGACTGACAAGAGAGAGAGAGAAGAGGCAGGTGATAGGAATACAGTGGTAGGAATACAGTGGTGCTCGTAGCAAGTGAATGAATGAAGAAATCCATCCATGGGAAGACTGCAGTGGTGCTCAAGAGCATTTCATTTTCTAACGAACATAACATGACATAAATAGCTGTAGATAACCGACCAACTTGACCCACTTGACCAACTTTTTTTGGGTTCCCCCGACGACGACGACGACGACGACGAGAGGAAGTCAATGAATCCAACTCAACGAGTTCCAAGTCACAGATAAAGCCACACCAAAAATAGAAAGCAGTGCGCGATAGAGAATCAATACCAACAACGACAACGACAAAAGAGCACAATACATAGGAGAGGATAAGGAGTGGAATCAGATTCAAAAACAACAACAACAACAACATCGGTAACGACAGAAAGGATAATGAGAGAAATCAGAATCAGAATCAGAATCAGAAAACATAACACAACAAAACACCACCCAACAGAATACAACTTGACACAATTGAACCCAACACAACACAACCGCCAACGCCAACGCCAGGCCAGGAAAGCCGGCCTCAATCTCAATTGTCATTGCACCGTCACCACCGCGTCACCGCGTCACCACATTACCACTCCCCAAACCCTGCGGCGGCGAATCGATAACGTGATCCCTTGGCAGGCCAGAACTGGGCACGACGGAAGTCATGCCTAGGCCAAGGAGTGTACCACGGGCAGCCGGTGCTGAAGAAAAAGCTACCCTGTGGGACATGATCTATATCTAAGAGACCGTCGACATCAAACGGCATGATTTGGCCATCAGGTCGTGCGACAATAGCACAGCCGCCGACCTCATCGTCGGGCCGGTGGACCCAGTCGAGCAGGACGCCGTGCGTGTGCAGCACATTCGGCACCGCCATGGGGTTGGCCGGGGGCAGGTCGCCGTTTTCTTCGTAGAGGTTCGGACCGGAGAACATGGTCCAGCCGAGGTCGTTGTGCTGCACGTCGACGCCGTGGCCCACGTGCAGTGCCATGTATACGTGCAGATACCGCTCGCGCAGGTCGTTCTCCATTTTCGCCGGGGGCCATTGGCTCGTGTGCTCCTCCAGCATCGTTCGGTAGTACCACATGGTCCGCCCCAACAATTCTTGGAAGTCATCGTCGGTCATCTGAAACTGGGTCTGGGTCTGGGTACGGGTCTGGCCGTTGACATTGACTTGATTGTGTCCTTGTCCGTTCAGTTGCAGGCCCTGGAACGCCGAGGTCAAGGTATCGTTGGTGTCGGTGTTGGGGGCGGTGAGGGTGTACGGGAAGCAGAGCTGGAGGGAGTGTGGGCGCAGGAAATGGTGGGTCAAGCCGTTGGCCGCGCACATACGCCACAGCACGATGACCATGCGGTCGATGAAGACGCCCTCAAACACGGCCTCCAAAAAGCGGTGGTCGTTGCGCAGTTCCGGCCCGCACCGTAACAGCGCGGCCGGATGAAGAAAGCACTTCCGCTCGCTGTACCGCATCTCGTAATCGGGGTAGGGCGGTTCGTCACCCGAATCGATCGCCAGTAGCTGGCAGTAATCGGTCAGGTTATGTCGCCACTCGGCTCGCAACCACGGGGTCGTCAGCAGGTGGTCCAGCACCCAGTTGTGCATCCAGACCACCTGGTCCGGGGTGAACTGGGCCACTTTGGCTTCGAGCTCGGGGTCCGGCGTGCTGCGAGCTCCCAGCCTAGGATAATACCACTCTTTGCGCGCCCACGCTTGCGTGCCCTCGTTGAGAGACTCGTAGAGCTGCACATAGGAGGTGTGCTCCACTGCGAGGGTCGCCATCATGATGAAGATGATGGGTGTGATACTTTTGAATAGATAGGTGGTGATGTGATCCTTTAAATGGATGGAGTGGTGAGGTGATGTGATCCTTAAATGGATGGATTGATGATGGGATGTGATCTTTGATATGGATGAAGATGAATGAAGCGGTGATGACGATGACAATGGCTCGAACGGTGATGGTGGTCAAGTCTTGTGCTTGCTCACGGTAGCGGTGGCCAGTTAGAAGAGGTCCAGTCTGGGCAATGTGGTGGCAGAGCAGCGTAGTTGTACTCTCGTGGCTGTCGCTGCTGTTGCTGTTCCTGTTGCTGCGGCTGGTGCAGTGCCCACGGTGCTCGACTTGATGACCCTGCTGCTGGTGCCGGTGCTGTTCCAGTAGACGGCGACTCCGACGGGGATGGTGTCGGCGTAGCAGATCGAGCAATGGAATGGCGCAACCGAGATGTCGGTATATGGTGAGGATGCCTCGCTGATGGGTATGTTCGTGGTCCTAGAGGTGTGGGGGTCGACGGGAGAATAGGTATGCCTCTGCTTGGAACTAGACCCGGTGGGGGTGCGATAGTGTCTGCACCTAAATGACCTGTTCCCGTTCTCACTCTCGAGGGTGAGGGTGCGGGCGAGGAAGTAAAGAGCGCTCGTGGCTCCGGGAAGGTGGCTGCTCTTGGAGGAAGAGGAGGAGGAAGAGCCCCGTTCTGGTTGGTGCCGGTGAGCGGGTATGGCTGCTGCAATAATGTCCAGAATGCCCGAAGGACGGATAGATCGAACTGGCCCTGATATAGCCTCTGTAGGTAAGCGTTAGCTTGGGCTTGGGCTCGGGCTTCAGCTTCGGTGGAATCGGTCTCGGAGTAGGTAGGAGGTTGGGTGTGAGTGTGAGTGTGAGTGTGAGTGTGAGTGTGAGTGTGAGATGGTGATGGTGATGGTGATGGAGAGTGAGAGGAGTGATCACGGTCTTGATTGTGACCGGCCACTTGAACTTCTGCAGCGACGGGAACTCCTTGTCCAAGCACCGGAGCTTGAGTCTGGACTTGAGGAGACGCAGCCTCGGTAGGAGGAGAAATCCGGATTTCAATCTGACCACCAACAAGCTCGCTGGGTTGGGTCACCAAAGTCAAGCGTGGAGGGGGAGACCGACGAGGCTGATGCTGAGGCCGAGGCTGAGATGAGACGGGCGGCGACCAGTCCGGTGGAAGGGGAGGATGGGGCAGCGGCCAGGTATCGTCTGAATGTGAACCAGACTCCGATCCCGATTCCGATGCCGTTTCTGTTCCACACGTTCTTTTTCTGTGTGTTCCGCCTTCGCCTTCGGAGTCGTCGGTTTCGAACTCGCTCGATGAAGCAGAGTCCAACGCCGTTTCGGAGGGCGGGAGGGAAGCAGCTCGGTTTGGCGGGTTTGTGAAGAGCTCGGAAGACGACGGATCACGGCTGGGAGAAGACTGCAATTGCTGACGACCACGAGAGGACGGTGAATGTGATTGTCTTTGTAGTTGTGGCTCTAGGTCGGGCCGTGCCCACGGGTTTCTTCCGAACCAATACTCCCGATCCAACTCTGTTAGCCTGGCTTGGTTTTGGTTTTGAACTGGTCGCGGCGGGACGTCGTAGTATAAACGACTGACACTGGAACTGGGGGACACAGACGGAGGCGGACCGCTGATGGTTTCCAAATGCGGATCTGCCCAGTCCCGGAAGTCGAATACCGTAGACGACGACGACAGCGACCGTGACCGTGACCGCGATCGAGATCGTGACCGCGACGATAACCGCGGCGGCTGAGACTGAGTCTTTCTCCTTGTCCGAGTCCTTCGCTGTGGCTCTGTCTCTGTGGTGTCTTTGGCTTTGGCTTTGGCTTTGGCCGAAGCTTTGTGATCTGACGGGCAGAGAGCCCGTTCCAGGTTGGCGGCGGAGAAGGCGTCTAGATGCGTCAACGTCGATGCCGGACGGTTGCGAAAGAAATCAGTAGGATTTGACGGCGCCAGTGTTGATGTTGGTGCCCGCGGTGCCCGCGGTGGCGGTGGCGGTGTTTGCCGCTGTGGTTGTGCCGGAGTGGGATTTGTCTGGCTTGGCCCCGACTCTGGCTTTGGCCGCAGAGTCAAGTTCTTGTAATGAGGACCTGCTAATTTAGCAGGCGGAAATCCCTTTCTTTTGGGACCTGGGGGTGTATAGCGTGGTGGTCCCTGACGACGGGGAATTGATCGTGGCGAGAGGGGTCTTTCTTGACCGGGATAGAAACGTGTGGTTGATACCGGCCAGGGTCCTTGATGTCTAGAACCGGAGGGTATGGCGATAGGATGTTGAACTCCCTGATACTGATGAACAGGCCCGGGGACAGCCTGCTGATAGGTAGGCAGTCTTGAATGGCAGGGATACGGACCCGTGTGGAGACAACTACTGTCTGGATACTGCCGGCCCGGGAAATACTGGGGCTGGATCTGGAACTGGGGTCGAATCGGAATCGGAATCTGGGGTAGGCCAGACCACTGCTGCGTGTTCAGAGGGTGGTAGAGAAAGGTATTGGGCGGGCACAGATACTGGTACGGGGTCTGGGAGTGGGATTGCAAGGGAAAGTGCCACACAAAGGGGGGGGCCTGACCTGGATGCTCAGCTGCGAAAGGATATTGCTGTGGGCCAAATTGGAAGTCAAAGGTTGACTGATCAAGATATTGCTGGCCAAAGTACGGGTGACCAAAGTATTCTTGGCCGAAGTACTGTTGGTCAAAGGATGGCTGACCAGACGGCTGACCACAGAATTGCGGACCAAAGATTTGAGGACCAAAGGATTGCGGATCAAAGGATTGCGGATCAAAGGATTGCGGATCAAAGGCTTGAGGACCAAAGGATTGTTGACCAAAACACGGCTGAGACGTGAATGGTAGTGGGAACATCGACTGCTCCGCCAACGGGAATGTGTCCTGACCTGCTTCAGCTTCGCCCTCGTCCAAGTCCAGTTGGCTGAACCACTCGACGGGAAAGTCGAGAGGGTAGGCGTCCGGATCACAGGCCCGCTCAAAAGTGTCTACCGGGTCTAACGTGTCTGGGTCGGGCTGTGAAGGAGGAGCAGGCTGTGGTGGCTGCGGGGATGGGCGTGGAGGGGGACGACGTGGATGACAAGTCGGACGAGCCAGCGAGACTGAATTGCCGGCCCTGGGTCGTCGTTGATGACGGCTTAGAGCGAATCTGGAGAATCGGGATGGAAGAACACCTCGATGAGAATCGAGACGGGGCCGTTTTCGTCGGCGTTCAACTAACTCCTGCCGAAGCCAAGATGGCGGCACAAGTCCTGGCGGAGGCCGAAAGGTTTGCTCTGGCTCGAAGTTGAGGGGGTACGAGCGCCTGCAGGGAGGCGGAGTGGGACTGGTAACAATCACTATAGGGTTCGCTTCAGAGCCCCGTAGTACTGGTGTTGGTGCCGGTGCCGGTGCTGGTGCGGGTGCTGATGTTGGTGCTGGTGCTGGTGCCGGTGCCGGTGGGGGTGCCGGTCGGATAGGGAGAAACTGAGCCGGGCGATAGCCGTTCCGTTTCCGGCGCTTGTTTGGTGGGGGATGGGTCCGCCGCGGGACGATGGGGGCGTTGGGGGCTATGGGGGCGATGGGGGCTTTGCCGTCCGGGCACGAATTTGGCTCCGGGCGAGACTTGGGCTCCGTTGGGGGCGGCGGTCTGTAGACTTCCGACTCTCGGCTGGGATAATTGTCAGGCTTGGGAGCGAGAGTGGACGCGTTGACCGGCTTGAGATTTCGATCTGGCCAGGCGTATGGTTTGTACTTAATCGGGTACCTGATGGGATCGCTCAGTTTGTATTCAAAGCGTGGCCCGTTTGACGAAGGACTCATCAAGAGGAGAGGACTGGGATTGGCAGGAAGTGAGGTTACACAGCTGGCCTGGGCGTCTGTCCCAAGCTGAGCCGAGGAGGGAATCCAACCGACTGGTCTGCAAGAGATCACAGATGTGGTGTGGTAGAGTGTGTGCAGCACAGTGAGAGGACGAGTAGGAGGAAGAGTAAGAAGAAGAGCAGGGAGGACCAACGTGGAGCAGGGTGGTACTGTAGGTGAGAGAGATGAGATGTGATGTCCTCTGGAAGTGGTGGTGGAGATGGAGATGTTGAGGAGGGGTGGTGCAGGCAAGGAGGCCCCTAAGCCTCAGGAAGCCGCCAGGCGGCTGGAGACCTGGTCCCTAAGCCTAGGCCGAAGGCTTAGGCTCCAGTGGAGACCGAGATCAGGCAAACTTGTGGGCGGACAGAGAAGTGAGGCGAGGCCTAAGTTAAGCCTAAGGCCCTTGGCAAACAAAAGCTTGGAAGACTCAGATTTGGATGGGCAATTTTTTCGAACAAAGTAAGACAGGAAGTTGGAATTGGGAGTGGGAGTGGGAGTTGGAAAGGGACGAAGGATCAAGAGCAAATCTGGGAGGATCGAGCGGCCTTGATATATGTTTGATCTCTCAGGCTGAGGCAGGGCATCGCAGGGCATCGCAGGACAGGGCCGCCGAGATCCCATTTCCATCGACCCAGAACAGCCAACAGCCATGCTAGCAGCTAATCCAATCTGTCTATCCAGCTCGCCTTCTGCCACGCCACTGCACCTCGCTTGGACGTGATGAGACCACTTCCGACCGGCCGTCTCAAGACGTGGGAGAGGAATACGAAGTAGCAGAGTCGGCGACCGGGGTGGTGGCCATTCAGGAATGTACCAGGATGTGCGAGCAAGAGCAAGAGCAAGAGCAAGAGCAAGGATGCGAGGACAGACATCATGCATTCTAATCTATGGCACGTCTCAGTGCCGACACTTGACACTCAGGAATTCATGCAGGCCTCCTCCGTCCTCTGTCTCCTCTGTCCGCTGTCCTCTGTCTTCCGTAGTGCCTGCGTTGGCCAAACCCCCGACCACCAACCTGCGACGATCGGTCACCAACCACCAACCTATCCACTATCCACCCCCCGGCACCGCGTTGACGCCTTAGCCTCAGGAGCCTAAGGCCCTCACGCGGGGCAGGCAATAGTCGCGAGGGCGCGCTCCAACACCTCTCCAACAGGCTGGGGTGGCGTCCAAGGGGAATGAGCCATCGAGTGTCATCCCATCCGAAATTCTGCGGGCGAGCATTTTCAGCCTGGCTGTGACCCGCTGTTACCATCCCCTTCGTTCGCCGAGCTAAGCACTGAATTCAATTGTACAAACACTTGGAGGGAGGGCTCGGAAATGTCACAAACCGATGTGTGTGGATGACACAAACAAAGATCCCAGAATAGGTGGAAGTCAATATCGTCCTACGGACTACACTAGAGGAGGAGCTGAATTCGGCTGGAGCGGTGCCGGGGTCATAGATCGAGGATGCTGGGGTAGCAGTATCACATTGGATGGTTTGGTTACCCACTTCAGCAAGGCAAGGCGGGGAAGTGGCGCCGCCATCCCACTGGACCGATTGAACCAGGTTCAGGTTCGATCGCTGGGGAGGGGGGGAGAGGGAAGCGCGGATCGACGGAAACACGGTTGGTCCATTGGATGGTGGAAGCAGGCAGCCATAGCTTCTGTAATTAGGCGAAGGAAAAGATCGATCTCCTCGATGCGAAACTGGAGCTGGATAGGCATAGGTTGGAGGCTGAGGGATGGCCAAGTGAGGCGATAGGAGAGAAAACCCATCCCAACAGGGGGCAAGCGTGGGAGGTTGGCGACCGTGAGGCGACCGGTGGAGCTCAAAAGTCAAGTGCGGCGACTGATTGGACTGGAGTGAACGCTGATGTCTGATGTCTGATGTCTGATGCTCATGTTAAGCGAGGTAGGCGTGATGTCCCCACAGTATCTCTGGATCTTACGCTGTGTCGCGGTATGTACTCCGTACAATCTTGGGACGCGAATGAGGCGTGAAACTAGCGAGAACATGCAGCTAGTGGTGTGAGGAGGCAGGAGTGCAGGTAGGCAGAGAACAGGCAAACAGGCCACCAGGTGCTAGCTGGTTGCTAGCACGTCCCGGATCTGCAGGGTCCTATCCGAAGAATTTGGCACTGCCTTGGGTTTAAACTTCACAGCAGAGCGCGCGAGCCAGAGCCAGCACGAGTTGGTGGGTTTTCCACATGGTGCCAGACAAAGGAACAGGACTAGCACTGCAGGTGCAACGTGGAGGGAAACAGAGCTCCTCCCTCCCCAGGCCGGCCCGAACAGCGAGGCCGTGCTAGGGAAAAGCAAAGCATCGATATCCACGAGCGGGGAAAGGCAAACGCAACGGCATCTCAGATGGGGAATGGCAATGGCATCAATCCGGATTGCGCCAGGCACCGACCCCCTGGAGGGGAGAGAACAACCACGGCGAGACGTGGATCCTAGTCCAGCACGGACCAGAAGTGAAACTCACCTTGGTGGGTCAAGCTGGATTCAGATCCCAGCGGGCCACAGCTGAAAGAGTCGGTGAGACGTACCAGACACCAGACCAGAGGTGAGATCCCGCACATGCTTCGGTAATGGTGATGGTGGTGGGACGGAAAGGGTGGACATAGTCGCAAAGACGGGAGCATTGGAGTGATAGGAGTGGCGGAGTAGGCAGGTCGGAGTCGGTGAAGGCCAGAACAGTTACAGAGTAGGCCAGGGTGAGTGCGAGCGACCCAGTGTCCCCTGTAAGTCAAGTCACTTTTTGTTCAGTCACGCACTGTCTCCATCCTCCGTCCTCCGTAGCATGTTTTCGACTGTTCAGCTCCTGACCGGGGTGCACTGCATGGAGCTCAGATTGGGGTCGGTGGGAATCAGGTGGTGCTGAAAGGTAAGGCGTCTTGCTGTTTGCAGATTGCAGTGAGGCTCGCTAGCTCAATGTGACAAGCACACAGGACATCAGAGACCGGGATCAAGTGTCAGCACAGCCCGCCCCCGGCGCACTAGTGTCTTTCCTCATTCTCTTTCCTGCCGCTAATCTCAACTGAGCTCGCCAGGATCGGTGAGGAGGAGGGAATGATGGAAACCCATAGGTGGGATCGCCCAAAGAAGAACCCGTTGATCATTGGAAAGGCATGTGAAAACAACCGCCAGTCGAATCAACCTGCGGTGAAAAGAATCGAGATAACAAAAGTGCAAAGAGGTAAGACTGTGGAAGAAGTGAAGTGGCAAAGTAATCTCTGCCGGCCTAGTCGATGGTAGGAACAGAATAAGATGCAAGGATAAGGCTAAGGAGGTCGGGGGTATGTGGAGCGAGTAGATGGAGTTGGATGGGATTGGACGAAAGCGGATGCAACCGGTATGCGAGAGCAGAGGGCTAAGGGGCTCTCACATTTGTGCAATGGCAATGCTAAGGGACAACAGTGTCGGCTGAGTGCTATTGCCGCTGTCCTCACGCTCAGATATCACGCATCTCCTAGGATACTGCCGTATCGGGGGAGCATTCGTCGGCGCTCAGATATCCTCTCACTGCATAGAGATGTGGAACGGTGGCGAGAGCCTTGAGTGAGGTAAGTCAGATCCGGAGGGCCCAGACTGAACATGAATACCGCAGGCAAAGGCTGACAGGATCTCGAGACTCGAACAGCGTGGAGACCAACCTCAGGCCCCTTTGATCACAAAATACCGACTGTGACGCCAACGAAAGAGATGGATGGGTGTTGCTCCTATGCTGGTAGTATTCAGCGGTGGAAATAAACTGAAAAAGCGGTGTCCAGTCAGGAGGAGAACTGAAAAGAAGAGGGAGATATAATATCCTGCAGTATATATCGGGTATGTCTTCCTGTGCAGACAACGGCCGCTCTTGTTCTGATCCGTCCTCACAGTTCGTTGGACAACTGTCCATCTGGGTACCCGGCCCTTCGAGCAACTGGCATCAGCATACCATATTCGTCGGCCCTGAGTCTAGCTGTTGCACAATCCTCTGAGAGAAGTCGATTCCAGGGTCCGAGAGGAGACTCACGAGCGAGACTGGAGCGGTTGGCGAGGCCGGCAATCCGTCTTGGGAAGAAGTCGGAGCGGCTACCGTGCAAGACATACGGTATGAGCCCATGACGCTGCTCTCCTGGATCCCTAGAAAGCTTCCACCACGATCCGTACGCCTTTGCTGTCTCGGTGTGGTAACGGGATGAATCGGTCCTCAGCGACTTGGACGTCTTTCAATGTCGTCTCGAACAACTGCAACCGGCCAATGTCGCCGTCAAACCGGACTTCCTTGCTGCCATATATGCGGAACAGCTTCGCCAGCATGAGATACAATTCGGCGTAAGCCAGGTTGATCCCTAGACACTGCATCTTGCCCTTAGAGAAGGCGATGAGATACTTGTCCAATCGAGGGGTTTCAATCCACCGTTCGGGTCGGTATTCGAACGGGTTCGGAAAGATCTCCGGGTTCTGATGGATCAACATGGAGGTCATGGACATCGGGGTGCCGGGGGGGATCTTCCATTGCGTTTCGCCGTCGCTAAATACCAGCGTCTCATCCGGGGCGATGCGCTCCAACCGCGTGCAGATACCGTAGCTCAGCCGCAGGCCTTCCTGAATCACACCCGTGAGATAAGGCAGTCGTTCGAGCTCAGGCAGCGGCGTAGACTTGGTCGGGTCGGGGATGGCCTCGTAGAGTTCGTCTTTCAATTTGCGCAGAATATCGGGACTGGAAAGTAGATAAAATACCGTGACGGGCAGTGTCCATGCCGTGGTCACTGTCCCTGCGCTGACCACCGTGGCACCCTCGTCGGCGAGGCGTGATGTGCGCTTCTCGGTCTCGGGTAGCGAGCTGTGCAGTATTTCGTGGAAGATGGTCGGGTGTGAGGCCGTCTTGTGTGAAGTATCGAGACCGGACCGGATGTTTTCGATTTGCATGTTGATGTCCTAGTATGGAGGGTTAGCATTGTGGAGCAGAGCGAGACTGTTATGACGTGGGAAAGGGAGGGTCTCGGTCTTGGTCTCGGTCTCAGAAGACCGGTCGATGACACTGCCAATATGAACCGGGGCCAAAGGTTGGTGCTTTGGGAGACGGAAATAGCCAGAGGCTTCAACACACGGCCCAACCCGTTGTCGGTGGGTGAAATGTCCTCGAAGAGCCTGCTTCAGGAAGTCGAAATTCGATTTCAGGAATGGTTCAAGTAGGGTGCCAGGATGGTGAGAAGTGGCGAAGGCGGGTGACCTGTGTGCCGAGGTCTTGTCATATCTTGTCCTCTGGTTCATCAAATCATCTCGTGGTTGCCCGCGGCCGTGCTCTTCGGACCCATGAATGAGTGGTTGTTGAGGTTGCAGTCTAGCCATGGGACCCTGGACATGACAGCTTGGTTGCCGCGAATGCTCGGATGCTCTTCATGAGTTGGCAGATGTACAACCCGGATGGCCATTGTCTTCAGCCGACTCCAAGACCGACGGCATACGAGGCGAGCAAAGTTGATGATCTACGGCCCACAGCTTGCTGACAGCTGGTAGGGTATTGACACCGGAGAGCTTGACTTACTCGTTTGAATTGTAGGTATCGACTTGCTGGCATTGAGTCAATAGCGGCGTCTCACCACGTAGACGAAGCTCACCATTTGGGTCGAGTCTCCTCGCCAGCCAGTCTGGAATATGCAGAATGAGCCAGAAGAACCAGTACATGTTTTTGGCAATCTGTCCGAGAGAACTCGTCCCAATGGCCGCATGGTGCATCCACGGCTCAAAATCCTCGGCCTCGAGATGATGGTCGCTTCTGGCAAACGAGTATTCCACCACGACATCTACCAACATCAGTCGAGGAGCTGGCAGTGGCTTGGGAAGAAGTACCGTATGCATACGCGGCAAAGGCGATTTCCAAATTCACGGGCGTTCTGTGACCCTGCTCCGACTGTCCAAGCTGTTTGAACCTCGTCATCAACAAATCGGCCTTCTCTTCAATGACCGATTGCAGCCTGCGCACACTCTGCATGCTGAAATATGGACTCAATGCCGCCCGTCGTGCCTTGTGCAAGTCATGTGGATTGGTGCTGGCCCCCGCCCCCGGCATCCCAAAGCCTTTTGTGTAGTACTCCCAGCGATCGCGGCGGCGGGTCGGACCGGCGTAGATCTCTTCATAGAACTGCGGAGGGTAGAAATGCAGTTCGTACGGGTTGATGCGCACCACTGGACCGTACTGCTTGTGAAGCTCCATGATCCGGAAGGTATATTGGCCGCCGAGGATGACATCGTAGTAGAATTCATACCTGAAGAATAGTCAGATGAGGTGGCAGAGTTACTCTTCGCCACTGTCGATGCATCCGGTGCTCTCTGGCCCTTTGGTCTGAACCACTTGGCCGGCTTCGCCGGAGAGAGAAATTCCCCGAGGTTGCGAGATACGGGCTTACCAAAAGGTCACAGCGGCCAGTCTGGGGCCAGGGAAATGTGCAATAGGGCTGAGGAACAACCGGTACATGGCCAGTCCAAGACCATAGGCAACCCAGAGTACCACTCCGGTCAAGACGAGGGATACCGGCGAGGCTGCCCGGGACAGTGACAGTAGACGCTGAAGGAAGGCCATGCCAGCTAGAGTGAGCAGTGAAAAGAGAATGAGGTTGGAGGAGAGATGGAACCCAACATGACACGAGAGAGTCTCTTCATATTCACCGTTATCATTCTGCTCATGATTGCCCTGCGGTCAGAGACGGTGCCACGTCATTCAGACATGTTGGTGCTACGCCGCCGTCGAGCATCTACTGCACGTCAGGCCGAGCCTAGAGTGACCGAGATTCCCACAAGATCCAGTCTCATCAAGATCACTGGCGGCGGATAGGGAATGTCGACGGTGAGGTGCATTAGCCGCTTGGTTCAGAGGCCGAGTACAGCCGAGTACGGCGGAGTATGGCGGAGTACAGCGCTACGCTACTGCAGTGCACTCGCCCACGTTACGTTTCACCGCACTGCTTTGCTGACCTACACTACGCTTCCGCTTCATGTGATGTTGCTGGCCAGAACTTCAAAGCATGCGACGTGGAGCTAAGTAGACGGTGGGGTCCGGGAGCACATTGCTTTTCGCGAACTTGAACTGAGCATGCAGTTGATTGGGGATGGGCAATTTGAATGCGGGCTCGTGAATTTAATTAAGCCCACAAATCTACAAAAGCGGCGAAATAGGCTTAGCCATCTTATCACATGACCCTCTCGGAAAATCAACCCTCATATCCGTGCACTCCCATCGAGGGATGCTGCTACTGGCAGCAGATCATACCAAAACCGCGCCTCCGTTCGCACACGCAACAAACCCGGGTCACCCATCTGGCACCATCTTCGCACGGGAAGGCCATACCTAGTCTGAGCAATGTCGTCGACAGTACCGACTCGTGGTGCCGCCGGGGTGCTCTTGATATAATGATCAAACTCAACCAGAGCCTCGGCTGGTGTGGGCCTAGGCGAGTGTCTCGTGTTAGTGTCAGATGTTCGGAGGAAGATGCGGGGGTCCAGACATACTCCTACATATCAGTGGCCACGGGTCCTGGGTTCACCGCATTGACCGTGATGCCATAGTTGTGGCCCAACTCGACGGCCCAAGATCGTGCCAAACTCTCCCTACGGGCCTTGATGCCATATGCAGGGTGCATCTTCCACCCTGAGCGCAGAGTGTCAGCCCAGGAGTCCCCGACCGATCAAGTCTCCCTCCTACCTTGACGCCTGACCACACTGCCCAGGCTGACCACTCGCCCTCCGCGGCGGAGATAGGGCAGCCTCTCCTTCATCAGGAACATGGGAAATCGGACGTTGGTGTCGAACGCCTTGTCGAAATGCTCCGGGGTGATGTCTTTCAGCCACATCTCATCCCCGGCCCCCGCATATTGGGAATTCAGCGTCCGGGTGCGAACACTTTTGTTTCCAGGCCAACTAGGCATCTAGAGAACTCCCATGGTAAAGTATAGAGCGAACTTATGTATTATAAGTAAATTCTCGCACCTTGCTGGGACTATAAGGGTGGAAGCATTGCTATGATAACGTCGTAAGTGTCTATCCGGCTAGGACACCGTAGGATGATTACGAATATTGGCGTAGTACTCAACGTCGCAGATTCACGACGACGGGGAAAGTGGTGTGGTGGTGTGGCAGGAATAGGAGTCAAATTGAATTGTATTATTGAAGGTCCGTGTTGGTAATCACGCCGTTTACATACTTATACGAGACATCTCACTGATGATTATAGGTCCACAGTGTTACTTTTGTACATCATCAAATAGAACCAAATTCTGTCGTCTGAAGGGTAAATGATATTTTTGCCGTCGTCTTGATGACATCTGCGCGGCTCACCTCATGAGCCGAGGCACTCACTCGCTGCACGCGTGACGCGTAACCTGTGACGCGTTACGCGCTGTGAGGCCATGGCGCCAAGACTGCGTTTCCAATCCCCGATTCAGAGAGTCTTTCAGCGCCCTCGAGCAGCGTCGCGGCATCAGGCGCGGCCGAATTGTTTGACCTGCGCAGGCGGGGTGGCGTGGTGCTCTCAACTGTGCCACCTGTCGGCAGGCAGATATACTTGGATACTTGGGGAGCGAGTCCTCTCACTGCTTCAGCCGGTTTTGAAGCTCCCAAGTCTTTCCCTCGCATCGTTGCCCGTGGCAGCTTTGATTGTCTGTCCGATGAGTTGAACACACGTCTGGCCGTTGCTTAACGGAGGAATGCTTAAAAGTCGTCTGAGGGTCCAACCGACCTTCGAACCCACTCCCCCCGAACTCCAGCCATCGACGAGCGTTCGACCTCCTCTTCCCGTTTCGGCTCTACTGTTTGGTGGCCGCTCTGCCCTCCGATTCATCTGCCTCAGCTGGCCCTAGCGGAGATCTGTGCATGAATACATTCCTACACCTCCTGAATTGAGTGTCAATGTTACACCAGGGCCAAGGTCCGAGGGAAACCCTATTCTATGAGCAAATCTATCTCTCATCCATGCGACGATGTTTGGGCCGGTCGACCGCGCCAAGGGAAGAAGAGAAGTAACAAGGCAAAAGGCCGTGGGTGTCTCAGCAGGCATAGTCGTCGCAAGCAGCTACCAAGGGTTGAACGGATGATGAAAGCACGGGTGGCGGTGCGTCGGGTTGTATCACCGGCGTACTGACGGTCAATATTGGTGCGTGGTGACCTGAGGATGTTATGGAGACTCATGGAGTCGCACAGCAAGAGTCTACATTCATTTGAAGGGCGCGCCGATGACTGACTGACTGAAACGCCCGTTCTTCCAATCATCTGTCATTGGCCACTTACGGTAATTCAGAAGTGCACTTTGTTTTTTGACTGTCGCCGCAGCTTTCGCACGTGCGGTCATACTGGAATGGATCCTGTCAATTCTCAAGTCGTTGTTGCTAGCTTACCTCTAGGGATGAGATACCTGAGCCATGGGTTTGCTGCTCATGTTGACGTGACACTAGATTCCGAATATGTTATACAGCAACCCAAAGTTTAGGTTGGGTACGACAAGGGCTGGAACGTCTTCCGTGAGCTCATTGATAATGAGAGGATCTAGGAGCGCCCTATGGATCCCGCCATTGGATCACTGGATATCACGGATGCAACCAGAATAGCGGATCGATCCAACCAGATGGGGACTTGACAGGTTTCATCAACAACAAGCCGGACCAGAAGATGTGTTCCAAAATCATAAGACACATATCCGACCCTCTACTCTACATTCCGTCACGCAATGTCGCTGTACTAGACATCAAGACCGACACTGTGCTCTGCATCACCGAATTCTGAAAATGTGCGCTTCACTCAAAGTATTCTATATCTATTATATCCCCTGAGTGAGAAGATGCGGCATGATCGCATGACTGCCCCAGGGAGGTAATCAGCCCAGGATATTCTTGGGATCGGTTGTGTTCTGTATTCTATCTCTACCTGTGAGGTCCTGCAACTACGATTTCCACGAGGAAGGGCGCTGGCCTACTTCGAACGGCCTAAATCCAACGGCAAATGTATAGTTCAACTGGAGGATTTCACAACGATGTCACCGGAGTCGGAGAGAGAATCATGAGGCCAAAGACTGGTGTATCTGGTCCTGGAGGCGCGATGCCAGCAAGTACACAGGTCAAACAAGGCTGCGCTGGCATCAGGACACGCCTGCGATGGTAAGAAAGTGAGATTCCCCGTGCCCTATATCGACGCAGCCTACTAAGGATCCAAGCCAGAAACGACATGTCCTGAAGAAACCAGATAGTCGGGGATTGTCAATCAATTGGGTTGAATTGGGTATCTCCGGACATCAGGGCCACCTTGGGCTCCAGCGAGGATCTCTTCCTCATCTACCACTTTCCTTTTATCGGTTGCTCGTATCCTCTTTGTCTAGCAGAGATCAAGCGCGTGCGTCCAGCTCATAAGAAGCTGCCCTGCTTCAAATGCCAACACTTTGATGGGGTTGTGCCTCAATATCTGCATTCCAGACACACCCAAGCGACTCAGAGTCACGACTACCCCAGCATTTCCACGGCACCAAAGATCTCCAGGCAGCCAGGTGCCGAGGACAGATCGTTCCAAGGGGGGCTGGGGGATACCATATTCCCAAACCCTAGCTTGAAACAAGGGATACTCTGCAGGCATGCAGCATGTGAAGCAATCCGATCTGTGCTCGAGCCCTTGTTTCAGGATCTTACAGCCACAATTCAGAATGCCTTGGTCACGACTTGGGTGAAATGGCGGGATATTCTGGTCTAGAAACGGAATTGGACTTTGGAGAGGTAAAGAATAAGCGCTGAGTATATTGGTATACTGGGAAACTCATCAAAGCCCATAGTCACAAGGAACATCACGCATTAGGTGAGGATGATTGCCTGCTTGGCTGTAATATTGGATGGTCCCGCTCCCTCAGTCTACTGCCGCCAATCTTCGGTTTCGTGACTGGCTTTCTATTGTCTCCCACTGCAACAAAGGCCTGACTTCCCAACCGCACTGTAAGAGCAACGTCGGTATTCTCCTGGGATTGTTGCAGACACCCAGCGTCCGTCTACGAAACTCCACGAGACCGCTGTTGAGGTCTGTGGGGCTGAGAGTCGACCCAACCCATGGCGTTATGCGGTACAAGAGCTTCATTGTGGATGTTCCACCCGCCATAACCTCGTAGACTCTAGACCGCGAATCTCCGAGATGATCCTGGCGGCACGGCCCTTCCAACTCTCCCGATTCGGGCCCACAATAAAAGGTGTTGGAAGAGGCTTCAACGCCGACTTGACAGCTTTGAGAAGCGACTAGAGGGACAAGAAGGCGAGTGGGCAAGTAAGGAAAGAGTATGCCTGTGTAACGTTTGCCTTGGGTCAAGTCCAACGGAGTGAACAACTGCACTGTCTTCCTTCAAGCGGTGTTGACCAACGATGATTTCGACGTGACGAACTCGGCCAAGACGTCGTGGATTTGGCCCACATACGCTGGAGACACCTGAGCTGGTTCCACCGCCACTGAACTCGTGGCTGTTTTGCCCTGGGCAGAGTATGAGTGAGGACATCGTCCCTGTGTGATATGTTGCTTTACCCTTCTTCTCGTCACTTGTGAGACGTTTGTCCGTCGTGTATTTCGCTAGACTGACAGGAGTATCTTTTCATCTTCGAAGCCTGGGAAATTAGTCAATCATATATCTAACAAAAAACAACTCGCCCCGCAAGACGTTGACTTACTGATCTTGTAGCCTCTGGTGCTCTCCTGCGCTCCTCGATAGTTTCTCTCTTTAGATTCGCGCGACTAGTAGGCATCGACCACCGCCGAAGGTTTTCTGAATAAGGGAGTATAGGAGTGATTGCCGAGCAAATGAGAGACTCTTTGCAAGGCGTGATCGACCCAATCACCAGGCATCACGGCAGCGTCGCTTTGTTCAAGCCTTCAAGTACTCGTATGGTGTAAACGGTGAGGAGGTCAGGTGGTGGGAACGTCGTGTCTGCGTAACAGGTAACAGGGGTGCTCGAGGCAGAGATAGAAGGTCAAGCGAAACAGCCGGCTTAGGGGCTTAGGGTGGGTGCCAGAATTAAAGGCGGTTTATCCAACTACTATCCGTACTTCGATAAGATTAGGGAAACCTCCAGCTCTACCGAATGATTATCTTTCTAAGATACTAGATATAATCTACGGCCTCCCTAGAGTGACTCTTGTATTTCTCATATTGAAATTCTATGTCTAGAGACAGTAGCTCTCTACTTAATAGAAGGACCGCCGTATAATCCACCATGTATTTTGGCTCCCAGTCTTAGGCCTCCCTGCCTGCACCACCCTTCCTCAACATCTCCATCTCCACCACCACCACCATACTTCCAGAGGACATCACATCTCATCTCTACCTAGCGCCCCTGATGCCTCGTAGATTATCCTTGGATTGTTACATGTGACATGATACTCGCCAGGATGATTCGTCCTTGGCGAACTTACAGCTTGAAACGCCAATAAGTGTTATAGACGCTCTTCTTTTAGGCGCCGCTGCCTTCTCGGTGTTACCCTTCAAGAGTCACCATCTCCCACTCGAGATGGAGCCGGAACGTTTGACTACGAACGTGCAAAGTTGCGAGCACATCCCTCCCAAGAGTGATTAAGACTTCCCCAGCAATACCTGGGCGCCACTGAAGTTTCCTAGACAAACGACGGAGCACATCTTACGACGACTCTAAAAGTCCGCACAAAATTGGCCGCCAATCCGACCAACAAACACCTGCGGACCCATCGAATGACAAACAGCAGCGAAATCCGCTTCCATCGCCACCGCCGACCAAGACGTTCCGGGTGAGTGCGAGAAGAGAGTCCAAACTCCCATCCACAATGCTGAACCAGTCACTCAGGATCGAACGGGGTCTTCCCACAATGACTCCTCGCCACAGAAGCGAAAAGCGAGATCGCTCGACTATATCCCATCGAACTCTCACCCAATAAAGAGACCACGCGAACAAGCAACCCCCGTTGAGCCAAGTCCTTTCATCGAGGAGTGGCTATCTCATCTCCCCGAGGGAGAGAAGTTCGCCCACGCTGGCGAAAACCCTAGCGATATGGGTCTACTTCCTCCAAAACGATCGCGGTCGTCCGATAGCCCCAGCCGCATGCTGTCACAATCAAATGAAGTCACGGAGTCTCCAGTCTCAAGAGAAAAGAAATACGCGGCGTACCGAGATGATAATTATTCCGTTGTGCTAGAGATGAAGGGCAGTTTCATGCGACCGTCGGATGCCGGGCTTGTCGACGAGGATAAGGCGTTATGTGAAGATCTCCTTCACATCAGTCAACCCAGCCTGTCAATCCACTATTTGATGAAGAATTCGATCGATTTCAGACCCTTCTCTGCGGCAGATCTAAAGCCCGAATCTACCTCGATCTACACCCCTGGGTGGTACCATCAGTCGAGAACCTCCGTATCATGGGACGGGAAGAATTTGATGGTCTCATTGAAGGCCATAATGACATCTGGACGAAAGCCATTCCGTTCTATGGACCACGGCCGCAACCGGATCACACCTAGGGTTCAAGTGGTCTAACTTTACCGAGACACAACGAAAGAAGCTCAGTATCGACCCTAGCGAAAAGTCCTACTATACCGCGCGGGAAGATATCTACTTCCCCTTCATGACAAGCGAAGTTCAGTGTGGCGGTTGCCTGTATCTGGCTGATCTTCCCAATACCCACAGCATGACCATTGCGCTTCGAGGTATTGTTGACCTCTACCGGAAAGCCAACTGTGCATCCGACGTGCATAGGAGAGCTCTAGGTTTCTCAATTTCGCACGATGAGTATTGTATACGGATCTATGTCCAATACCCCGAAATTGACGGCGAGAAGACGACCTTCTGGCGTGAGACCATCCAGCAGCACCCCCTTAATTATGGGAAGGGTCAAGCAAACTGGACGTGTGGCCAGTTTACCCTGAACGTATGCCAGATCTTTGCGCCGGCTCTTCTCGCGCGTCTAAAGGGTGTTATAGATCGAATGGCAGATCCCATACACTCCGCGCTTGAACTTGCTGATTTGGATGATCTCAGTGTCCAGAGTTCGCAGAACGACAGTAGCGCAGCCGAGTCTCAAGCTTCTGGCTTGCTTGCAGAGCTGCGGACTATGGTACATAATCTGCAGCAACAATTGGAACGAGAAAGGCAAGAGTCGGAGCAAGAGAGGAAAGAGTTGATGAAACGGATGGAGCAAGAGGGGAAAGTCAGAAAAGAGTTGACGAACCAGATGGAGCAGCAACAAAAAGGTTCCGAACAGCAGCAGAGGGGGCTTTTGGATTTGCTGAAACAGCAAAGCCAACAAATAAGGGAATTCTCGCAGAAACGTTAGGACACGCCGACACCATGGCCTCTGAGAATTGTAAGGGAGATGCTGGAAGGAGCAGTGTTTGCAGAGCCGGCCGCTGGCGCGTTGATATTTCGTTTGTGGCATGATGGATATGGCGTCCTGGTACGACGATGGGGAGCCATGAAAGGGTTTCTTGTCAGAGGCTTATCAACCCTCACATCATCTATCATCAGTCATCCCGTTGGCAAAGGCAACTCAACTGACATGTAAACGTGTGTCACACAATGAACGGTTCCCGAAATGGCCCTCGATTATTTCCTCCAACCATCGGTTCACTCACCTAAAGGATTCGGGTTCTTGACCTGCTCCCAAAATCTGTTGCCTTGCCTCACCGGACACTGGAATATCAATGGCCTTGACTAATTGAGCTTCGGTATTCCGTCTGCGCCCTTATTACTCTGTTGACTTCTGATACCGCGCCCCTTTTTCTCAATTATGCTTGTAACCACTCCTGGGAGCACCGCATGAGTTCGGAGCAGGTGTCTACTTGCGGTGCTGAATACAGAGTACTCTGCGACATGGAGTCGTGTTTGCCGAGAAGCACTGCCCGACCATCCTCTTCGTGTGCTGTCATGTCACATGTCACCGCGCTTCAGGTCCGCCGGTGTCAGTGTCGGTGTCGGTGTCGGCACGTCGTCAGCAACTGCATGAAGCTGCCTATGTCTCTCTCCCCGATCCCATTATGGCACGTCGACGTTGAGACAGTGTAAGCTCTCCGCTCGGACAACCTCAAACCAGGCTATCAAGAAGACAGAAAGGCGAAATCAGAGCAGCCTAGAGTTCCAGTGAGCTCAAGCCAGTCTATCAAGAAGACAGAAAGGCGAAAACATGTTCGACGGAGCAGCCGTTGGGACCGCTTGATTGAGGTTGATGAGACTCATCAAGAATCCACCAACAGCCTCGATTTCCAGTCAGCGACATCACAAGTCCTCATGTAAGCCGCCACCGTTGTTCCATGATCGAAGGCTAACACAACAAAGCGTACGTAGATACCATCTACCTACCCCTCTCCTGTCGAAGCCTTCCAAGCGAGAAACGAGGAACCGAATGGCAACTGAACCCGCCCTCTCCAAGACGACCGCGAACATCCTCTAGCTCCTCTGTTCAAGACGTTGACTCTATCACATATTGGAAGCAGACGTGTTGGACGCATACATATTGGACGCATACATATTGGACGCATACATATTGGACGCATACATATTGGACGCAGACGCACTGCTGGCTGTAAAGACACCACCGGCCGCAAGGACACTTTAAAGAAACTGGTGAAATCAGTCACCTATAAAATCCACAACCTCACTTCGGCGGACGCGATCGGATAGTGAGTCTGCCTCACTCAGCGCCCAGCTCAACTACACCGAGTGATCAGAAGCTAGCCAGCGCCAGGCTCGGTGACGGAATCTACATGGAGGTCGGCAAAACCGTGACTGGCCTTATCGGTCTTGCGGGAGAGCGTGCTGAGGGACCACGGTGCGCAAGAGCATAGGAAAACAATCCCGAGAAGTGCCTAGAGGTCGGGCAGAAAGAAGAGACCCGGTGCCTAGAGGTCGGCACAGAAAGGAGAGATCCGGCCTAGGAGAAGGCTCGTCGTACTTGAGAGGCTCCCCTGATCGACATGTTCATGAAGAGGATGTGTCGCCTTAGCAGAACAAGGTCTCCCCAGTCCGCGGATATCGACCTCCCCGAACGATGTCAGCAAGTGCAAGTGATGAGCGACGCCATCTTACTCGCAAAAGGAAGGCTTCCTGAGACAATGTGCTCAAGTTAAGCCGAGGCCATGAAGCAGCGAAAGAAGATTGAACCAGGAAGGGGACATTTACTGCGAAGGTACGGCGTGGAGATCTTTGTCAACGCGGAAGCACAAAACCGACCTAGGTTGTCAAGACAACTCTCTTACAAGACCTGAATCGACAAACCGGTTGAGCTAGGGTTTGAGTTGACCTCGACCCCCAGATATCCGAGCACTCCAAGCACTAAGTTTGCCAGCTTATAAGGGGTTCTTTACGAACCACCCGACCCCTGCTCAAGGATACCCCGTGTCAGCAATCTATCACCAAGAAGATAACACATCATCTCGGTCAGCAAATGGCCCAACAGTCGAATATCTTCTCCGGCGAATTCGGCGGGCCTGCCCGTTGAACATGTTCAGTGTTTGATTTCGAGGCCTGGACGGTGCTCGAGTATCCTCGATAGATGAAAGGAAACAATAGCCGGAGGCTGGCTGGCCCTGAAGCTAAGAAGAAAATGTGAGGGCTGTGGCTGCCCCGAGGAAAGGTACGATAGAGGTCTTCTTACTGCTCGGCAGTCCTGTTCGTGTGAAGCGTCCGGGGAGCATTATTATGGTTTCCAGATTCACCATTGCCGGGCCGAAGAGGCAGAGTTTGCCTGCTGATCAACCTGCTCTGATTGATCCTGAGAAGACTTGTTTTCGTGGCTTGTGCCCATGGTGGCGGCGTCGCTGGCCAATGTCTTGTTCCGGCATCCGCGAGGGCCGTGGATCGGCTGACATACTGACGAATATTATGGCAGTCGAAAGGTCTGGTGATTGCTGAACTGAGAAGGCAAATGGTAAAGTCTCGAGGTTGCTGAACTGAGAAGGCATGGTCAAGTCTCGAGGTCAGCAGAAGGAAGCAGGTCTTGATATACCTGGTGGAAACTCAAATGTCGGCACAGAGCCAAAATGTTCCCCGATCCGTCTCTCATCTTCATCGAATGCCACTGATGAGGCTTCGTGTCAAACGTCTTCGCGATTCCACAGAAGACGCTTCGTGTCCACCGTCTTCGCATGTGATCAGGACGGTGACCAGGATGTTGGACGCCTCAGGATGACTGGCCAACGATCACCCTTTTCGAAGACTTACGCCAATCATGCACCTCTGATTCTGAATTCTTTCAAATGAGAATGTCGACCGCTGTATGACCTACAATCAAGTCAGCTATCATCTCCTTGGATCCCTTTGGTGTTTCGGGTGTTGATGAAAGCCTTCCTCTCGTCCTTTGGATCAACCTCAACAAATACTATCGCATATACCGTTCGTCAGTTCTATCTTGCCGTCGTGTCCTGTCCGCGATCCTGTCCCGCGATCCTGTCCTATCCTGCGATTGTCGCTGATTCCTCACATTCTCTGTTGTTCACCTTCCATACCAATATCTATTCCGAGGACTCATGACGGACGATATCCTGGATCACATCCCCCCGAAACTTTCAAAGTGCGACTGGGTTAGTGAGGGTGCAGTGTGCATCGTATACCATATCCACCCCAGATCGTCGTCAAATACCCATTCAAATCGGGATACGAGCGATTCAAACGCAAGGTCCAGTTCTACGGGCTTTTGAGCGAAGATCGGTCTGCTCGGATATCGTTGAATGCTTTCGACTCGGTCCAAATGCGATCTTTCTCTCCTATTGTGCCGAGGGAAGTCTCAATCAGCCCCCTGGATCACGTCAAACCGAGAACGCTCGGAAAGATATCCTGGAAGAGTGATTGAGGCTACAGCTGATATCCTGGAAGAGTCATTGAGGTTACGGCAAAGGACGATACAATTGATCAGCCGGTGGATGCGGCAAAGATCTCCCAGTGGTCCCGGAGAAAGAACACAAAGGTCATGAAGCATATCATCGCCAGGCGGAGGTAGGTACGGCACTGGGTCGTCGGTATCAGAACGAAGTATAAATGACTTCTGCCGCTGCATTCCTCGAGACTCTGAACATGGCCCACAACGACATCCACCCTCGAAATTTGCTTCTCGACCTCCCAAAACAGGATGGCTCAGGCGGATACCTGATTCAGGCATCGAGCGATGTGGTTGTGGTTGATGGAACAACCCGATCTCAAAGACCGCGCGGTTCGGCAGCTGCTGGCTCTGAAAGAAGCATTGAGACAGGCGGTCAAGCTGACCGCGGGACTATGAACATCTCTCATAACGATATCCACCCTCGAATATACTTCTCGACCAGTTGAAATTTCCTTCTCGACCAGTTCTGATTATAAAGCTAAAGCTCACAGATTTCGACTCTTACGCCACGATAGTTCGACCCTTACGCCCCGATGGGGGAGGGCGCCGGCACCATGGGCACGAGTTCTCGCCGAACGAGCGAATAAAAGTAGCTTCGGCTGTGGAGCAAGAACTGAGCAGTTTGCTATCGGCTCTGTGCTCTGTGATACTTCTCCCCAGGTCCGCGGGGCTGCCATTGCTGTCTCGAAGGCTCTAGTTGCCACTCCCCGAGCCTATGATGCTCGACAGGCATGAGCCCACGAGGACGAATGTATGGATCCTGAAGAGCTTGTTCGAAGACATGAGCCCTACGAGGGCACATGTACGGATCCCGAAGAGCTCGTCCAAAGATTCCAATATATGAAATTCCGGAACCGGAGCAACCCCCACATGAAGAGAGAAGAGATCATTCGCAACTGTCGGTTTGGGGATTTCCCATCGATGGGTGATGCAGTCCGAGGTCTTTGCTTGCACTGTCCTGCCGCCCTTCCGTCCAAGCAAGTTTCAAGTTTCGGCAAAGCGGACAGCGGACAGCGGACAGCGCCGAAGAAGCTGCTTTTGGTAAAGAGCTTGTTCGGTTCGTTCCGGTCTTTTGCCAACGAAGAGATCTATGAGTCTACCAAGTCCCTCAACACCACGCCTACCGCTTTCAGGCTTGCGGTTCGGTATCTTGGTCTTCATTTCAGGGTTGCGGTTCGGAGTTTTGGTCTTCGTTCGTTGAACACGTGGCGCGGTGGCCATACCAATGTATGGACCCAATAATCACCTTGTTAGAGATGCCCCAAGATGAGGGAAGTCAGTGGTTCCGAGGATGATCATGGTGGCAACCGTTCCTTTCCCTTTGGAAAGCTCCGGGGTTACAATGTTGTGACCCGCGGTTTCGCCCCGACGGTGTCGTTGACCACCAGCACTTCCAGTTCAGCACGCTGCTTGCGCTCGGCCTCTTCTTCGGCCTCGCACTCGCGCTTCTTCATCCGCTCTTC